TCCCAGAAGCAGCTCAACTCGGGCGTCTTTGCCCACGGCGAGCTGCACCACACCCTGGACGACGGCCTGTTCAAGTTCCAGGAGAAGATCCGCGAGCTCGCCAACGACCACCGGTCGCGGGAGCAGGCGGCCGGCGTGGAGATCTGGCCCGCCCGGCAGAAGCTGCCTGGTGAGGCCAAGGCTACTGAGAATGATGAGGTTTTCTGTACTGCTGTCAACTGCTGCAAGTTGAACAAGGAGGGAAACAAGGCCCCTATTGCTGTATAGGGAAACACAAAATCATTGATGACTTGTTATGTAATGAAAGGGCGGGTATCGTTTGAATTGTAGCCTCGGTTGTAATGCATTGGGTAGGACTAGGATGATGAGAATTTAGCATGTATTGATTGGGTCAGTAACTGAATGAAAGACTTTGACATTTTCACGTAACTTTTGACGCAATCTGTTAAATATCGATTGATTTAAGGCGTCTATTTGCCTAGTTATAACCTGTTCATGAGGGCTACATAAGCTCCGAAAAGGGGTAACAGAGCGGCAAACGTCTTGATTAAGTCTGGATTTCATGTTGAATATATTACTTTTTGAGAAAGATACGACCAGATATGCTTGAGTTGTGCCTTATATGAAAGTAGCGGTAGCATCAAGGTCAAGAGCCCAAGAATCAATAAAAAGGTCAGACAACCAGGGCTCATTATCCAAGTTTATCAGAAAGTTGTTCTGAGAATCCACATCAAACGGGACGTCTGGCATGATTTCCATGGCATGTTCCGCCGCTGGAGCCTTTTCGACTGCTAAAGAGCTTCCTTTGTTTGCCATCTCAGCAGCCATCAAGCTCCTGACCGCCCGAAGTAAGCTAGGTCCCTTGAAGAAGAGTCCTTTTCGTGGCAGCTCAGCGTCCACCATCCGCGTTTCGACGGCGACACGAGCCATGGTCTCACAGTACTTGTCCATAAGTTGGAGAACGTCTGCTCTCTTCTTTACCTCTTCGATGTCCCACATTGGTTCATTTAGCGTTGTCAGCTTGAAAAGGGCAATCAAGCAGTGCATGAATTCTGAGAACTTATCCACCGTAACACCGACCCAGTCCTCGAGAGGCATATCGTGTATCACGCCCAGACATCTCTCTACACACTCCATTGTAGCTTCCAGGTCTTGTATCCTCTGAAGTTGATCTTGGGGGTCTCTTGCTTCTCTTGTAGTGTTCAAGAAACGGTCTCTCAGTTTCAATTCCGCGATGTTAAAATAAAGCCTCAATGGGCCTAGAACAGAACATCAGCTTCAACTCAGAAAAGGAATTTATAGAGGAAACAGAGCCTACAAGATGACAGCAACTCGGGTAGCAAGCCCCGCTTGATTTCTTGAATATTCCGAATGGACGCGGCGAACAACGATCTTGTTATAGGTTGGCCCTTACTTTCCTCCCCTGTCTCTTCTGAAGAGGGGTACAAAATCGGGTTAATGAAAATCTGGCAGTTTACTTGAGCAGCCAAAGAAGCATCAAGTTTCGTTTCCTTCATCTCTGCGAGGATCCGTAAACACTTCCCGAGGTATGGACTCCACCCGAGCGGTCGGAATTTTCGATATGCCTCCCAGGTCCTACAATGCGATGTTAATTAACAATGCCGTGTTTAGAAAGATGTGTAGGATTTTTTGATTGGGTGAACCATACGTTGACGTGAGCTTTACCAAGGCGACATATGCTCGCCTCTCCTCCAGAGTACGAGTATCTGTCTGAGTACTAGACCGACTTGACGTCCGGCCGTACCTTGGGCCTTGTTGAGATGCTGAGTGGCTCTCTTTGTTTAGGTCGAGTTCGAATGCCACAGTCGAAGCCAACTGTGTCAGCATATTCATGAACGGCGTGTCCTGCTTGTAATAGTGAGACCTAACCAATTCCAAGGTTAGTTTTACTGCTTCAATTGATATTATAAATTACACACCAATTTGAGAAGCATATGATTGCTAGAAGGGAGTCCAGGTCGGCATGGTGTTGTGTTACGATCCGATGGGAGATAATCTTCCAAATCGTGTCTTCCATTGCGAACTGACGATCCACCACTCTGTCCGTTAATGACATTATGACCAGCCACAAGAATGGCTTCTGACGGCGTAACTCTGCTGAATGGATTGCAGGTGGAAGATGGACAAAGGGAAAAGTCGGTATGAATGCCCGTCGGAAGATATTCAACCTGTCTTCAGCCTCCAAATCTGGAACCTGATGGACCTCAACATCATTGAATATCGGCGAGGATGGCCCCATATCTGAATCACGATCTTGATAGCCCGGTTGCGACTCAGGTGGGCGAAGGAGATCAATAAAGGTCTCAACTGTGTCCAGGACAACATCGGGATTGAGAACTGCGTTCAAAGGATTTGGCTTCCTTGACTCCGGAGATGTAGCAAGGGACGACGGGGACGATTTGTAGTCTTGTGCTTCACGACCAGTCGAAGCTTGGGATCGTAGAAGTGTTACAAGGTCGTCCAACTTTTCTTCCAACAGGCCTCGCGAAGGGGGCGACAATCTTCGGGACGGCGGGGAACTGTCGCGAGCTTTCCGTTTACGAACAGTGTTTGATGGCTCGCATGTCTTTCCAAGTCGGTGACAACTGCTTGCTAGATTAGTACAACGATTCAACAGCTCAACCTAGAAGATATCGAGGGAGAACACTAGACCACGGACTGGAGAGTTGCGGTTTAGTGAGAAGGGTGAGCGGAAGGCGGGGGATATACATACCGCTCGCATCCCGAACCGTCCGTACGGTAGAAGCACTTGCACTTTGCTCTAGAGCACGCTGGACAAGCGCCTCCGTAGGGGGCAGGCTTGCAAGATTCGATTGCATCCTGCCCAGATCCGCGGTGAACAGAGCCCATCGCTGGCCTCAGTTGACGAAATCCGGTGGATGTTTTCGGTAGGATTTATCAGCTTCCAAGCCGCGGATTTCGCTAGCGTAGATAGACCAAGTCAATCCCTGAGTAACTCGATCATTCCCATTGGACAGACGCGTACATACACGAGCACGAATGAACCATATGCGCTCAACCAAAGATGACAAACGAAGAGCGGAGTTAAAACGCGACAAAGCCCGTGAAATAGCGGTATTGGGTGAGCGAAGCGCCGGATTTGGAGTGACCGAATCCCGCGGGTTTAATATTCTCCCTGCTACTGAGTTGATCCGGATTCCAGCCAGCTCAATCCCGCGGTATTTCCACAGTCCGCCGGAATGTGTCACAGTTGATCTTAGTATAAGAGAACTTGGAGAGTCAATGGAACCAGTATTTTCTAACTCACAACAATCACATCTTCAACATTGATAACTATCTACTAAGATTTCTTCTCTCTTAAATTTCAAATACACTCTAAAACCCTCCCCGACGAGACTAAAACCAACCATCAGTCACCATGTCTTTAGCCCACTTGAGAAGCACTTTTAGCCAATCGTTCCCCCCTAGGGCCATCTTTACTGAGAAAGACGTTCCGGACTTGCAGGGCAAGGTATTTTTCTTTGATATCCAACATTAGCTAGTAAGTCGCTAATTGAGTCCTCTAGGTGTGCATCGTCACAGGCTCGAATACTGGAGTAGGCAAGGAGATTGCACAAATCCTCTACGCAAAGAACGCCAAAGTGTACCTTGCAGCACGCTCGGAGGAGAAGACGCGCAAGGCAATCGATGACATCAAGGCTGCATCTCCAAATAGCACCAAAGGCCAGATGGAGTATCTGCGCCTTGACCTCTCCGATCTCTCTGCTGTGAGGAGCGCATCAGAGGAGTTCCTGAGCAAGGAATCGCAGCTCCATCTCCTCTTCAATAACGCAGGTTTGGGATACCCTGAGAAGGGACTCACGACTGCTCAAGGACACGAGTTACAGCTCGGAGTGAACTGCGTTGGGCCTTTCCTCTTCACACAGCGCCTGACGCCTACCATCGTCTCAACTGCTCGGAACTCCCCAAAGGATAGCGTGCGTGTCATTTGGGCTTCGTCATCAGCGACTGAGGGCTATGCTATCAACGGAAACTGGATGGATTATATCAACCATCCCGAGAAGAAATCGTCCTTCGAGCTCTATGCCACTAGTAAGATGGGCAACTACTTCTACGGTGCCGAGTATGCGGCCCGTCACAAAGCAGATGGTGTTATCTCTGTGTCGCTGAATCCCGGTCATCTTGACTCCGACTTCTGGCGATCGACAGGTCGGTTCTTGAACTGGCTCCTCCGAGTCACTGTCCTTTATCCATCCGTGTATGGCGCATACACCAACATCTTCTCCGCATTTTCTCCCCAAGTAACATCAGAAAGAAGCGGTAGCTTTGGTAAGTCACTCTCAATTTTCTTGATTGGTAACATTTGAGGCTAACACATCACCTTTTCAGTGGCACCTTGGGGTAGATTGTGGCAAGTGACTCCCGACAAGGCCAATGCAGTGAAGCCAAAGAAGGCCGGCGGGCTCGGCATATCGCAGACATTCTGGGAATGGTCTGAGGCTCAGGTGAAGGATTACATGTGAACTTCCTAAGCCTAAGAATGATTTTGGTGTGGATTTAGGCATTTGGAATTTCTTAGATTGTTGTTCTTGTTTCTTTTGTTCCAATAGACGCACTTCTTTTGTTACCGGATGCTCATCGTCCCGGGCTTAATACTATACTAGTCGATTAATATTTAACTATTTTGAAATGTGACGTTCATGGTATATCATTTCCTAGAAATCGATCAACAAACATCTTACGCTCTCTTGACTCTCAGGCTGACTGCGGGGTAGCTTTACTGCCTAATGAAACCCTGCTGTGGCGAACAAACCTGCATATCGACATGGGTCGCAAGGGAGACATTGGTAGATCCATGGGAAAGCCTTGTATGCCTTAGGGGGTGGCTCATTTGAATGACGTAAACTTACTCGTCTGTTATTTGGGCGCTGAGGTGCCCCCGATTGAGGCAGAGGAGGAAGGCCAGTCTTGGGTGAATTCATTCCATCTCGTCTTTCAGATATTCGTCTTTGCCCACCATGGAAGGTCAAGAATCAGGCTGGCAAGAGGTGAGCGGTCCATCCGTCTTCTGGATCCTCCTCACTCTTAGCATAGCTGCTGCAACTCTGCCGTCCACAAGAACCAAGATAATGGGCCCCAGCATTAGAGTCGGTGCCAGTATCGATCCCCTACGCGCGATGCCATGGGTTTGTTTCCTCGATGCCATATTTGATCTCCTCATTGTGGGCCGAACAATTCAATACCATATGTCCAAAAGAGAGAAAGATGAGCAGCGCGAAGAGCAGACTGCCCACGGCGAGCCGAATCTGATCATGGTCAAGCTTGCAATGACTCTCCTTGCGGTCCTGCCTCAGACAGTCAAGATTCTGAGCATGCGTGGCATCCTGGTCTCTCAAATCTGCGCCTGTGGGTTTTTCTTCGCCATCGCCACAAGTCTCATCATGGATCTCTGGGATCCGGCCGCCGAGAAACCTTATCCGGGGAAACCAGTGCGTATCGGCGAGAGTAAAGTCATGTCCGTAATAATATGCCTCGCAATACTCATATGGGCGGGTGTGGCCACTTCGGAGCTATGGATATGGTACAATATCGCGTGCTTGTCGTCGTTCGAACCCTCCGCCAGTGTCAAAAATCTCATCTCTTGGGTCGATCTTGCCTGCGGACTGGGTCTATTCTTGCAGATGGTTGTTTCGGCCATTTATTTCTGCATCTCAAAGCATCGATTTGCCATTTCAAAATATCCTCGCATAGTCCCTCTACTTGGAATAGTTGGGTTCTTCTTCACCCTGAAAGGGATCACAAAGTTGCCCATCGAAGAAAAGACATCTTCTACGCGGCATATCACCCCAATGCCTATATGGGCGAAACGAGCAAGTTACTCCACGAGCCTGATTTACTGTGCGGCACTTGTTAGCGCCATTACGGCCGTGCTGATTCATGCCCTTGGGATGCTCATCGCTCGAAAGAGAGGCACGGTTCAGCAACCCAGTGGCCAGGATGTAGAGTCAGGAACAGACCAACCGGCATCCGCAGCGGAGTCAAGTGAGTTGGCAAGGCCACCAGAACAAGATGGTAACGACGGCTCCATGGTGAGACGGGCAATATCCTATATAGTGTCAGGAATCCGATGCTTGTCAACATTAGGTCTCCGTATTGACCAGTGGCTCTGGGATCTTTTTACCCTGCCATCACTCTTGAGTTTTTTCGCGTCCTGGACAATTTTCAATTTAATCAGAACTGTGCTGTATTATTTGGTGGTCTTTGATGGAAGCGGAACTTCAAGTCCGAGCTGGAACAGTGTCTTAGGCTAGGATGGGGCTACCGAGAGAAAATTTATACGTCTCCTAGTTCTGAGTTGATACAGACACATAGTAGACGTAGATTTCGGTTTCATGTATCTACAATCATTTATTTTTCACCAATGTCTATGCTTCATCGAGGCGATTATAGCTACTATCTTTATGAATATGTAGGCTCTTCCACCCAATCCCTAATTTGCTAACCCGCAAATTAACATATGCTCAATAATAACATGCCAGTTTTCCAGCCCTACAAACGTTGAAGTAGGTGCATCTGGAACTTGATATTTTCCAGGCAGCCAGGAAACACTAGACCCTTGTCTAGCTTGAAAATGCAATTATCCTCTTCGACCAACTTCTCCCAAGCAGGTTCTTTCTTGTCTTTGACCTTTTCAACCTTTTGATGTTCCTCGGGAAATAGTGCCCGATACATTAGCAGGTGGATAGGGTATTGTCTCCCCTCTGTCCCAGCATTGTTGTCCGTAGGTGTGGCCTCGACACAAGCTCCGGGTTTATCAACGACGAGTAGAAGGCTCCCTTTAGGCGCCGCCGCAGTTATCTTCCGCAACAAAGCCGATACTTTGGAGATTGAAGTCATATACATGTCGTTCAGGGTAAAGAAGAGAGTAATTAGTGTTGGATCGGCACCGATCATAGAACCTAGTTCTTCAATTCCACAATCAAGTATATCGAGTTGCGTAAATTTCCAGCTCAGAGCCTTGGGGGAAAGCGGAGAAGTGTTTGAGAGTCGTGCCTTGGCGCTGGCATATTTGGAGAGAGGGCGTGGTGTTGTATAAGATTGGTGTATTTTGGAGACGACCTCGGTCCAGTCCGTCGTGTCAACCAGGCCAACCCTCAGCAGAGTCTTGTCTGATATGGGCCACTGATCAGACACGGTCAAATTTCCAAGCGCCCCATCAATTTCTTGTCCATTTTCGAGCTCTGGTTGGGCAGGCTGTCCTAATGCGCTCAGATGAGAGTTCTTCAGCATTACGATCAAAGCCACGAGCTCCGCCGCACCTCGACCAAAACAGAGGACACTTGACGGGTTATTTTTAACACCATCAGTAAGGAACTGTTTAACCCATTCATTGTCGCTGTATTCCTTGGCAATCCAAGCCAGAATGTTTGAATATGCCAACGCCTGGCTCGGACTCCATCGGATGGTGTATTTCTCCTTGTGCTCTTCAGTGGCAAAGGCTTGCTGAAAATCCCGTCGGTCTAGAGTATCCTTGATCTCCCGCAACGCCGGTTTCATCGCTTCAAATTCATTCACTTGGGGAAATGTTTCCCGAAAAATATCCAAGATCAGCTGTTGTAGGCTATCTGGAATAATCTGCTGCTGGACCTTTGCGGCTGGTGCTGGGGTTGCCTGAGGAGGCGGGCGTTTCACGGACTTCTTCGTGATCCCGGATCCTCTCTCATCTGGTCGTCGGCTGGGCGGCGCGATCGGAGCTTTGGATGCGCCGCTGACTGAGGGCGGCCCATGTTTCGGTTGCGATTGCGCCTGACGTTGATATCTTCTCATTGTACAATTGTCCAAGTGAAGTGGCCTTTGTCTTTGGTCGTCGTTGAATCTCCAGAAACTTGTGTGTGAGGGAGGGTTTTTGCTAGTCCCAGATTCTAGCGTTACGGTACAGGGATTAGGTAAGCATCATCAATGGCAATCAATTCAGTCACTCTCATCAATTCAGTAATTAGCAATACAATCAAAAGAGAGGAAGACAAGTAAAGTCCACGACTTGATTTGGCTTTATTAACCAGTGTGCCTGCACTCCTGAATAAAATACAAATCGCGTCGAAAACAAGGTCGAGTCAAAATACATCAACATGGAACATTTACAACATCATCCATACTCACGTAGGCATCCATCACTCGTGAGGGTATCGGTATAAGACGGCTTTGGATGGCGATTGGAGTGGGAGTGAGACCCAACCGGGGCTCATATCAATTACGCAGTTGGACGCTGCGACTGGCAGAACGCGCCACGCCGGGCTTCGGCTCCCTTGCCGAATTTGCGGATACAGAGGAGGCCTGGGTCGACGCATAGTGCGTGGAAGATGAAGAGCCGGCCGAGGAGGGGGGATTGTGGCCGTAATTACAGTACTCGGTAGGACCAATCTCTATCCCGCGCACGGATGCGAGCCAGGCGACTGAATCCCGAGTGCTGGAAAGTCCCATGGATGGTCTCGATCGACGCGATGCCGCAGCAGTAGAGGTGGTCCTGACGGAGGTGGAGGGCGAAATAGTAGTATCAGCAGAAGCGGGAACAGAAGTAGGCGTTTTGTTGCGGAGGGGATGGGTCGAGTAAGGGCCTTGTTTCTGGGCTTGATTTGCGGAAGGGCGTCTTACAGGAGCCTGAGCTCCCGGACGGCCAGGAGGAGATGTGCCCGGAGGAAATGTGTCGTTGGTAGGGACAGCGGCGGCAGCAGACCTGGAACCAACCCGGGTCAAGTTACGGGGAGCAGGGTGAACGGCCTCAGCAGTGGGAGCATCAGTATTACTGGCGGCATTAATGGTGGCCACAACACCGACTGAATCGTCCTGGATGGGCGTGTCCGTGATCCTGGGCTCCCAAACCCGCCGCGGCTCAGACTGAACTGCGGTATAGCGGTGCTCGGTCACCAGGCGCACGACGAGGCGCATCTGTGTGTCGATCCTCTGCTTGATGGCATCGCTCCATCCGGCCCTGCACGGGTGCTTGATGACGACCTGCTTGATGCGGTTGATGCGAGATCTGGTGTAGTAGAAGTGCCTGCGCGAGCCGGTGCGCAGCAAGTACTCAATGAGCTGCATGTGTTTGAACACGGTCATCCATTTGTCTGTGACGGCGATGTAATTGAGGATGGCGATGAGGACGGCCTCGTAGTAATGGCTGGGGATTGTGAGACACGACACTGGGATAGGAGGAGAGGAGATGACATACTCGTGTGTGAGCTTAGCTACTTGCTGGAAGTTCGCAGGGACGTTGCGCCAGTTTTGGTTTACGACAGCGCGTCGCAGGGTCCGTTCAATGTCGTTGGTCAGTTTGTTGGCCTTCTTGTCGTCTGCTCTGCCTCGTGCGTGGAAGAAATCGAACAAGGTCGCAGGGTGGTCCTTGTCCTGGCTGCCCGGCCGGTTTGTCTCACAGGCCGGCGGATTACGCACGCGGCCAAAGATGAATCGAAAGTCCCTCCGGAGCCATGCCAGCAGTCCAGGCGTGGATTCCGTGGCCATCAGATGCGGTATTAAATTGAATAAATGAGAATGAAATAAATTGGAATGAACTGAATTAAATTGGGGTATCTGCGTAAAGTGAGTGACGGGTTGTGTTCGATAAGTCTAGATTTTAGTAATTGAAGAAGAGAAGAACAGGAAAAGAGGGCGGAAGACGGGGCAGTCTTGTTTGTAAAGATCAAGCGCTAACCAAGGCACCATCTAGACGGCGACTCATTCAGGTGACTACATCTGCGATGCCGTAAAATGGCCGTAATGGTTGAAAAAATTGCATCGCCCTGGAGCTAGAGGAGAAGCCGAGCAAGTACTCGCACAAGTCATGGTGCTTGGTCGATACATGATGCAGCCTTGAAAATCGCCTTGGACTTTGCCGTGGTTCCGTTCCTGGAGGGTCATCCAATCAAAATCCAACATTCACCCTCCTCTGGTCTGTTGGCTCCATAATCTCACTCTGACTAATCTATCGATGTGCCTGCTGATGAACTAACAGGTAGTTCTCCTTACGGAATGGCTCAGATTTTGGTTATGTGCGTGGTACTCCTTGTCTTGTTGTCTAATAGGGAGAATAGCATTCACGGTAGTAGATAAAACTAGTACAGTAAGTAGTAAATATATATATAATATAAAAGTAAATAAATATTCTCGCTTATCTTCTCAATTTCTATTAAAAAGATTTTTCACTTAGCCTCTTTGGCTGGCCGGTCGGCAAGCTTAAAATTCAAGTGAGGATGTATCTGAGCGACAGTGAATGGTGGGATGGCAATGCTCTCGATCTCTTTATTGCCCATTCTGTCAACGATCCTGTGAACTGATTTGCCCCAATTTGAGTCGTGAATCTTCTCAAAGTCCCCTGACTCTTCGTTGGGATATAAAACAGTCTCTTCCTTCTCCCTGCCGTTCTTAACTTCGTTGATACGGGCTGCAGTCTGTTGCTCCGTTATGTCTTTGAGATGCACGTTTTCCAGTTGTGAGAGATCTTTCCCTGTCTGTTTGGAAACAGCCATTACCAGATCTGCCAGACTCGCCTTGTCATACTTGGGTTTGCCGAGCATCTGACTGACCTTTGACTTTAATTTCTTTGCCATTTGTCCTGGGTTAATATTGCTAGGCGTTGGTTCCTCTTTGTTCCAGGAATTTTCGAGTTGTCCTTCCATTCTTATCGCGTGGCAGGTCCAGTCTATTGAAAGCCCAGGGTATCACAGCCTCTTTTCCGTCTGCTGTAAAGCCGATTTTGGTGATCGCCTGCTCCCCTAGTCCTTTGCTCTCACCGCTGCCGACGGCAAATTCCTCCCTTTGCACGTCTGTTTGATGAAACACTTTGTTGGCGTGCACTATTTGTGCTATGTCCTTTTTGAAGTCATATCTAAATTGTTTTCCTTTCCCGCTTTTATTAAATAGATCCTGGAAATATTAGTATTCGTTCTCCGGGTTATAAAATTTATAATAAAATACTTAAAGACCAGTATCAGGTATCTATAGATAATTTTAAATATCTAATATAGAGAATAGGTTTTAAAAAAATATCTAAAAATATATATAGATAAATGTGGCTGAAAATGGCAATATCAGCTGCTCTTCATACCTCAGTGTGCGCGCAAACATACCTTGAAGCTGAGTCTGGAGAAGACTCATACAGAAGAACAAGGATAAAAGCTTCATGACAAGTTTGTCTAGATGATCAATTATTAGTAGATTTGAAACTATCCGAGCGAGATGCCGCGGTAGAGCTGTCCAGAGCCTTCAAATTGCAACGACCCAGAGGGATATCGATAGAATTTATATGCCTTAGACTCGATACAAATGACTTTCAGAGCATTTGTAATTCATTCGGAGTGGTCACGTCCACGACGAATTTGGTCAAGTTAGGTGGGGATGCTTGCGTGTCGACTCAGCCTTGTACGTAGTGGCCTTTCGCCCTGCACGTCGGCATCCTGTATACATCCATCGGCATGCACAAGGTATACTGAGCCATATTAGACTTTTGACTGACTTGCTTTGTCGGTACGGCTTCACCACATGACTATCCCAAGGAACTTACCACTACGCCCGGCGTGTATCCTCCAGGCCTAAGAACACCGCCATAACTCACCTGACAGCATTTTTTTCCAGGAGTACAATAGAGGCAAAATATATGAAGGGAAAGAAAACCCCCGAAGCATATCTGACCTTTAATAACACTCTTTCATCACTTAGATTGATGTTTGATGTTATCCCCCTGACGGTGCCGAACAGCTCGTCAGGTGGCGGTGGTCTGATGCGGGCAGGATGAATAACAATCTATCAGAGCTCGAAAACATGGATATATAAGCAAAATATCGTAGTGATAGGACATAACTGCAGCCCGGTTCAGAGAATATAAGGTAATCAATAAATCCGAACAAGCTCACCAGGTCTAGGGTCACGACCGGGCCCACGGCATTGATTCGAGAACAAAAGAAGTACTTGCCTGAATTTTGGGAGTCTAGGTAGGCTCAAACTAGGGGAAATTCGATTGCTTGTGGCCGTGGATGTTGGCAAAAGATCAGGGCGACTACTGAGTAGTGGTTCACAGTCGCAGGAGCGTGTCTTGGCAACTGGTCCAACACAGGTGTTTGCTAATCTATCTCTCTAGGGTATATTCATAATACTTCGTCTTCTTCGGGTTACATTGCCACGGCCGCTTCTTCGCCACAAATATTCGGGATCGGCAGTCAGCCAAGTGCATGATCTCCGATGTCAGGCCCACCATCCGACCCACCACCCTGCCGTCATTACAGACGGAAAATGCTACACACGACCAGGCTCCGAATATCTAGCCCGGCCGCTCCGGTAGTTTCGTGTCAGGAATTTCAATGCAAGGTGGCAGACAATGAGGCCATGTGGTCACAAAGCGGCTACAAGACCTCTATCTGGCCGATCGGGCCTCAACGCTTCGAACCTAGATCTTCAGAGATAATTGCAGTCATTTTGAGTCCCTCATTTCAGTTATCCACTAGTGATCTACCCGTAATTTCACTGCGAGGCTATTATAACAGCCCCTTCACGTTCCTCTACGACCAAAGCTTCTAACTTTAGGAAGCGCTCGAGAATCGATTTACTATCTTAAGATGACGTCGAACCTCACGATGGAAGAAAAGGCTTTTATCGTAACTGGAGGCGCATACGGTATCGGCCTTGCAACGGTGCGACTGCTCCTTGCTCAGGGTGCTTCTGTCGGCGTCGGTGACATACAGGAAGATGCGCTCCGAGCTGCCGTCCTCCCTTTAAATAGCCAATACTGCCAAAGAGTACACTTCAGTATTCTGGATATAACTAACCGCGAATAAGTCCGGTCTTTCATCTATAGGATGAAGGAAATATTCAGGTGCCTTAATAGATACGCCAATATTGCGGGAACTGGGGGCCATCGCCTTAGCGACAACAGCATTTCCGAGACAACCGATACCGAATATAACTTTATCATGGATCTAAATACTCGTACAACCTTCATCGCTCTCGCAGAGGTGCTAAGGCCTGACATCATCACCGGGAAAAGCGGAAGTATTGTCTGTATAGGCAGCATATTTGGGCAGCGGGGTTTCAAGAGGGGCGCCGCATTTGCGGCCTCCAAGCACGCCATGGTAGGGTTGGCTAAGAGCGCAGTATTGGAAGCTGGCGAACGCGGCTTACGAATAAACATCGTAGAACCGTAAGGAGATTAGCTTAATTACGGCTCTAATCGGATTCTAAAGCGTAAGAGAAAACTAATAAAAGAGGTTCGCGAATAGGGGAGCAATCGACACGCCGATACATCGACGCAACACGGAGAGCAATATGCCGGATCTAACACCAGACAACCCCATCCCGAGACTAGGCACCCCGGAAGATGTAGCAGGAGTTATCACATTCCTTTTGGGCGACCAGTCTAAGTATGTAAATGGAGCAGTATATGCGGTAGATGGGGGTGCCAACGCATGACTTAGCTGGTATATAGGGATGCGAGTGGAGAACTTGGCTTGTCCTTGGTGGCTAAAGCTTGATAAGACTATAGTTTTAGGACAACTTGGAACTATACACACTTGGTACATAATCATGCCGTGAAGTTTAATTGATGACAGGACTTGATGCAGGCTGCTGATATGCGGTGTTGTTTTAAAAGCTACGGTTCGAGTTTGTCACATGGGCTAATTACTATGCTCTGTTTGCTAGAAATCACGACTGTCTACTCTTAGAAGCAGCTTTGGAAGTTAGACGCCGTGATTCATCCAGTTTATAAAAGCGGACACGATCCATGAATAAAGTAAGACCGGAATAATACATACGACAATAGGTAACGAAGATCAAGATATTCAAGTATTTTACGATCAAACACAGAACACCACCAGTTGACATCAAGCTACTATAACACATTCTCACCCCTGCTTTGACGCCATTTATTCGTCGCCTCCAGAAGCTCAGGACAACCCTGAAGCAGCCATCCCCACTTACGAAGGAACAGAACAGAGGCCTCCCATCCATCTGGGACAGATGAATCGCCCCATACGATCAGACTAGGCCTCTCCTCATTGTCCCAATTGATCTCCGACACATCCGCACATAATTCATCCTCATCCATCAACCCAGCAGCCACTGCTTGAAGAACGTTGTCTCTGAACCTAGGGAAGGGAAACACGTCAAGCCATGGATGGTGTACGATGCTACACTGTATCTCCGTTGGAGCTAAACTCCGCGGAAGGGAAATGTCAGATGACGGTGGCCCTGTTTGGCTGAATGGCGAGATGGATTCCTCCAAACAGATGAGGCCACGAGCGAAGCCCAACAATGACGCGTTTGTTGCCAGGGCTATGTTAATGTTCAGCGTGATGAGGAATGGAAGCTGCGAGAGCCGAGGAGTATGCATCGTATAGTCCATGTAGGCTTTACTTGCGAGAGCAAAGACCTTTTGACGGGCCAAGGGGGTCTCGAATATTTCGCATGTCTGGAGTATGGTGTGGAATATTGCGGAGGAGGAGTACCGTGCACCGAATTCCTTTGAGAAAAACGGTACTGTCGCTGTGGAAACATCGGTATCATCGAAAAGGAGCGGTTCTGTTGCTGTAGATAAAGCAAGTGTATCAACCGAGACCGATGCTTGTTGAGCGAGCTTGAGTTGTCTTCGCTTCCTTTGATCTGTACCAAAGAGTCAACGTGAGAAACTGCGGTTAACGTCGAAGAAGAAGAAGAAATGACGGGAAGCAGGTTGAAAGATTACGACGAGGAGGAAATGCGACATCAGGGGTACAGGAGTGCACTGACATTGTGATCTCTTATTGAGCCGATTTTGCAACTTTCTTCTCTGTGCAAAACTTGTGGTTCCGGTCCAATCTTCATCAGTGTTTTTGACAAGTGACTGTGGTGCCATCAACTCTATGGTTATCATTGGTGGATGGGACATGGTTTCTGAATGGCTATTCGCCATAAATGTCTGGTTAATACGAACAAACTGATGCAATCGGTGCGGGAAAGTGGTGGCTGATGGGGCATCAAGGATGGATGATGCAGCCAGCTGATATTGAACGCACATCAGCTGCCGGCGTCACGTGGAAATTCGATCTTAGGTGCTATGGAAGCTCCACTTATTAATTAGTTTCTCAGCAGGCTGCATTAGTGTAATTCTAAAACAGCCACTTCCTGGAATGTCGTAGCGACGCTTGATACGACCGCCTTCCATTTATATACGTTAAGACGCCCGTGTTGGTATTAAATGTCATCAGGACAGTCATCTGTTGAATTCGGTCCGATAGAAAGGGTTTCATCGAGGGGTAGCCAAAGGGGCAACTTTTTCAAGTTGCTTGAGTGCCCAAACCATCATCGGACCACTAGCGCTGCCAACCTGAAGGTTGTTGCACCTAACCACTTTTGATTTTCTTGCCAATAGATCAGTTCAGTGCCTTTAAGAATATTGGGGCGAGAGGGACTCGTTTCGTCACTACTCGCGAGGTAGCTATTTGCTACACCTTTTGATGGCGCGTGCCCCAGTGGAACGCTGGCAAGTTTGGCGGGGGCGGCAGAACAAGAAGAAGTATTCCAGGTGCTTGAACGAGCGAAATTTGGGGCGATCTAGCCTGGCAGTGTAGTTACGGGGTGGAAATTTCACTGGAAATCTGCGAATGATAAAAGACATCCGTTCACCCGGAGGTTGCCGAATTTGACATGAGCCGACGCATAACAGCGAGCAATTTAGTTAGGACCACCGCCTTTATTATTGTGTCAATGGATCTCGGCGTCACCGGTCTCTGTAAACCCATATAAAAAAACTACTATATCATTGTAACAAGGTCGCTTGTAGGCGGGTCGGTCGGATTTATGGTTCTATTCAACGGTAAAACAGTTTAGAGACAATATCCAGGCTTTAATGTGACCTGGAGCGAAGAATTCGCGAGCGTAGGGTAGATTGATTCCACTACAAGCCAGCGACGAGCAATACTCAGTTCAGCCGTCATCCCTATTCAAGTCCCAAAAGCTCAAGGCTCTTTGACCAAAGCTTAGACGGCCCTTCGTTATCATACGCCCAGTCTGCAATACCAGACGTTCCCCTTGCCGGAGGCTGTGCCACCTGCGTATCCTCCAAGTAAAGTCCACCTTTTCCTTCAAGTTCCGGCGACACAGCTGCCAACACAGTGGTTGCCGCACCTTGCTCGACGCTCTTCCATCCTTTAGCGCCCTCTTTATCATCCGCCCACTCTTTTTGAACTGAAGCAGGCACATGTCGTTGAAGCTCTGTCGCGATAGACCCTGGATGAAGGGCCCATGAGTGAACCCCGCTCTCTCCAAAACGTTGCTCAATCTCACGCGCTGTCCAAAGGTTGGCCGTCTTGCTCTGGCCATACGACTTCCATGGATCGTATTCCCCTTCCAAAGTCAAATTGTCGAAACGAACAGAGCCCGCCTGATGGGCACAAGAAGAAACAATAACGACCCGGGAGTGGAACTCAGGTGTTGTTGAATTGAGTAACGTGTCTTTGAGGAGGTAGAAAAGGAGGAAATGAGCCAGGTGGTTGGTGCCAAATTGGGTCTCAAACACATCGGCTGTGCGGCCTTCAGGACAGGCCATCACGCCGGCATTCTTGATTAAAATGTTCAAAGTAGTGGTCCTCGCCTTGAATTGCTCAGCAAACCCACGGACAGATTGCAAGGAATTCAAGTCGAGCTCTAAGAAATGGACACGAGAGGTATCGTCTAAATCACTCAGAACCGTCTTAGCCTTGTCGACATTTCTAGCCGTCAAGTAGAGAGTAGCGCCGGTACGGTAGATGGCACGCGCTGTTTCAACCCCGATACCAGAGGAGCAACCGGTGATGAGGACAGTCTTGCCAGTCAGTTGCCCTTCTAAGCCGTAGTCGTCGATGACCTGAGAGGCTGTGGGACGTGCATCGCCGGGCCCATTGGGGTTTTCGTGAACGGATGAATACTTGGTCGACATGCTGAGAATAGTGATGGAATATGCTAGTGAAGAATGCTAGAGCCGTGGGAAATATTGATGTGCCTTTTCTACAGGCAGTCAAATGGCTCAAGTCAGGGACCTTGGAATTTATACATGTCTAACGCTTGACGCGTAAAAGTGTTCTGATCAGACAATTGCGTCAGAGAAACCTGAGATGTCACAAGGGTCCGCTGATGTGCCTTGAATATTCTGTAGGCGTTGCGACCATGCTACCAGGCGTGCGTCTGTTGAGTGTTCCGACATCTCCATTTGCATTTGGGGTGGAGTATTTTCCGCTAATGCAGTATGCTGATTCACGGTTGATATCATTTCTGATTGTAAGTATTGTTATTTTGTGGGCTAGCTTGGCTTTAACAGCTAACCAAGAAAAACAGCAATAAAAACAGCCGATTAAAACAACAGCACCTACCATTACCAGTAAACCTTGGGCTGAATAAAGCAATTAGCCAGCTACAGCATTGAATATAACAGCATGATCATCTCCTTAAGTGCTGTAAGGCAACACTAAGGTCACTTTCGGTTTGTCTGACCACACGTCTTACACCTCATTCAAGGAACATACCTTATCTAGTAATCTTGGTAGAAAGATAAGTCACTTCACTGCTAAGGAGTACATGATCGCCATAAAAATACTGCTTTTAAATTACCTTTATTGGTAATCTGTATGTAGCGCTTAACAGGGTCTGATTAGGCATCTGGTTCTGAGCACCACGCGTTGGACCCTCATATTCCGAGTACAGACCTGGATCGCTAGAAGCAGGCGGGTCGAACTTGTGTTGCAGGTCGCCCCATGTCTCCCAGAATATGACTCTCTTTCCTTGGTCGTTTATTAACGCAACCTGTCATTGTAATCACTTGGGCGGAACTAGGGATCCGGCTCGGCATGCACACGTTCAATTCTGGAATGGCAGCTGCTGTATTGGTTCTAAATCACCTTTCTTCAATTCTTTGACCAATACTCCCACTGCATGCAGAATTAGATTACATCCATGTATCTTTAGATCTACGATCCCATTTGGTATGCTTCCATCATTTCTTCGAGCTGTAAATGGCCTTCCAATGCTTCCTCAAACGTGACCAAACCGTCAGTAGTGCCTGCAACGATAGCCTCGTACAAACGCCCAACACTTCTTGCAGTGACAGGTAACTTCATCTGCCAATCTGACCATTCCCAATCCAAATTTTCGACTTTTTCAGTAGCAAAATCGCGAACTTCAAGAACTACAGGCTTGTCGTACCCATGAGCTTGCAATGTGGTTGAGCCCCAAGCTGTTAGACGAAGTTCTCCTCGCTCACCTATGACGGACCATACCATCGCTGGTTCACCTGGAAACGGCGACCCGAGCCGAAACCGACAAGACAGGGCGGCTCCTTGCACTGCTTGCTTGGACTTTACTTGACTGTGAAGCATGATTAGGTCGGGTACGTCTGATATCACTGTTTTGAGTGAGGCGCCTGAAGATGGGTCGACGATGCGGATGTTCGGCCGTTGGATTTGGAGCTTGCTACGAATGCTGGTGCTGGTGCCTAAGACGTGTTGGACCTGGTCGAAGACTGCGAAGCTAGCATCAGCATCCTACTTGGATATCTGCTATCGTTCAAACTCACTATGGCCGAAATAGATGGTGAAAATGTTACCACCAATACTCATGTCGGTAAAATACTCAAGTCGACGAGGAAATGCGTCAGGATGGGAAGAAGCGCCAGTTGCTCGGACTTCAGCACTGAGTATCAGTCCAATCCGGCCTTCGGAGATGGCATTTTTGAGCTTGGCAAGTGATGGTGCAAAACGGCCTTGCAGCCCGACAAAAGTCTTGCTCCCACTACGTCGAGCAGCGTCCACCAAATCTTTTGAGTGTTCAAAGTTATGTGCGAGAGGCCATTCTAGGTAGACATCCTTTCCAGCTTTGATGCTGGGCAGCAATGCGTTATAGTGCTTGTCAACACGGGTGCAACATACGACAAGATCGATTTCCGAATCTTGCGCTAGAGCCTCAGGATCTCCGTACGTTCTAGTCTGCGAGGGAAGTTGATGTCGGTCGATGGATCGCTTGGCTGCTTCCAGGCTAGAATTGCAAACAGCAACTATTGAGAACCGTTCCCTACCTCTGGGTGAGAGTAGGTATGGGAGATGAGCGTTTGCAGCCCATCCCTCACCGGAGGAGGAAAGACCAATAATAGCGATGCGGGTCGACATGTCTATGCTGAGTTTGAGGTTGAGGTTGATTGAAGGACGAAGAGTATTGAAGCTCCATCAATCATACCGATGGCTCTATACGCCCCATGTCATTCGTTTTTATGGTACACGGATGACGCGATATCACTGTGTTTGACGAAAACTCCAAGGGCATTCGGCCCGTTGACGGAGCTGGGAAGTGGGGAGAGAGAAAGGAGGATATACTCGTCGCTTTGATCCCAGCTTGTTACTGAGATTGGCCTGGCATGTAGTACCATCCCATGAACGTTATGGAGATGAGTGATTTGGCATTAAGCGTAACAAGTAAGACAAAACTAGTACACGGCATGACGTGACCCCTTACCTCAGTCCTCTGTAAGGCGATTCATGCTAATCAATTGTTTGAGTCGACTCGCCCCACAGAGTAATCAGCATCTTGCATTAGCAGTAATCAGCATCTTGCATTAGCGCTGGAAGAGCCTCCATCCCTGTTAAACTTTGATAATGTGGATGCGTGGGAGAATTCGATAATAAACTTTAACAACAATGAAGCTGCCAGGGCCCGGAACTCAACGCAATGAATATTGATAATGTGGATAGGATCGCAATTTATCCGTTCCAGGAGCGGCAACCGATGCAGTGATGCAAGATCGGGCTCGAAATGACATCAACTGATCTTGGCAGCTCGATGTCAACATCATATATAAAGATGCATCTAGCTCGACGTCTCTGAATGGGATTGTCATACATAGCTTCAACACCATTCTCAGAACACTCACATCCGACAATGGTCACCATGCGAGCAATTGCCCAACTGGGCATCGCCTTCAACGTATCCGTCATCGACGTACCCGTGCCGAAAATCCTCAACGGAACAGATGTCATTGTCAAGCTCAACGCTACCGCTATCTGTGGTAGTGACTTGCACAGCTATCACGTTGATTCTGGATCGCAGGACTTGCCATATCTCTACGGTCATGAAGCCATTGGTGTTGTTACTGAGATTGGTGATGCCGTCCAGTATCTGAACGTGGGTGATTATGTCGTCATCCCGGATAATCTGGACAACGGCCACTTCACGGTCGAACCAGATACCTACTATGCTCCCTTGGGCTTTGGCGGACCTGCCGATGGAAGCGTGCTCCCCGGTCTTCAGAGTATGTGGAATTCCATTCTGCACAATTGTGTCGCCACTTGCTTACAGCGATATAGCGGAGTTTTCTAGGGTTCAATTCGCGGACAATTCGCTCATTCCCATCCCGGCCAACTCGAGTACCAACATCACGACGTTGATCGACTACCTATTCATATCCGATATTCTTTCGACAGCTTGGCAAGGCGTTACCTGGTCAGGTTTTGCACCTGGTGATTCAGTTGCCGTGTTTGGCGCTGGACCTGTTGGCTTGCTAGCTGCCTACTCCGCAATCGTCCGCGGTGCATCGCAAGTATACATCGTCGATCATGTTCAAAGCCGTCTTGACCTTGGTGTATCTATTGGTGCTATTCCAATCAACTTCGGCGATGGAGATCCTGTTGAACAAATTCTTGCGCTTGAGCCTGAAGGTGTGCGAAGAACCGTCGAGGCTGTTGGTTTCGAGGCTGTTGACGCAAAGGGTAATGTCGATGCAGGCCTTGTTCTGCGCCAGGCTGTCAATGTCACAGCGCAAAGGGGAGGCATTGGCATCGTCGGTCTTTACAACTCTACTTTGACTGACTTTGGCATCGGGTCCGTATTCGAAAAGGGCTTGCGGGTCCAAGGCGGTGTTGTCCTACCCCTGCAAGGCGTAGCTCAGGAATTGGTCCCTCTGGTGGCATCGGGCAAGCTCAAGCCAAGCTTCATTGTCAGCAGCATCATCAGCCTGGAGGATGCGCCCGAGTACTACCATCGCTTCGACCACCACAAGGAAACAAAGGTGGTTATTCAACTCTGAAAGCAACGTGTAGTGTAGTTCTCTGTCTTGTGAAGGTACGAGGCGAACGAGTCAGGTAATTCCTGTCTTGATCGCGGCGAAGGGGAGTTGGTTCGTTGAGACGATGTGCGAAGGAAGGATTAGTAATAGATAAATATAGCGCAAACAATATGATGCTTTTATTTCGATTGACGGGCGTTGTTATGCGGGATAAACAATGTTCTGGTACCTGCAAGTAGGTTGTTGAACTGTGTTGGCTCTACAAAAAGGAGGAAATCGCATAATTCGCCTTGGTAACAGAGAACATCGTATATATATCTCGTAGACCAACATCTAAACTCAATGTACTTCTTGATAGCTGGCTAGACTAAGCTCTGGTTGTGTTTGGTCTTCACCAGACCCCACGAGAACCTTTTGGTGGAAGAAATGTTGGCGATCCTGGCCATCTAATTGCGTAAAAAGAAAATTGTGTACTAACGTAAAGCGTTTATTTATCTAGAAAAGCTTCTCTATGAAAAATAGCTGGTCAAGAACCACATGAAGAATATAAAATAATAACTAATTGCAGTGTAGAAGAAATAGCACTTCGGCGAATACAATGCAAGCTTGCAAATACCTTGGGTATTGCGTTGGGACAGGATGAGGCCAGACACAGTAACCGTGCATCTCCTTTTTTGAGATAAAAACTTGATTTTGGGAGTCCCCCGTGTGGACGAGTCATTCTTTTGACTATGCGCTCTTAGCGAGACCCCGGCGGAAGAAATCGATGAACTTGGAGAAGGGAATGAGATCAACGCGGTCATACAGGTCAACGTGACCAGCATTTGGGACCCAGTACAGCTCCTTCGGCTCAGAGGCGGCTTCGTACGCGTTCTCACTAAATTCGCGCGAGTGGGACTTGGTGCCCGAAACAATGAGAAGAGGACGAGGCGAGATGAGATTGAGGTCGTTGAAGGGGTAAAAGTTGATGTGCTTGATCTCAGCATCAATCGGTCGGTTAGTGGTCTGGTTGCGCTGCCATCCCTCTGGTGTGAACTCGGCACGACTGGTACGATAATAGTCGTAAAACTCCAAGACAATTTCAGAAGAGTCCTCATTAATTTCACTAGGAGTTCCCGCGCCGATATCTACTTCGCCTCCAGCCAGTCTAACCCAGCGCTGCTGCGACGCGTGCGCGATGAGCTCCTTGCGCTGTTTCAGATTGACAGAATTTTCTAATCCGTGACGAGTGACAGTGCCCATGTCGTACATGGCCGATGTGGCGACAGCCTTGATACGCGAGTCAATCTTAGCGGCGCTGATGACATAGCCACCACTGCCGCAGATGCCAAGAGCTCCAATTCGCTCGCGGTCAACGAAGTTGTAGGTGCCAAGATGATCAACTGCAGCGCTGTAGGCCTCTGTGAAGAAGTCGGGCGACACCAAGTTGTGGAGGCCTTCACTGCGACCAAAGAAGGGAAGGTCAAGTGTAATGGCGATGAAGCCCTGCTCGGCCAGCTTACCAGCATAAAGACCAGCGCTCTGTTCCTTGACAGCGCCATTGGGATGGCCTACCACGATAGCTGGGTAGTTGGCACTGGCACTGATGTTGTTGGGAACGAAAAGGTGTCCAACGATGGTGGTGTTGTAAATGGTTTGGAAAGTGATGGGCTGGATGCCCACAAACTCGCTGCGGAAAAAGTTGTCGGCTCCAAATGACAGGTTTTGCGCCATGGTTGGCATGGCGGTTGCTATCAACATGATGCCATGAGTGGCAATGTTGAGTACTGACTTCATGATTGGCTATTGAGGGGGTTGCTTGCGAAGAAGTCGGCGATGGCTGGTCAATTGCAATGAGAATGACTTGGTGTACTCGGAGCGACTCGTTCGTTATATAATCGATGAGTGACTGACCGCGATGACCTCATAATGTCACTTGATGAGTCGGAATATCAGAGGCCTCCCCAGAAACGTGGGAGTTCGAGCTACGTCGTCAAAGTAAAGGTTTGGGCCGCGCGTTCTTGTTGTCGTCAACCAGGCGGCTTAGGCCGTACCTATGCCAAGATGTGCGAGGTCGTTTTAAGCATGAACGAGCTATGTGCCGATGGTACGACCGAGTTTCTATCCGAGCAGCGGGTTAAATATCAGCAACCTGCATTAGCGTAGAATGATCCTGCCATGCTTCAGATTTGAACCATGATGCATAATACATAATAAAGCTGTTTCTTGACTACCGAGATACCTTACTGAGAATAGAATAGATAGATGTCGTATACTCGGTAATTTCTTTCCGGCTACATGGGCAGAGGAGGGATGCGGAGGACTTGTGATATGGCGTACTAAATCAAGTGTTTTCATTGAACGCAAAGTGACAAGGCCGTCAGGTCAGGGTACTTCTTTCAACACATTGTAAATAGCAAACGCGCGTTTTGATTCAAGACTTCACCTTAATCTATGTCTACCTGCGTCATATTGACACCGCGACTGGTGGATCTTGGGTGAGTGACTTTCTATCTACCTATACCTAAGCATAGGATCCTTATCACAAATGTATATCATCACTTCACTCGTAATTGTTCTCTAGAGGGAATGGGCAAGTCGTCAATTGGGTCAGTATGCTGAACCGGCCCAAACCCACACCCAGCACCTAAGAATCCATCTAATGTCTCGATAAAGAATGTCTGGAGGGCAGGGAAGGAATGTATATGCGGCCGGATCTGCTCCAGAATCTTGTCGTTCAAGCCATGCTCGAAGCCCACCTTTAAGACTTTGACGAGTTTTATGCCGGTCCACTTGCCGGGACGGTTGTAGAGTTTGAATGCCTCGAAAAGGCAGATGGCTCCGACTGATTTCGATACCATCGTTTTAACCTCTTGGTCGTCTTTGGAACTGCCAGTATCAGATGATGCCGGGCTGGCGTTCCCTGTCAGGTGCCTCTTTGCGAGCTGTCGGACATCATATCGAAGCAGTTCCTCCAATATCTCGTCGTTGTTCCGTTCGGTCGCCAGATCGAGGAGTTCGCGATAGTCTCTCGTCAACCAGGCTCCCTTCTCTAGCAGCGCATGAACCATGTCCAAGCGGTCGAATGAAACCGCTTGGTAGAGAGGGCTCACGTACTTTCCGCCGCAGGAGAAGAGCTTTGCCTTGTGGCTCAGTAAAAACTTCATTGCATTGAAATGCCCTTCCACGACGGACGCCATCAACGGGGATCCATAGTCGCCGCCGGCAGCATTAATGTCTGCCGAAGCTTCGATAAGTTGGTTCATCATCGCGACGTTCCCCTTGCTCGCCGCGGCTTGTAGTGCGGTGCCATATCTGCTGGATGCCATGTCGACGTCCTGACCCTCATCTAGCAAAGACCGCAGTCCGTCGTGGTTATTGTCCAGTACCGCTTCCACAAGTTTGTCACCGGGCATGACCATATTAGTGCCTAGCTCTTTGGCGATCGACTGCTCTTCGGCCATGTCCCTTCTTGACGACTGGGTGATCTTTGAATAGCTCTTGGAACAGAGGAAACGGTTCATGTCCCAGGGCTTGGCGGACTTTGGTACCCTCCATCCCTTGGCATTGGCAACGTACGTGTCGGCCTCAATCTTGGTTGTATCGCCATCCTTGACATTTGTACGGACAGTGACTCGCTGTCTCACCAGCCTGGTAAAACTCCATGGATCAGATTGTTTTCGTTTCCCGTCAAAAAAGTGACACGGGCCGCCTCTTTCGTAAAGGTGATCCAGACAGGCCAGTGCCTCGGCCGAAAGACCAAAGATGAGGAACCCGCGCGTCTCGCCTTGCTTGCTTGGCTGGATGTATGCTAGGCTGTACTGACGGAGACCAAATCTCGAGTAACCTGGTAGAACCGCAGGTGTCCCATGCTGAGCGGCCTCTCTTATCCCATCGGTGATTCCGCCCCAGTCGCTTTCTACCGTACGCAGGCGTCTCCCCTGGACAGAAGAGTAAATGCCATCGGGATTGAGAAAATACTCAGCCTGGGCACGCAGTGCGCTGGGGAACATGAGTGTTCCGTACACGAAGAGCGGCCGGCTATACTCGGCGGCGAGACGCTGACGCAGCTGCGGTGCCGAGAATCGATTGTTTGCAGCTTTGGATGGTTAGCATTCGCGTCTTGTTTTTGGGGTTTCAAGATATTGGGAGCTTGCACCTACCGAGAAGATATGACGGAACATATGTATTTGGAGGGATGCCCAGCTCTTTGCACGCTTTGGTCTGCGCTGCACTGGCCGACCCGGGAGCATGAGGCATCTCGGCCGTAATGCTGTACGTTCCGCTTGATCGGTCTCTGTGGCTCCTCTGCAAGGCCTTGGGCTGAATAACCTGCTCTTCTGGGAGCCCGGAGAACCGCACACGCTTGGTCCTTTTCAACTCGAACCGACCTTCCTCTGGTCCCAGCGTGGCCGTCCCGCTATCACTTTGTAGACTGGTCCAGCCAAAGTCATGGACCAAGTGCGTGTCGCGCAGATGCTGCCTGAGCTTGTCCATGCTGTCGAATACTGGACAAGAGACGCCTGGATTGGGATTGCACCCTGGCCACGGACAGAGTGTTGTGGCCTCTGGAGAGACGAAAGATCGTGAAGCATGTCTGGTGCTATCCGGCATTCTTGAAAGTGATGGAGCTGATATTCCCACTTCTTCAGCAATTTCAATGTTTCCGGTTTTGCTAACTTGCGTGAGAGGTGGCGGGATCAACTCGGTAACATCCTCCAGCAGGTTTCGAGGGTCCTTTGGTGGTTTGTTGGATACTACCAATGTAGTCTCGCCGTCTTCCACAAGAGGGGAAGCGTAGTTCTTGACCGCCTTGTCTTCTTCTGATGGGGTGTTTACCGGTTCGGTCCCGGTGTCACAGTCCTCCGCATCAGTGACATCTAATGTGTCCGACTCCCAAGACTCCAAAATGTCAGAGTGCGACAGGTCTGTTTCGTAAGAGACTGGGTGGTGACCTCGTTGAGAGCTTGACCGATCACTGCAGCAGAGGCCATGGTAGGCTCCCTCCAGCTTGAAGATTCTCCGGAGCAGGTCACTTGCTGTGAGCCTTTCTTCTTTTCGAGATCTGCACATGGCTTCCACGACGTCAACGAGGATGGCATCCTGCGGGTTCTCCTCATTTGACAGGATGCCCCGCAGGTACTGTAGCCACGCTTGGAGACCTCGCTCGTTTTCATAATAAGCAGTTGATCCGGAACCGTTGGTTTTGTCTTGCAGGAACTGGCTGAGGTCCTGCATGGATTTGCCGGCAAGCACGGTCAGCATCTCGACGAAGACGCAGCCAAGAGACCATATGTCACTTGCACGTGTCCGGGTCTAGCATTCTTGTTAGCTTCTTAACGCGTGGTGAAGGTTTTGTAGTAATAGGAGTATTACTTACCCCGATGACCGCCTCGAGGGGTGCATATCTCTTGGAAACAAACTTCATGCTGGGGTTTGTGGATGACTCGGCAGTGTCGTCAACGTCTTCTCTTCTCACTTGAGCAGTCCCGAAATCTGTCAAATACACCTTGCTCTCCTTGACGAGAATATTCTTGGGTTTGATATCCTTGTGCTGCACACCCTTGATTTTGTTGTTGTGCAGGTAGTCAATGGCCGTCGCGATGCAGCCGAAAAAGGTCCGGATGCGTAGACGTCGGTCAGCTTCACCAGCAGGAGGGAGCTTCTTCTCCAGAAACGCCGCGAGATCCTGATCTGCGACTGGCGTCATGAGGATGCCGACGACGCTCGCATCCGTGTACGACCCGACCACCTTGACAATGTGCTGGTGATCGACAAACTGCAGGACTTCCAGCTCATTTTGGAAAAGCTTCAGAATCTTGCGGTCCTTTGTGTCGTCGATGTGCTGCCGGGGTATCGTCTTAAGGGCAAAGTGCTTCAGACTGTGCTTGCCAATCACATGGTCGACTTGCGATCGATAGATCTGAGAACCTCCCTGACCCAGCCTCCGTTTTGTGTAGAAGAATTTGCTTCGTGCGTCTCCTTGACAGTTCTGGTGTCTCGCTCCCCCAGATTCCAAGCTGACCCCCTGGCCGTCAAGCACATGATTCTGATATGCCAGGAAATGGGCCCTGTTCTCTCCCGTCAGGGCATCGGGGAGGTTGTCCTCCGTATAGGGCAGAAAATAATCACTCCGCTCGTCGGTGACAAAGGAGTCCATGACCTGCTCGAGGCCGATCATGTAGAGTATCACGAAGTGCCTCGGCCGCAGAGCCCACTCCTTCTTGCCGCGCATGAGAAGAAGTTCGGTGATATAGTTGAATTCTTGATCGCGAAGACGAATCTTCTGTGGGCGTTGACTGTCCTGGCACACAGGCAAGAACTTGTGCAGCTTTTGGCGGAAGTCATCGTCGGAGATCATGCAGCTGGCAGCCGCCTCGATCAGGTTACTCCTGGATCGCTTTGCCCTCTTGATTGATGGTCTAATGTTTCTGAGTATATTGCACGGCGATTCCGCCATGGTGTATCTCTCTCTGTCGTGGGAATGCATCGTGAGGGTTGCAAAAGGTGATTCACCATCCCCCCTTGCGAATTAATGCGCCATTGCTTGTATTTAATCTCTGGGCTGAATCTAAATTTACAGTCACTTCTCCAGCCTTGCGCCAGGCTGCCTGGGCCGAGATGATCAGCCGCATATCGTATAGGAAAACTAATCTGCCCATTTGTGAGATGACAGCACAAGTCTCAGTCCAGGGCTAGATGTTCGCCCAAAGAAGCCCAATAGGGAAGCCCTGGGGCTGTTCTCCATTGGCAGAGCCACAGGAACAGGGTTTTTTAATCGCCTTGGGAAGGGCACTGCCTTACATATCAGTTTCCAGCCACAACAGTGGTGTGGTGGTCAGCAAGTCTGCAGATCCGGAGTCATCGCTAGACTCACGCGGATCATTTCCCCTCACCAGCGAATAACTAGTGGCAATGGTAGCAGATTCAAAAGTGACAAATAGTTGACGCAAAGTGTCGCACGCAAACTGGGGCAGTGCAGCATCAACCGGGCGCGACCCTCAATGAGCCCAGCGTTGCAACACTCTCAGCCAGCCTCACTCATTACACGTGGCAAGGCTTGACGAGCTGACCTGTGACGAGCCCTGCTCAGCCATCCAGCCCTATGTGTACATTTGGGCTCGTAGATTGGCGCCACCCCCAGACGGCGCAATTGTGAGGCTTTTTCCGGGGAACAGCCCAGGTCGATGACTGCTGGCGGTCGACGTACTTAATTGAAAGGCTGGCATTTGTACATGAGTGACGATGTAGACTGTTTCCAATCACTGGTAGCTTACGAATAACCTATATTTCGTTCAATACCTACTTGGACCATGGACCCTATCAGTGCTGCCGGAATTGGCTTGGGCGTCACATCGCTCTCGCTTCAGGTGTTTTCAGGATGTATCAAAGGTGAGTTCAGTCCAATTCGCGGGTGCCAATTACAGTACTAATCAAGTGGCTGGCAGGTTACCAGATGTTTATTGACATGGTAGGAATGCCTGCCGAGTTTGAGCATCTTCGTACACGGCTCCGGATCGAACAATCACGGTGTCTGCTGTGGGGAGAGAAGATAGGCCTGGTTGAAGAACTACTCGACAGACCTCGCGGGATGCTGCAGATGAATCACAATCTAGTCCTAGACATGCTACATCAGATTCAGACAACGTTCAAGGCGTGCGTCGAAACTACGTCAGCTTTTGGCCATGTGGCGGCGGACAGAAACTCAGAAGCACAAATTAATACAACAGATAGTCAGAGCAAACCAAGATCGACATTTCTCAGAAAGACTCTCGCAGTATGGGAAAGGAGCGGAAGAGTTGCCGCGAAACTCGAGTGGGCAATGTTGAAAAAGGACAGTTTTGAAAAGCTGGTCACCAAACTCGTCCAATACAACGACCGCATCGAATCATTTCTAGATCGCAGTGCGCTCGAAGACCTTCGGACGATGCAGGCTCAGCACAACCTGGCCCTGCTGCAGATGACGGACAGGATCGACCAAATCCAAGACCTGATCCGTGCCATGAGCGTGGTTCGCAGAAGCCCAGCCGACGAGGGCGACCTCGACAGCCTCTTCTCCAGAGCAGTTACATTTGGAGAAGAGCCGTCCGATGTGACGAATCAGTCCGTCGTCTCTCTCGCCGAGTTCAAGAGGCATCACCTGAGCATTGAGATGAACATATCACCCAGCGAGACATTTCTCATACCGCCCAACGACATGGAACTGGACGGAGCGCCAAAATACTTCGGTCGCCAGCTCGCAAACCTAGACGGGCAGAAAGTGTGGCTTGAATGGCGGGAGAGCGTTGACGACGCTTTCTCCCAAAAGACGTACAGCTCAACCGTCGAGACCCGGGTCAAGAAACTCTCCGCCATCCTCGCTGCGTCCGACCGACCGAGGGCATTCCACTCCCCTCAATGCCTGGGTTACTATCGCAGCGAGGCGAGCGGCAAGCCCGGGTATGCGCTGGTGTACAAGTGGCCTGTCGACACGCACGGCCAGAACGCCGACATGGTGTCGCTCCGCGAGCTGCTCAGCAAGATGAGTGTCCCGCCGGCGTTCAACACTAGGCTTCAGATTGCGAAGATGCTGGCCTCGTCGCTGTTGTACCTCCACGCGGTCGACTGGGTTCACAAGGACGTACGTAGTGACAGCATCCTCTTCGCGGCCGACCCGGACCGCACCATCAATCTCAAAGAGCCCATCTTCTCTGGCTTTGAGTTCTCGCGCCCGGCATTACCGGAAGAGGTCACCGTGTCGCATGAGTTCTCCGACAAGCATGATCTGTACCGACATCCGGACCTCCTGACACTCAACGCGGGCAGGTCGAAGAAGTCCCACGACATCTACAGCCTCGGGCTTGTTCTTGCGGAAATCGCTCTCTGGGAGCCCATCGAGGACATTGTGGAGATCAAGGTGCGCAGGAAGGAGCTCAAGTCGGTGAGGAAGCGCATGCTGAGTTCCACCGTCTCCTCGTTCCTGGGCGAGCGTGTGGGATGGATCTACGCCGACGTCGTGAGGGACTGCATCGAGGGCGGCCAGGCCCTGGACCTATTGCCCGGGGACGACGAGGAGGATCCCGAGACGGGCGTGAGACTTTCCAACGCTTTGCATGAGAGAGTGGTTCAGAAGCTTGAATCCATCAGAGTTTGATTTAGATGAATAGCTTCATGAAACGCTCGAAGGTGGCTAGACTCCTTATGTGAGCACGGTAAGTTACTCAACACATTAAACTTCACCCCTTTTGCCCGGCTACAAGGCTTACATATGCCCGGCCGTACATAACATTCAACACCAAAGGCTGTGCCACTCAACCTCATAATAGTACTTTCAATACTTAAGATCAATGGCAGTTTACCACCATAAAGTCCCTGATCATCGTGAGAAAAAGAAGAATCAAGAGAGGCCAGCCTCCTAGATAGTGTAGCCATTTGCTACAATCATCCTAAACCGCACCGCATCTATCCATAGGTAAATCTGGTGCATGTTAAAGTTAAAAGGATGCATGTCCCGTTTTCAAAGAGTATAGTAGTTGAATAATTTCAGCAATGGACCTCCCCACATAGTACACACACATACACACACCTAGACCAGCCCTCGCCCTGAAGATCACATACAACGCGGCCTCCTTTGTATACTCCGCAAAGTCCCTCTGCCACTCACACTTGAGAACAATTTCCAATCCCACTTCTTAAATGCTTCGCACGCTTGTCGCCTGGGCGTCTTCCCAGCCAAAACTCGTAACTCCATTGGGGAATGCCATCTCCCACAGTAATCGCTCGTCTCAGCGATCTCCAGCATAGCGCAAGCCTTGCCGATTTCCTCCTTTCAACTCTTGATGCGGCACAATACCGGATCCCTTGTCAACTATTGTATGGTTGGTAGGGCTAGAAATAAACCGCGAACGTTACAAACCTTGTGTATGAAAATAAAAATAACCCTTTGCCACCTCTATGCCGCACAACTTTTTCTTCACGCCTTGGGGTAAGGTTTGAATTTTAGAATTTCTCTTGACTCGAGGAATTCTCGATGTTGTCTATAAAACCGACCGTAGCTGTCCCTTTTCCTTCCTGTGATTCTAGGACAGCTACCAGAAATCACTGACGATCCTAGTTTCTACGAACAATCAACCTTGGCAAGATGGAATCTGGTGCTCCAACTCAGCCGCCTTCGGCACTAGCCAAAAATAGCCTTATCGGGCTCCCAACAGAGCTTCTTCGCATGATTCGTGATGATCTACCGGTAGCGTCTCGTATTGCGCTCGCTTTAACCTGCAAGAATATTTGCGACGGTATCGGCATTGAACCACTGAAGGGGAAGAAAGTAATTAAGCTCTTACTACTTCTCGAACGGGATAGCCCAAACAAATTCGTCTGCTTTGGCTGCAGAAAGCTCCGGCGCCTGATCGCACATCCAACACTGGGTTGGGTTGATGAAGGCCATGAACAATGCGGGGATCACCGGAAAAAGACTCTCATCTTCTTGCATGAAAATTTGGAGGACGAGATCTGGGTTCATTCTGTCCCCGAAACATACAAAATTCGGTGGAATTCTCATAGCTGGCAGCCTCGCAAGAACGGCCCCGATGTCTCATTTTCAGCGGCTCACTTGGTCATGATCCAGCATCGATATGGGCCGAGATATGGGCTTTCCATTGATGTTCTGAAACGGGAGTTTAATTTCGAGACTTTCATGAAATTGAGGAGCAATGACCATTTCCCTTTGGATAAGTATCCGCCCGGCGGGCAGTATGGACTGCCCTCGGAGGAACAAGAAAACTTCAAACAATCCATATATCACAGAGCTGCTACCATGGTTCGTTCATCACGATGGCCTAAAGTTGGATATGGACTCGGGCCTTGGAGCTTCGGTCACAAATACAGCGCCATGATCATAGAGGACGAACTACATGTGGCTCGTCTTCATCGAGTAAGTGGCATGGCAGTTCCACGACGTGACTTCCTCAGGGTAATGAAATGGCTTCGTCTCCCTATCTGCAACCATGTCTCTGAGGACGATTCTTGGGAGTACGAAGATTCAATTAATCCATGGGACACTTTGTTGGACGAGGTTTCGGGCAACAGTGCTTTTACTGGCAGAGGTTCCATATTCAAAGGAAACCCAGCTACCAAATATATCGATGGCAGCTGCAGCCATTGTTTCACAGATTATGAGATGTTGGTTGAGAGAGATAAACATGGGTGGACGCTGGAGCTGGCAACGTACCATCGGCTCGGACGATGCCAGACACCAGACGATCTCATCTGGCAGTGCCTAGCTAGTCCGTCAAAGCATATCGGTAGAAGTCGTGAAGAGGTCGATCCAAGCTTTGGGCCAGGCTGTACACGAGAGAAATGGCATGAAGCCCTCACGGGCACCACCAACACCTGAGGCGGCAGTCTGTTCTAAGCCGAGGATCTGCATCTCAATTCCATCCTCCGAATTCCCATCAGTTTTGCATCAGAAACGAAGTCCGACAAGGTAATCTTACTCCGGAACGTGCACTTTCATAGCAAAGCAGCTCTATGAACTAACGAGAAGATGTCGGTACCTCTAGTTTCACGCGGAAGATGGATGAAGACGAAATCTCCTTTTTACGAAATGAACAAGACGGACTTATGGTTGTGATCATTCGTAAGAGCGCCCAAATTACGAAATGAGACCAGACTCGAAAAGTACAGTCTTGCTACATGGGGTAATAATTAACACAATGGGACACGAGGAAAAGCGAGCTTTGTTCTGGAATTCTGGATAGGGCCAGTCGTCACTAAATGTATCGAAATATTTAGACGCAAGAAATTCTTGTCTTTTGAGATCAGTTGGAACCTAAGCTTGGTTAATCCCTGAGATTGAGACTAGTTAGCAGCATGTAGAGAGTTCTCTCAAGTAGCCAACTTTCGTGCTTTTAGTCAATATGCCTGCACCAATGTGAAGGTCCATGACGAGCACCACCTTTCATGCTAGAGATCGTAGATAGGGGGCTGAGTTTTACCTCGTGACTACAATCATTAGCTCAGCACTTGTGTGTCGTCACGGTATCCTCCCCGATTCTACCACGCATACATGAGTAAGCGCAGCCCAGAGTTGCCCTTCTATCGAGATCATATCATATTTAGCTCGCCATAGGCGTAGCTATTCCTGCTATTACTGTAAAAGAATACTGACATGAATAACTTTATCTAAGAGCAGAGATCGCCTTCAGCATTCTCCATATAGAGAAGCTATAAGCTTGCTAGCTGTAGTGGAGTGGCTGATTTGAGCACATAGCAAAGTCAAACGCCTCTGGATACATTCAACTGGCACTAAGAGGGAGGCTTCAGCTGATCTGCTATTTTATCCGCAGAGGGGAGAAAAGGAAATAAGAAGCTAGTCCGGGAGGTTGGAAAGCGGGTTCAACCAAGCAAGCCAATGTACACTAAGATCGACCCTTGGTGCAAGACTTGACTGGTTTTAGTTGAGTAGCACTTAGATAAAGCAGTAAGATCCAGAGCCAAAATCGGTAATATGGTTGACTATGTCATCCGTCAGCGCTTTGAGCTCTTGTCATAAGCTGGGTCAACTGAATACAATGCGGTAGGTTTGTCAGCTGGTTGTCATCACTGGACCATGAGCATCAGCTCTGGACTTTCGCCGCTTGAATTTGGGCATCAAGGCATGCGACTCTTCCAATACTCTATACCCTAACCAACCAGCATAGCCCAACGGCGTAAGCCTTCGCGAGTAACGAGAACATAGTTCAGCCACTCCCTAGCCACGTCGGCAGTCTCCTCTCTTGTCTGCCAATAACATGACGCACTTACAGCTCAGCTCAAGCACCCCTGCGTCAGAGCGGCCCGCCGGCACATAAAGCCATAAGCTAAACAGGCTTCAATACCAGTAGTGGCCATTAGCGAGCTTGTAGTGTCAGACATGTTGACGTCCTCTAATTTTCAAACACGGAGCACCTGCACGGCGGTCAGCACTAACAAGTCAGGTCTTACATGAGAAACCTTCACAACGCGAGCGTATATAAGCAATAGGGGCGGAGATGTGCAGCTCTTTGTTGGCCCAGCTTGCCACTTCCCTTAAACTTCCGTGCGCACTCACTAACTTTCTCTTCTATCAAAAACAAAATGCCGTCCAGTAGTCAGTTGCTATACCCGGCTGTTGGCCTTTTGATGGTCGTAGCGATAATTGAGCTGTCCTTTGTCTCCGCCACGGTTGGCTTCTTACATGGCCCTGCCAGTGGCACATTTCCATTCACCAGCGATGGAGCAACGATCGACCTCAAGGGCGAACCAAAAAATCTAATGACCGATCAAGGGCACACGAGCAATGCAGCTGCCGGCACTGCCTTTATTCTCATCGGCCTCGGAGGATCCCTCGCTCTCTTCCTGCGCTCCCGCCCGAACCCCAACAATTTTGCAATCTATTTTCACCATCTCTGGGTGCTGGTCAACTTCCTGAGCTTCCTTCTCACCTTCGGCGCACTCGTTTACGTCTTGGTCGTCACCAATCGCTATGCCGGCCAGACGATCGACGTTGCCGTCGCTGCTGGTCTTGACGGGCAAAAGTATGACGTGGGGACTTGGACACCTCAGGGCTGGTTCTCTGCTCTCCTCGAGCTCGACCTTGCGAACCCCGGCGACAGATCCAAGATATCTTCTATTGTGCGCATTACTCGAGGTTGGCAGTACAATTTGATTCCCTTTTTCATCATTCATCTAGTCGAGACTAGCATCGCGATTTGGGATGCTCTGCAGAGACGCAAACCCGTTTCCCTGACGGGGAGCACCGAGAAAACGGCAGCCTGAATGAGAGGTCTCCGGTCTTCTCACAGCTAATCGAGGATCAAGCATCGGGCATTCAGTGCGGTTCGATTACCCCTCTTATCACCTTCCTTAACCATGTAGCGTTGTTCGAGCCTCGTAGCAACACGTTGCCTGGAAATTTCAACACTCATCGCAATTCATAAGATATCAGAGGTTCATTCTCTCCCCAAACATATCTTACTACAATCTATTCACTGTATATTACATTTTCAGTGATAGAACCTTTTAATAGTATTAAAAATATCCATTACTATATCTTGCTCCCGCACTCGTAGTGAATGTTTTTATTAGACGAGCTTGTGCAGATACATGCATATCCTATGCTGCTCAAGGTCTACTGACTTCTAGCAGCCCTCATGCTAGATATCTATGAGACGGTTACCCTCACTACTTTCCATACTACCGGGTCCAGCTGCTACTTGTTACCAGCTGAACTTCTATGAAACGCGAATCAGCTTGAGACGAAGCTTCGTGGCCCGAATCCAACTCTAATTACCCTGGTTCGTTTTCACCCGGGTACTCCCTCAACAACCAATGACAGCTTTGGTTTTTCTCTCTCACGATTAAATTAGCAGGCAGACCCGCCGAATTGTGGCGAGGGCCCTCGACCCGACCATTCCGGGCAGAGGAGCTGAGCAGGGGTTGTCAGCGTGGATGTCAACTGATCTCGGCTGGATTCGAAACATACGATAATGATATCAATCCAACCGGAGTTTTCTTTTCACTTCACGCAGGAAAAACTGATATCCCCTTGCTCTCCGACGCGTCTACTTTCAGAATATTCTCCCTTCATAGGCCCCTTTGATTCCCACATCTATCAATTGACCTTCCCAAGGGGTTTCCTACCCCTGTACCCTCGTTGCAATCGCTGGCTCGCGTCTCCACTGAGATGGGGGGATCTTACGATGTCATAGTGGTCGGAGCAGGTTGGTCACCCCTTTATATCAGACTCACAGTATAGAATATAGCTTTAACAATTGTCGCCAGGATGGTACGGTCTAGCAGCCGCCAAAGCATATCTGCACATGCACCCCTATTCCAAGCTCGCCATATTAGAAGCTGGAGAATCATGCGGCGGCACTTGGTCAAGAAACCGGCTCTACCCGAGTCTGAAGTCCAACAATTGCGTGGGCACGTATGAGTTTCCAGACTTCCCAATGTCAGAGGAGATATACGGCCTCAAACCACCCAGCCACATTCCCGGTGCTGTATTGTTCCGGTACTTGACGGATTATGCTCGGTACTATGGCATTCTGGACATGATTCAATTCCACACCCGGGTTGACTTGGTGCAGCCCAGTGGTGACGGCTGGCGGCTTCTGGTGACTGGACCAAGAGGCGTAAAGCCCATTGAAACCGGCCGACTCATTATCGCTACGGGACTTACCAACACTCCTAATATTCCTTCTTATCCAGGGTTGAAAACGTTCGGCGCTCCCTTCTTCCATGTTCGAGACTTTTGCCAAGAGATGCAAACTATCCGAGGAGTGAAAAGTGCTATCGTCGTCGGGGGAGGCAAGTCTGCCTTTGACACTGCCTACGCCTTGGTTGAGGATGGAACCGAGGTGGATTTAGTCATCCGGTCAAAGGGGAGAGGTCCGGCCTGGATCTCGCCGCCTGTGGTCACAATATTCAAAAAGTTCTTAGATCGCCTACTCAATGTGAGATGGGTCACCTGGTTCAGCCCATGTCCATGGGGTGCTGAGGATGGATTCCCCAGGACTCGACACTTCCTTCACCAAACCAGACTGGGTCGCTTTCTCGTTGACTGGTTCTGGAGAACTTTTGGCAATTACGTTATCTCTGCTAATCGTTACGATTCCCATCCAGAGATCAAAAAGCTCAAACCCTGGCATTCATCATTTTGGATTGGGAGTAGGCTGAGTATCCTTAATTACGACAAATCAATATGGGACTTTATCAAGCAGGGGAAAATACGAGTTCATGTCGACCAGATAGAGTCCCTCGAATACAAGAGGGCGTTTCTGACATCAGGAAGCATCATAGACACCGATGCTCTTATATGCGCCACGGGGTGGAGGAAGAACAATTCTATCAAATTTATTGGGCTAGGTGATGAAGGGCTTGGATTACCATTCAACAAATCGGACAAAAGGCTACTAGAACACAAAGCAGACGAAAGAATTCTCTACATGTTCCCCGGCCTGGCAAACCAACCCGAAATTTCTCACCAGCAAAGGGGTGAAGAACCGGTACGATATCACCGATTCATGATTCCTCCGACACTGGTTCCGTCGCGAAATTTGGCCTTTGCCGGAATGGTCTCGTCAGTAGCATCGCCGATCATCGCGACCATTCAAGGTCTATGGATCTCAACATTCTTTGACGGCAAACTCGACCGCGCACCGCACACTCTTGAAGAAGTCACGTATGAGGTGATGCTTCATACTCAGTGGGGGAAGTGGCGGTACCCGTGCGGATATGGCTCGAATACTCCTGACCTCGGTCTAGATGGTATACCGTACGCAAACATGTTGATGAGAGACTTGGGGCTGCGGGTAAATCGAAAACCGACGATATACGCTGAGCTCACCAGCCCATATGTTCCCGCAGATTTTCGGGGACTGTCTGAGGAATGGGAGAGGACGCATGAAAAGAACGAGAAGGAATACTGGGAGGACTATGAAATAGAGGAGCCTCTAAAAATCGTAATTAATTAATTATGGCCTCTAAGCCACGTGTATATATATAGACGAATTTAATAGCTTCCGAATTTATATTGTGACAAACATATTCACGGGGAGAAAACAACCATTTTATGATGAAGGGATGAATGAGGTGGGGATTTTGGCTCGTTGGAATGAGGAAATCATAGTGCTTTCAAATTGGATCAATAACGCTCCAATAACTTAATGTCGGCTACTGGATACAAGAATAGGATGGTAGGTTACATATCAAAGAGTAAAAATGAAGAAAAAAATCGACAACGGCATGATTCGAACATGCGCGACCGAAGTCATAGCATCACTAAGATGATTCGAGTGCTACCCATTAACCACTCTGGCACGTTGCCTTGTATGATAATCGCATCATTAAGATAGAACATAAACTAACCAATTTTCCACCGCTCAATCTACTTCAACCAGCAAGCCGAGTCTGGAGTCTATCAATGAAATTAAACGGCCATTCTAGGTTATATCGCGTCTTCTCGGTTTTTGAATTGAAATCAGAGCTTTTTTCGGCTCACTAGACCAAATTCTCTCTTTCCTTCCTTAGAGCCACAAAATGGCTATGTTTATATTGGCATTGAACACCTCCATCACATTGAAATAATCCGCAACATTTTGCGCACTTGTAAGGCGCTTTATAAATCGAGCACGACATTAATTTTTTCGTAAAATATAACTTACTAACCACGATTCACCATTTTATGAGCCGATTTGTGTCGTGTCGCGGTCGGGTTGAGGCAGCTATAGGGTAAGCGAGTTTTGCGAAATTTGCCCTCGAATTCAAGCCGGCATTCTCCGTCAATTGATCTCAGGGGCAGAGATATGGGTACCCAACGAAAGATGCAGGGATCGACCTCTAAAATTAGCTTAGCTCTGTAGTGGAAGTAGGCTAATAGAATAGAATCCTCTTCTAGGGTGTGAAATTCATTGGCTTATGTTTAGTCTACCTAAATAAGACATCGCCCATCTCTCTTCCTGAGTCTAAGAAGTGCAAAACGTCTTCTCTCAGCGTAGCAGAGACTAGACTTGTCTGAATGATGTGAGTTTGTTTACGATCGCTTGGATCGAGACTGCAATTTCCGTGCTCCAACTTCAACGTTGTTGGAGTCACTCTATGAGATGCCGCGAGAACCGTATCATGCCCTCCACAAAGGCCACAGATGCTCGAAGGTCGTGATCCCATCCGATTTAAGAATTTGCATGAAAATTTGAACGTGGTACAAATTCACCCACCGCTCGTATTGCGTCCCTAGACCTTGCGGTACACGACCAAGCACTGCCTTTGGAGACATCAGCAGACTCAGTCACAATCACAGTTTAGGTACCACGGTATGTGTAATTGAAACATTTCATTGTCGGTGAATTTTAGGCCATTGTACAGCAACGTATTTACCCCAACACAGCCCCATAGTTGGCGTTGGACATCAAAGACGAAAAGCCCTTTGCAGTCTCTGCCGCAGATGAAAATCCAGGTTTCCCCTCGGATGGCTGCTAAAAAAAGTCATTCTTGGCCTTGAAGACCGCCTTTTCGGCCCAGAATAGGTCCACAAGCTCAGGGACCGCCTTCACCATTTCTTCTTCAGGCTCCCAGGTCATCTCCTTCTCGTCATACCCGACCCATTCGGTTAGCAGCAATCGTTTCTTGCCTCTCTTGCCTCTCTTGCCTGCCTTATCGTCCCTGAACCGGAACACTTCAAACACTTCGTCGTCGTCTGGGTTCATCGGGCGGCCGTTGGGCAGACTTTGCCAGTAGTGTAACAGAGCGGCTTTCGAATCTCGATGCAGGCTCCGCTCTCGTACCCACGTGGGATCTACACCAACCCATTTAATGTGAAGCTGGAATTCGCCTTTCTCCCATCTGTGGCCGATGATTGCGGTGAATTCCCGTCTGGGCCGCTGAGGTGGCGAGCTTGGACAGCGATATGTGGCTGGAGTATCGCCATCTGCAGATGCGGAGTCCGTTGTGGACATACTCGGAGAGGTAGAGTGGGAGTTCAAGATGAATCGATCGAAAAGAAAAGCGTGCTGGTCTTCCTAAATTTCTGAACGGAGCGAAATTTGCAGCGAGTTGGCACCGATCTGGCTTTTTGAGTTGGCGTGATGCAACGGAATAAAACATGAAGTTGAGGTGGAGCAAAAGTCACGGATGGAAAACTTTTCGAAAGAGCACGAGATTCACGGCAGAAGTGAACGTCGGTTTGCGTGTTTGATTCAACGCGTAATGACCAAGTATCAACGGGTAGCTGCACAAGTGCACCAGTACCGAGCCCTTTATACGTGCACAGCAGCCGCCCACACGTACTGTTACACAGCCTAGAAAGAGGAGCACGCGTTTAAAAACACATTTTACGTCCTGAAGATAGTTCCTAAACACATCACTCACATGTGAAGGTATGCTAAAAAAAGTCTTCTGTGTTCAAGGTTCATTTGGATCTCATGTCCGAGTAAGCATTCAAAGAATGTGTGGTGACATCGAAGCCTCAAGAGCCTAGCTAAATCTATTTTGGAGACATGGACTTTGTCTGAGAATCAAAGATATAATAAATTGAATCTAGTCATCACTTTGGTTCGAAAGTTGGCACATCTCCCATCATTGATCGCGATTTATTTCTCAAACATGTGGTTCAGCAGTGAGAGCTGACACCCAGTTATAGGCTATAACAGCCCATTGAAATCACTACAAAGCAGCTAGAATATTGAGCACGAATTTAGATCGGTCTATTATCGTAACTTCTGTGTAGGTATCTAAGGCAACTAGTTATTGCTTCCCTTTTGGATGCACTTCTTTTGACAATTGAGTTTAGTTCAAAGGTCGTTTGAAAGTAGATGCTTCCGTCTGTCAATCTTGCTAGCCTTCATTGTCACACGTTTGAGTATTTCTAATATCAGTATTGTCTGGGCAACAGGCTCACCAATACTATTGAGCGAGACCTTAGGATGAACAAGGCTCTAATAGAGTACTGAAAGCCACTTCCCACGCCAGAGATAAAGAGTGTAGCGGGGAGTTTGGCCCCCGTTCTGGCTTGGATTGCGAAGAATGGCTGATATCGGCCTGCTTGCTTCGTGCCGCATTGGGGACTCTGACGTGCCCCACGTTTGGAGACTTTGATCGAGGGCGGAAAATCGAGTAGGTTTTGGCGTTGGCTCTTACAGTCCGGCTCGCGCTCGATCTTCGTTTGTTGACAATTATCTTTCGAATCCAGGCTGACAAGATGGAATTAATCTTCATGGTCTGTGTCTGCAAAGCCGCATGACAGCCTGTGCCGATAAGCCCAGTCGTTATTATCGGACCGAGCAGCCTCCTCGCTCTTCGAGGTCTGGGTAGTATTTGTTAAAGCAGGAAATGCCGCGATATATCAACGGCCGGGCAGATTCATGGATGCATAATCAAAAGCGAGTTCAGCTTGTGACTCTCCGAAAAACTCGAACCACACCATTGAGAGCAGAACATTTCTGGATTCTTCCCAGGAATGAAAAGAGAGCGCCTCGAGGGTGTCGACAAGCCAAGCATTGAGGCGAGCGTCTATTCGAGCTAAGCCCCCCAGCTGACTTCGGACCATGTGCATCCAGAGCAAGACGTGATGGGGCACATCGATCTTTCCATCTAGGATGGAGACCATGGCCTCATCAAGTCGCACTGCGGCTCGAACCTGGGCATCATTTCTCGGATGCCATCCAAACATCAATCTCGTCATGATAGCCAGCATGCCGGCGCGCAATGCATTGTTCAAGGAGCAATCGCTGAAGGACAGGCAAAGTAGACGGTATTGCATCGAAACCATGATCTTGCTGTAGATGAGTTGATCAAGCCGCACGCCACGTTTCTGAATATCGTTGCACATCAATGAGAATTGTTGCATATCCAACCAAACATTAACCAGCCTCCAATCGAGCGATTGCATGGTTTGGAGCTGCAAGTAATCTGAGCTAATGTTTGTAGGGTTGTATTGATCTACAACATAACGGTCCCATGGCACTTCGCCCTCGAAGAACATTGGAGGACGGTCGGAAAGGAAGGCAAAAGCGGTATCAACTCTGCGAATAATGTCGGTTAGCAAATTAAAGGGAAAAAAAAGGTCAATTGGGAAGAACACGTATAGCCACGCAGCACATGTCAGCTGACGCACCTGCACATCTTGGTCCGAAGCTCGATGAGGCCCGACTTCAAGTTTTTCAAACCTCCTCGTGCATCGACCAGCGCCTTCAGACCATTCATATGGGCTTCAAAGCTTTTGGCGTCTCCAATTGCTTCTGCAAAGTGTGCTAGAATTATGATGGCCAGGGCCGTTGCATCGGAAGTTGCCGCTGCTTTATCGATCGAACTTATTCTCTCCCTCAGAAGGCGGATGGTCTTTAGTCTATGCTTGTGTGTCTCTCTGCTGGATGGAATACCAGCGAGCAACTCCCTATATGCAAGAGTACCAAAGTGGATAGCATTGAAGTAGAGGGGGTCCTCGAGTAGGACGACCCACAAGGATCTGTCGACTGTGTCAAGCCGCGCGCAGATCTGAGAGGGATAAAACGTGTCTCTGACACAAGTTAGGACTGGCCTGATGTTAGCATGGTTACATGGCTTCCTTCTCCTGATCCGCTTTCGGGGACATTCGGTGGTGGAAGAGACTGACAGTCAGCACAGGCTTCCGACATGTATGGCTCCTTTGCCTCTGCAAAGGTGACCCAAGTCAAATCACACCCTAGACATCGAGGAGCGGCGAGGACGAGGTTCTTGTGCCGATCCTGCTTCTCCGCTGGGGCTTTCAATGGGCCCTTACCTCGACGGGCTCGGGTAATCTGCAGCTGCCGAGAGTTTGATACCGGTCTGGAAGCCGAGCCATCGTGAGATCCATTCCCATGGTCACCGCGACGTTGGGTGGGATTGGGCACCAGCCGGACCTCGATCTGGGCTTCAAGGTTGACTCCCAAGGTATGAATGTGGGTATTGTCGTAGAAGTTCATGCTCCCTCTATTACGGTAGCTGACATGCACACTGAGCCTTGGAGGGTAAACATTAAAAGGTCAAGTTCATCTATCCCTTATTTGTTTTCACTGACGATGTGGGACCGGCCATCGGCAGACCGACCCACTGAGCACAGTGCAATCCTTCGAGCAAATCTAATTTTAATTCGTGACGTAAGCTATTCGTAAGGAAGAATATGTGTACTTTGCTAGCAGCCAAGACGTTTTGTCTGTAGTCAATAAAAGGAGAGAACAGCCAACATTCATGGTCATGTGGCTGCTACAGGTCTGTATATGCCCCCTCGTGGGTTATGTTGGCAGCCTTGGTGCTCACTCATACCCCTGAGCTGATGTGCTAAATTTGGTCACACCGTGCAAACTACCAGCCCTAAAGTCGATCTAACCGACATTGACTGGCTCCCTACATGATTCCCCAAATTCCCCAATGTTGGGGCGTGGTTGCGTGGTGATGAGTACCCCGTGAGCACACATGTTGAGCCGATACGAGACACAGAAATGATCAAGTTGAAGATCTCTCAAGCATAGAGGCAAGAAACATGTAGGAGGCCTGCCCTTTTGAGACTACTGAACCTGAATTGTCGAAATCAAGGGACAAATGCGTTGTGAAATGTACACGGGCGTGCCAAGTCCGATGTCGCGTCACAACCCCAGCAATTTTGTCATGCTAGCCTTGGAGGAATTTACTGATCGCGTAGCGAGAGCCGTAAACAAATCTATGATGAGCAACCAAAAGTAGATGTAGATCATTGGTAAATAGCCTAGACTAATAGAGCCATGGAAATTCTAAACAATAGTCTTCAATACCCCGATATTAGCTACTCCGGAATCGAACACTCGCCGCGGAGATAGCATACCGGGAGATTGATGATGTCATTTGCCTCATTACCTCGACTTTAGTCAGGAGTCAGGACAGTGCTATTGAGAACTCTGGTCGCGATTGTTACTTTGTATCCCTGCGTCAAGATGTTAAGGAGTTGAGGAGGTAGTTTTATATACCATTAACCCTATACTCAAATTGCCGTCCGTTAGTTGTGCAGAAAACAACATGATTTCTCATGTAAAAAGCCATCTAAAAAATCGAGTAGCAAGTTATGTCAAAGCTAGGTACTTGGCTGATTTTGTAAATCGACGAAACTTAGACACGGACAAACTGTGGTGGTGAAACTGCTGCTGACTCGGGCTCAACATCGCCTGGAAATCGATTTTGAAGTACTTGGATAAAGTCATGAGTCAACAACTATAGACACAAAGAGATTAAACTCTACACCAGTATATATAGTACACCGTTATATAGATAACATGGGTTATCTCATTATCTGCGGGGATGGTTTATCATTGCTGCACGTGAGCTTAAGCCATCTTTTCGGATAACCCGATGCTCTCCACTTCCCAGTTCCCCAAACCAAAGTCAACTGCAGCATCTTCCCCGGACAGCTTCCGGTTCACCTTGCATTTGCATATCACGGATTCTCCGCTGCTCAACCAGAGAGCAGCTGTTCAAGGGATGCCCCGAACCTTCACGAGAACCCCGCTTGCATGCGGCTCATGGTGAGTGCCGCCTTCTCAGCCTTGTTCCCGATGTGGTGATTCGGAAGACGATTTGCGTGCCATTTGCTAACTGCATTTCCACTCACAGCCGGCGGCGTAAAACGAAATGTGACGGCATCCGGCCCCGGTGCAAGCACTGTTCAAACAAGAACCTGCAGTGTGTTTGGGCAATGCCGGATCACGATGCGCCACCCGTTGACTCTATTGCACTGACCCCGGACACGTCGGCGGCGGACAGCGTGCCTCACTTCGAAGCGCCGCCGCCGTCCTCCTCCGCATCCGTATCCGAACCGACAGACAAGGGTTTGCAGTCGTGTCTCGACTTGTTCTTCGATCGTCACTTTGCAAGTGACTTTTGCTCGTTCGACTCTAGATCAGACTTTGAGTCCAAATGCAGACAGGATGCTGTCTTGGCAGCATGTGTCATTGCGCTCTGCAGTCGATACCTCTCGCTCGAGACTGCTCAGAACGAGTTTGGGCTTGCCTCACCGAACGATGTGTTCCGTCTCTACATGCGTAGAGCCCGGAATCTCGTCAAAATGGCATCGGATGATCCGAGCGGTAAGTCATCATCCATTGGGAACCCTGGCGAGTTACCGGGTCGCTCACAACCATGTAGTTACTCACATACAAGCCAATCTTATCCTGGCATTGGCTGAGCTACTTTCCAGCTCTGGATCGAGGCACTGGCTCTTCACGGGCACGGCGATCCGGATGGCCGAGATCATGCGGTTGAACAAGGAGTTTCACCAGAAACACAGCTTCAGGGAACAGGAGATTCGGCGCCGGACCTTCTGGGCCTGCCTCATGTTTGATCGGGCACTGGCTTACTTCCTCGGGAAGCACCGAACTGTCAACGAGGAGAGTGTTTCTATATCTGTGCCGGGCACGGACCTATCGATGCTCTACCAAGAAGAGACAAGAGGCGTCACATTGGCCAGCCTCGCCGCCTACGCACGTCCTTCTGATCTGGGGTTGACTTCGTACTTTATCAAAACAACCATCCTGTGGAGCGATCTAGCCGATTTTGCTGCATACTCCCGTCGGCGTCTTGAGAAACATCCCCCAACCAGCCCAGAGAGCCTCTTCTTCGCTCGATCTGAGGCTGCGCAGGAGTGGCGCGACTCTCTACCCGAAGGCCTCCGTTGGAGCATCCGGAACTACGGTACCCATTGCGCACTTGGCCAGAAGAAGCTGTTCCTTTCGATGCAGTTCCTACTACATGGCGCTCTATCTATTGCTCACCAATGCTATCTGCCCCATCCAACTCTCTACACTAATCTCGTTGATCTTGTTGACGGGGCTGGTTGGTCTTATCTCTACCGGGATGAGCCCCTAGTTTCGAATTGTGTATCTAACGCCCTTATCATCGGCGAGATGCTGGACTACCTGATGGATCCCGATCAGGCAAACGACCTGCCGGCCCTGCAGACCATATGGGTCGCCGCTACTACCTTGACGGCCGCCAACGTGTATCTCTGGATGCAGTACGCTCATGATGAGACCTTCTCCACGCCTGAGTACCAGTTCAAGGCCACCCGTTACTTTGATCTTATCCGCCAGCTCGTCTCGTCGTGGACGGGGGAGTGGAAAGTTGCCAATCACTGGCTTCGTGCTCTTGATGTCATGCGCGATCTCTACAAAGCAGCGTATCTGGGCGACGTCAACGAGAGATTCTTCACAAACCATGGCATTGAACTGAATCCAGAGGAGCAGGATGAACTGCTCGACGACTTCCGCCCTCAACCAGGGGATGGCTACCCCACGCTGATTGCACTCCCCAACCTGCAGGCATCGGTCAAGTTCGCCACGTGCGATACGTCAGCAAGATCCATTGATATCCCCTCAATCTGGCTCCAGCTTTCCGGTGGTTGGCCGTTCGGATTCGCGGGGCCGGAGTGTGCCGTGGAGCCTCCTGGTAATATCCAACTGACGAATGACGAGCTTGAGATTCCCCCCGCTTGATAGTGACGGGAATCCCGAGATACTGATCGGCTTCTGGGACTCCACAAACCCCATGAACGAAGAGCTCCTTTGTGATAGTCCTTGAGATTACATGGCACCGCACCACACTGATAAGTACCCCAGTGGGAGAAGTCGATTCCCGTTATTCCCTTGGCACTTCATCTTCTTCACCTTGCAACTCGCCAACATGAAGGTTTCGTTCTTGCTGTATCCTGCGCTTGTCTCGGCGGCTCACGCGAATGGCCAAAACCGCGTGCTCAAGCATGGCAGCCCAGAGTCAGTCGGTCTGTTACCTCAGCCGCTGAATGCGATGATTCAGAACATCACCTCCTACACCGAGCCTCGCAACTATGGAGACGCATCCTTCCAAGAAGTTAGGGCATTGGAGCCTGGCTCTGTCAACCTAGTCGCTCGCCACGGCACCATCGTCAGTGCCTTTGCGGTTGGCCACAGGAAGCTATACGCCGATGCCAATGGCACTCTGCTCGAGCCTCAAGAGCAGGAAAATGCGACGTTTGACACTGTCTATGACATGGCAAGTCTCTCGAAGCTTTTTTGCACCATTGCGGTACTTCGGGAGGTCGATGCGGGGAGGATCGATCTGAATCAGACTGTGGCTACATACTTGCCTGAGTTTGGTGCCAACGGAAAAGAGAATATCACCGTCATCAATCTTCTCACGCACACGAGTGGCCTCTTGCCGTTGCCAACCCCTGACCTCTGGAAGTCTAATTACTCGTCCATTGATCAGCGAGTCACGACACTTCTGACTCTGCCCCCTCAGTTGCCTCCCAGAACGCAGTTCATATATTCAGACATTGGCTTTATGACCCTGCGATATATCCTGGAAAAGGTCACTGGCAGGAACTTTGAACTATTGGTCTATGCGTACACCATACCACTTGGGATGAACTCTACGTTTTACAACCGCGGAAACCTCGAGGGGCCGCTCAACCCCTTCTACCATCGTACCGCCCCAACAGAGTTCGAGATCGAGGCTCAAGGCCCATTGGAACCGGCGAGACCGCAGCCTGTCCGGGGAACCGTCCATGACGAGAATACGTGGGCTCTAGGCGGGCTCTCTGGCCACGCCGGGTTATTCTCCACCGTCGGCGACGTCGCTATATTCTGCCAAATGATCCTAAACAATGGCACCTACGGCGAGCATCGCATCCTTTCCCAAAAATCCGTTGATCTTATATTCACCGACTTCAATGCGAAGTTCCCCGGCAACAACTACGGCACTGGCTTTGCGCTCAACCAATCGTACACCCAAGGGAGTATGCAGAGCCTGAAAACGGCCAGCCACTCTGGTTTCACTGGTACCACGCTTGCTATTGATCGTCCTTCGGATACCTTCTGGATTCATTTCAGTAACCGAGTTCACCCTAGTAGGTGGTACGGTACAAATAACCCTGTTCGAAGGGCGATGGGATATTGGGTTGCCAAGAGTCTTGGGAGGGATGTTCCGTTCCCTAACTAATGTATGGATTGGGTCGAGTCTCTAGCTTGGATTGGATCAAATGTTTGTCCTAGGTTATCATAGTTTACTTGAAAGAAACCGGCACAATACAGACTTGGTTGGATTGTTGAATATGTGGAAAGCTTGCTCCAAAATGATATTGTGCCTAGCCCTCTACCAGTTGCTCTCTCGAGGTCTCACAAGGGGCCATAGCTCGGCTAGCTCAATGAATCTTCGGCGTGCAGTTTTTGATTAAAGAAAATACGCCGGTCAATTCCAATGGCAGTATCAGGGAAATATGTAGTGGTAGTCGTAACAGCTCTATAGGTTTGTCAAGCTTCCTATTATTCTAACAATCGATGAAAACAATCTCTTCACTCATAAATAAACAAGACCCCCTTCGCAATCTAATTTGCTCAAAACGAAATTGCGAACTATGTAGCAGAACCGAGCGGACTTGTTGGCTCGGGAATATCTACCCCTTCCCGACGAAAAACTCGTTTCCCATATTTCCATACTTCATCAATAACTAGCTGAGAGGCACCACTGTCTCCTTTTATCTCTGAGAAGATTGCGAGGTCTGCATCAGCACCGGATGCCAGCGACCCCTTGGTTCCTTCAATGCCCAGCATGGCTGCGGGCGTGCTCGTCACGCTTTTCAACGCTTGTGGGACAGAAACCCCCGACCACTCGAGGAAGTTATTGACACACTCAACCAGCGTGATGGAGCTAAAGTTTCAAACGCGCAAGTCAGCATAAGTAGTTACTATCTCTAGAGAATCATATGACTAACCTTCCAGCGATCTTGTCGGTGCCTTCCAGCCGCAGTGTTGGGCCGGTTTTGATGATTCTGCTCTTGACATCGCCATTCTCCCAAGGGTATGCACCATCAGGGAGCCCAACTAAGTGCATGGCATCTGTGACCAAGATGCAGCCTTCTGGGTGCGCATTATACGCGATCTTGATGACTGTGGGGTGTAGATGAATGCCATCAGCAATAATTCCAAAGTAGGGTCTAGGTGATTTCTCAGCGATGCCTAGCACCCCAAAGATACCTGGGTTACGATGATGAAGCGGTCGCATGGCATTGAAGAGGTGCGTTATCATGGTTGCTCCAGCAGAAACAGCACTTGACGCTTCTTCATATGTGGAGTCAGAGTGTCCGATGGAAACAATGATGCCTCGCTCGCGTAATTTGGGGATGAGGGCGAGCATGTTTCCAAGTTCAGGAGCGAGTGTGATTTTTTTAATAGCGGATGTTTCAGAACCTGACTCTCCGAGATTCTCCTTGCCATAGCAAGCCTCGATATCAGCAAAGCTGTTAGCTTCGAGAAGGACATTCACATCATGAATCCCGTTTTTTCTCGGGTTCAGAAACGGTCCTTCAACGTGGGCTCCGAGTGACTCTGCCCCATGGTCGCTGACGCGAGAGCTATTAGGGCGAAGAAAAGGGAGTGCCTGCGGTTGTTAGCACTCTTAATGAGATTATTAATTGAAGCATGATTTCACCTTCTGGTATAGCGCTGGCTTCTGGCTGGTGAGAGTAGGGGCATAAGAAGTCACACCAGTTTGAACCAACTTCCGATTGACTTCTGCGATGGATTTGGCATATGACAACCCCTCGGGGGCTGTGGAGAAGTTGAAGCCAAAAGCCCCGTTCAGCTGCACATCAATCAGGCCAGGAGAAACAATTCGTCCCTCGAGGTCGATCACTTCGTCAGGGAGGGTTTGGTCGTCGAAGAACGCTGCCTGGCTGGAGACAATAGTTCCGGTCTCAGAGCTCACCCAAAGATCCTCAAAGACGAGTTCGTCATTCCGGACTAGGCGGCAGTTGGTAAACTTGACAATGCCACTCAACTTTGGCGCGTAAAGTTGTCCAGGCATGTCTTGAATGGCAAAGGGAACAAAAGACTTCGATCTCAAACAGGTACTGAGCGTAGAGTTTTGGTCCTAAAATTTCTTGGTATTGACGGAATAGTTAATCGGTCATTAAAGAAAGTACTAGACCCTGTCACACTTTGAGCATTCAAGTGGCTGGCAGCTCACTATCAATTGTATAACCAAATTATGGCGTTCTCCACTGAGCTTGGATTGACATGAAACGTAGTATCCAATCAAACGTCTTATCCCAAATCATGGACATCCCAACGACCGAATATGAGCTTCAATTTCTTTCCATCCAGACTTAGCTCCCGTATGAAGGCCGATTGGCCACGAAGCGGATCCCAATGTTGGGCCGAGGACGGATCTTCCGCCACGCGACCCTCTCACGGTAATACTCCTTGACTAATCCTAGTAATGTCAATGTCATCAGTGAAGGGATAATGCACAGACAGATGTACTGGTTAGCCTGACAATTGGCTCCATCATCGGGTTGTCCGCGGCAAGCACACGGGATTTCCGGCTCCCCACTGTAACGCGGCAAAATGCTCAGGAGGCTGTGACGTACGTAACTCTTATCATTTGGCTGCTAGAAGGGCAAGTTAGACGAAGCGTATCTAAGCGAACTACACGAGTCAGCTGCGCTGAGAGGGAAAGAGTAGCAAGACAACGCCACACCTATAACCTTGTGGCAATATTCATGTATTCAGGCATACCTAATGACGGTCTCCACTCCAAAGGGTTGATCCAAAAGAGAGTCATGGAAATGTCGCTCATAATGTGGCAAACTTCCGATGTCGCTGTGTAGCTCAGTTTTAGGTTTGTCAAAGAAGATACGATGTTTTATAGCTGGAGAATTTACCTGATTTTAGAAGCCAGCCTGTATCACGGTATACTCTGTTAGAACTCGTGAGATTTAATGGCGTAGGCATCTGAATAGGGATCATTGTGACTTTCATGTAGCAGTTGGGCATTTACCTAATCAATTTCTTTATAAGCATATATCTAAAGTAATCACTTAGATAGAAACAACTAATAAATCATTTCTTTACGAGATTTCGTCAAAGAGAAGCAGGTTTCCCTCAAAACCATCTGCCGACGTGCTACGTCGTCTAATGCGATGACTGTGATATAGAGATACAATTAAGTATTGTGATTGAATTCTGAAATAAATTGTGTATTTACATTTGAATACGCCCCAACACTCCATTTGCCAAGAACCTGTCACTTTTAGCCACAATATCGATAATCTGCCGATAATTATCACCAGGTGTAATGACACCCATAACAGCAGGTTCTGTAGATTCTGAATCATCCGCAAGTGGAACAGTGCGGCCACTGACTGACAGAAACCCCAACAGCGCAAACATGACGGCTTCCTTCGCGTTTGGCTCAATCTTGGTGGGTGCCTCGCTGAGCCTGGCCACTCGGCTAGCAGGAAAGCGAGCTTGTAGGTGCTTCAATATGTTCGGGTTGTATGCACCACCGCCGCAGATATAGATTTCATCGATCGTCTTGCCCTCTTCGAGGTGAGGCAGGACGTATTGCTCGTACGCGCGGGCGATAGACTCGGCAGTGATCCTTGTGACAGTGGCAATGATGCCTTGAGAGCTCATGTGGCGAGATCTCATCTTTTCAACGAGTGCACGCGCGACATCATCTGAAAAGAGCTCTCGCCCTGTTGTCTTGGGCGGTTTGAGTTGGAAGTAAGGCTCACCGGCCAGGTAGTCGTTGACGACCTCTTCATCTACTTCCGACTCTCCCTGCAATCCAAGTGCCCCATCTTTGTCGAAATGGGTCTCGCCGTTACTTATGATTCTCATTGCCGCATCTATGAAAACATTTCCCGGGCCAGTGTCAAAAGATAGATAAGTAGGTCGAGAAGTTTCTGTGTTTGATCTTCTAGCTGGCAACACACTTGCGTTTCCTGTGAAGCTGTTAGCTAATGATGCCCTATGGATATCCAACCTGTGATTCCACACACCTATTCCGCCTATATTTTGGCTGATACGTGTCAGCTCAGGATGAGAGAGGAGACAGGCCTCGAAGAACCCTGCAAGTGGTGCTCCCTGACGTCCTGCAGCTAATTCGGCAACGCGAAACCCGCTGACCACCGTCCTGATTTTGAGTTGAGAGTTAGAATTACGTTTAACGAAGACAGGACGAAAGCCAAATTAGGTAACTTGCTTCTTTGTCTTTTGGGCGATGACAGCAGGCTCTGCCATCTGGAGGGTCGAGCGATGCTCCCCAACCGGCTGGTGCCATAACGTCTGCCCATGGCTGGCAATTAGGTCAACTTGGGCCAAGTCGATCCCAGATTCTATGACCGCGCGGGAGAACTCGCGGCCGAGCTCAAAGTTGAGATCGCATAGTTCAGCAAGAGTTGTTGCGGCCTCTTTTTGGTTGGGTCGACATAAGCGGAGGACTTGACTTCGGATAGCTGGGTTGACAGGGATCTCTATATAAGACAGCAGATCAATGTGCACATCGTTCGACGATGGGATGGCTGAGATCCGACAGTGGGCAACGTCGATGCCTGTTGCACTTTTTTAGTTGAGTTGAATGGTACAAAGAAGATGTCAGGTCACTAACCATCAATGCTTGTCCCGCAGTTGAGGCCCAAGATGTTAAGCGACAGCATATTGGACGTAGGCAAGGTCATCTCGGAAGTTTATTTCACACACACAGGGGGCTGCGAGCCGTTCTTTCTCTATTGCCGAGGTAAAGCTTTACTTGTATCTCAGGACTGATCCTCTTTCCATCTTACCACATCTCCATGTGTCGAGACGATGAGCAGATCAAGTTGATATACGGCTGGCACGGAACAGGATGTTCATGGTCAAGTCTCGTGTGGAAATAAAGTCTCGAGCTTAATCCGGATCTGGGCCGGTTTGCGGCTAACTTGGTGATTGGCGGGTCTTCCAGATTCACGGAGAACCCGAAGTCTTTGGTGTCACGAGACCTCTCCTCTATGGAGTTCTAGCGGGATTGAGATAAGCTCTCAAATGGTTCGGCCATTGAAACCTGCTCCACTACTACGAGTCAAGTCTCGCATGAAGACAGACATTGAAACGAGCTTGGCCCTCAGTCTCGAGATCTCTAGTCGGGACATCATTTTTTCTTTAGGCCGTTGGAACACAGAGTATTTCAAAATTAGTTGTAAATGATATTATCTATTCTCGTCTAAGCTAATGGTTGTGAAAGGTTTCCTCATGTCTATACTAGCTCCAGGTATTATTTCATCTCCAGTGCGTGTCTCAATGATCCGTGGTAAGCCTCTAGCTTTGACCTACCCTCTTCCGGCGAACAGCCTAGAGTAGCTACTAAGATGCTGAGCTTGACATGGCCATCACAGTTGGCTAAGACTTGGTCTAGAACCTCCTCTTTGTTGATATCAAGGGCTGCCGTAGATGGCACCACCGTTCGCACAACGCGTCTTGCCCTGTCCCGTAGCTTCTCATTGGACATTTTCAAGTCCACCATCTACCAACATTCAGTCAACTGGTGTTTCTTATTTTCATAGAGGAGAGAGAAATAACGTACCAGATTGCCGAAGGTTTTCCCAATCTTGATTTGTGACCCGGTTGAGATCATGTTGAGTATCTAAGCGAGTCAGCGTCAAAGTACAACGATAGATGTGGAGAGCGTTGTGGTATCAGACTCACCATTTTCGTGGCAGTTCCAGCCTTGAGCCGAGTACTTCCTGTTACTACTTCGGGGCCCGTAACGCACTCAATCAGGACATCACAAAGTCCTTTCAATGAACTTGGGTGTACGCATGCCAGTCCAACCGTGGCAGCGCCAACAGAGCGGGCATATTTCAACCCTCCGAGCACATACGGAGTTCTCCCAGAGGAGGCAATCCCAACGACAACGTCGTCCTTGTTCAGCGTTGGTGTCAGGCGGACGAGATCAGCCGCGCCATCCGGTTCGGAGTCTTCAGCGCCTTCGACCGCATTCCGAATAGCATGATCACCGCCTGCAATCAGTCCAATGAACTGATTCAGCGGTGCTGAGAATGTCGGGGGGCTACAAACCGATTGCCCTACTAGTCAACCGAAAGTGTTCCGCAGCTGGGATAACAAGGCGTTATATCATCTGTACTCACATCTCAGAAGCGTCCAAGACTCCCAAACTGACAACAATCAATAGTTAGTATGGGAATGAAAACGACAGGGAGCTCTTATCTTACCGCCCACTCGTTCCAGCGCCAGTGTATATAACGCGTCCGCCTATCAACAGCCGGGGCACAATCATGTCGATCGTGGCTGCGATCTGCGGTAGGCATTTCTGCACTGCCTTGGAAACTGTTGCGTCCTCTTCATTGATTACCTCTGTGGCATGTTAGGCAATTCTATTGTGCTCATGTGAATTCGATCATCTTCTCAGAGGAGGACGCACCGCATAGACGAGTAGTCGATACAATATCGATGTCCCATGTCTTAGAGTTCTTTTGCTCCGTCTGGAGATCTGCCAGGCTCGAAGGCATTGTGTCAAGTCTAGGGGGCGGAGGAAGGAGAGGAGAGAGAATCATGCAAGCGGCGGGGGCGTAGATGGAGAACCAATGCCGGGCTTTTGTTAAGCATGCAGCCAAGGACGTGAGAGAACGCACTGGATAAAATCGAGATAAGATATAAAGCTAGTCTTAGATTTGGTGTTTTTGCACACACATCGGTTGTTCGTACGTTCAACAGAATGAGATGGAATTGGCCGCCCCCTTTCCAGAGTAAAATTGCAGCTCGGACTTGATCTCCGCTCACCCGAAAGCTTATTTTCGGATGGACCAGGTTCGATGAGTGAAAACATTGAATCCTCCTCAAAGAAGAGACGGGTTTTCCGGAGGGTAGTGGAGCCCGTGGCAGAGAATATCATCTCGCCACGTCGGACAACCCGGCACTACTCGCTTCGTACCCAGTCTCGACCAATTTTAGACAATGAATCAATTTCAGGTCACCGGAGTAGAGTCGCGGGTTCTCTCGGCCAGTAACTAGCTTTGTACAGTTACGTAAAGAGTGTGATTCTCTTCATGCAAGGAACAAGATCAGATTAGTAAAGGCCACAACACGTTACCATACCCGCGGGGAAATGGGGGTTACATGCGGGGAAAGACTCTCAAATATGCAGAATGATCTTGTGATGAGACCGGCCACCAAGTTATTCTAAGCATCAATGAAGATATCGTGGCCGTTGGTTGTGGAGGCTTAATATTCTGGGTTGTTTACGTAGACCAGGACGCACCTCTCTTCGGGTAGCTAATATGTGTTTCTACCAAGCCAAAGTAACACCATTGATAAAATCTCGGGTAGCTACAAGGAATGGTGGTGTACTGATAGGCAAGATATTGTATCCTCTCTGATTCGGCAACAAGCTGGTGTTAGCGTTGATAGCCAATTCTCGGCTGTGGGGTCAGTTTCGGGGACCCCAGTTTTAAGGGAGAACCGTTCCATTCTGTCCGACTATTTATTTTATCTTGACCTCCAAAAATTTAGAACCATGCAACCTCACACTGCTCTGCTTCAGTCTTCATCCTTTCTGCACGTCTCAGTCCAGTAGAGAGTGCTATATTCCATTACTCATTACTACATTTGGAGCTTTTGTCACGTCTATCAGCAGCAATGGGCACCACGTTGCACAGCGTTCGTGTCGCCGTTTGGGGTGAAGCCCCAGACACTCCAGAGGAGCGCAAGGTGTGTCCATGCACCCAAACAGCTGGATCGTAGATGCAATGCTAACACTGCATGCTTCATGAATAGCTTCTGCGAAAAATAGACTTTTTCATTCTGGTAAGCACTCTTTCCAGGACCATTCCTCTCTTGAAAAGAACCCAATATTAACCAAGACACACAGACATACTGCTGCGTGGCGTTTTTCTTTAACTACCTCGGTATGACCCTACGAATATCGGATGCCTGGCCTTGACCTTTTCTTACAATATCTCGACAGATCGTGCCGTGTTGGGAAATGCGTATGTGTCGGGCATGAAAGAAGACATCAATCTCACAGGCAACGAATACAACATTCTGGTCACTGTTCTCTCTATTGGATGTACGTGCCATTTCCTGACCGTTCTGAGCTGGAAGGTTGCTAACAGGTACAAAGACATTATTGGACAGGTTCCTCATGGCCTCATCATCCAGAAAGTCCGCCCACGCATTTGGTTCCCACTCATGACTTTTGTTTGGGCACTCCTTACCATGGCATGCGCAGCATGCAACTCCTTCGGCCACCTCGTACCCGTGCGATTCTTTCAAGGTATTGCTGAGGCATCGACCTACAGTGGCACGCAGTACATTATCGGTAGTTGGTATAAGGGACCGGAAGTTGGAAAGCGAGTGGGCCTGTTCCAGGCTTCTGGAATGGTTGGGACAATGTTCGCTGGTATCCTCATGACTGCTATATACAACACCATGAACGGTGTTGCAGGATTGGCCGGTTGGAGATGGGTGAGTTTAATTTTCTGTTCCTCTCCTATGGTACGGGGACCGACTGCTCATCTAACGCGCTCCTTACCTAGTCCTTCATTATTGACGGCATCATCACCATCCCGGTCGCCGTCTTTGGATATTACTTTTTCCCCGACTTGCCCGAGACGACCCAGGCCTTTTACCTGAAGCCCCATGAGAAGCAGCTTGCACTGTCGCGTCTACCCCCCAAGAACCCAGAGGGTCACAATATTGGTCCCTCTCTGATCAAGAGGGTCTTGTTTGCGCCGAACTTGTAAGTTAATTCCCGTTCACCTTTAAGATAAGGGTCGCTAATTGTCTTTTCAGTTGGATCTTTACCATTTTCTGGACCCTTGGAGGGGCTCTTGAAGCGTTCTCTACTCAGACCTGCATGGTCCTCTGGATGAAGGCATCCAAGCTCTTCACAGTCCCTCAAAATAACACCTACCCACTGGGGATAACAGCCATCGGTATACTTACTTATTCCCAGTGCTTCGTTGAAGAATCTTAAGGCTGACTCTTTACTCCAGGTATATTTCTCACGCTTTTGACATCCATCTTAATCGACGCTACAGGAGTCCATGGTCCGTACGGCTTGATTGCATGCGGTGTTCAACTTGTCACTTGCGTAATCATTCTCTGTTGGGACCTTGTCGGTACCGAAGCTAAGATGGCGGGATTTTGTTAGTGTCTTCAGAGCCTGTACTTTCATGCTAATCAGAGCACCTGACTGACCTTCTTTGTCACTCTTAGATCTGGCCGGAACTGCCTACCTTATCCAGCCCGTCGTTTTCACTTGGGCAAACAAGATCCTCGCAAGAGATGGTGACGACGCCGCACGCGCTGTGATTCTATACGCAATGAATGGTGAGGCTCATACGTGAATTCATACCTGTCCCTCGGCTCATCTTTAATAGGATCATCCTCGGTTCTGTTTTCTTTCTGGGGTATCGCCCTCTACCCGGCTACTGACGCCGCCACAGTAAGTTCTCGGTGTTACTGTGTGTTTGAGGTTGAACCGATACCTGACATATGCTTTTTAGGGATTCCGGAAAGGTGCCATTGCCATGGTGGTTGTCACCGTCCTCCTCGCCGCCTGGATCGGTGTCGTTTGGTGGCAAGACAGAAGGACTCAAGTGCCGGAAATCACTCAAGGCGAGCTTGAGACCAAGATTGAGGAAGGTGCAGAGATGGAAGTCACAACTACCAAAGATGGACATGTCAAGAATTAAGAAGAGGCTTTGGTTTAGAAGGTCAGAATGTCGGCTGGTGGTGATCTCTGTTCGTCTGTTCGTAACCCTGACTACATAGGAGAAATCTTGTAATCTACAAATAGCCACATTGGCTACTTACTTTGTGGCGAACTATTTGTGGCAATCATGGAGGGGACCTGGTAATGATCGTAACATGAAGATTCGCCGCGTATTGTATCTTAAGACTTGACCTATGAATTTGAAAGATCATTCTATACAGAGGAGAAAGAGAACAAAGTTTAACAATAATGAAGCTGCCAGGGCCCGACAACTCAACGCGATGAATGAAAGATCATGCTATACAACATCATGTTGTATGACAGCGCAATTCCTCCAAGTGTGTATTTTTACGATACAAGAAATGACATTATCACTTGCGCAAGAACCAAGTAGGCAAGAAATTTCAAATGGTAAAACACTCCAGATTTATATTATTGTCTGCTTGTCGGGGAGTTGGATTTATTTTCTCATAATACTACCGTCATCGACCCGTTAAGCCTTAATCTCGATTCGCGAACCCATACTATCCAGAGTAGGTTCGGGAGTCACAGTCCTGGAAATCGGCCCAGAAAGTACTGGACTATTCGCGCGAAGCAGATACGGTTGCACTTCAATGGGTTTGAGAGCCACCGGAGACTGTATCTGACCGTTACCGTTGGCGTCACTAGAGACAGCTACGCGTGTTCCTTTACGAAGACTTCGGGGAAGAGCCTGATCAAAACCTTCGTCCCTGGCAACATTTTCGATCGATTTGAAATACTTGATTTGAGTTGTCAGCGTTATGATCGAAATAACGTGTAGATGGCGACTACGAACCTTGACAGTCTTCACTTGCAGCTCGAGCGTCGCGTCCTCATCCGCAACCACCAAGGAGTGTCTATGGAGTTGAAGGGCAGAAAGAGTCCACATGTGGTTGACGCCGCTTTCAATGCACTTTTGCAGCGCTACTGCCTTGCGAGCTCCCAACGCAAGTGTGACAACCTCTCGAGCATCCAAGATGGTCTGAACTCCAACGGTTAGTGCCATTTTTGGCACTTGGTTGATATCGTTGTCGAAGAATCTCGAGTTGGCAAGTATAGTATCATAGGCCAAGGTCTTCACGCGAGTGCGGCTGGCCAAGCTTGAGCCAGGCTCATTGAAGGCAATGTGACCGTCTTCACCGATTCCCCCAAGGAACAGATCAACTCCCCCGACTGCTTCGATTGCCGCTTCAAATTGAGCGCACTCTGACTCGAGGTCTTCTGCATTCCCATTCAAAATGTGAACATTCTCGGGCCTCACGTTCACGTGGGAGAAAAAGTAATGCCACATAAAGGAATGGTAGCTTTGTGGGTGATCCCTTGGGATACCGACGTATTCGTCCTAGACGACGGTCAGGGGTGAGTAAATAGTAAAATATCAAGGAGAGAAAATTCCTCCGCGTCAACATACCATATTAAAGGTAATGACATGCTCAAATGATATCTACAGTAGAATTAGTTCAAGCCTCAGCAAGATAGAATGACGCAAACTCTTCGTACCTCGCCGGCCTTGTACTTTGCCGTTAGGATTCGGTACACCTCGATAGGACTACTGCCAGTAGGGAGGCCTAACACAAAAGGACGCTCCTGGCTAGGGCCAAATTCTTTGATTCGTGTTGTTATATAGTTGGCCACATATTCTGCTACTGAAGTCGAATCCTCGCGCACAATGAGTCTCATAGTGATAATTTTTCTGTGCGGAAATTTTTAAACAATAAGAAGTAGAAGTATAGCGAATAAGATAGTTTATCTTCCAGTGAACAATAAATCTGCGCATTCCAGACCTTCTGTGAATGTATAAATGTCGAGTGGCAGCAAAGCAACCCCGACCAACTAGGTAAATCTCCAATTAGACAGAGCTTGCTTTGCCACGAACGGCTTTTCCGTTACACTACGCGACTCAATTTCACTGAATGTCAAATCCTGCGAAACATTTGAACCCGCCCATTTTTAGAAATCCATACAAGGCGATCACGCTACGGCGTTGGCAGCGAGTTGGTATGTGGAGACCTGAGGGAGTTATCCCGAGATAAAATCGTGGTTATCACCCCTAAGTACCACAGTGGAGCTTGGAACTGTTATTGGTGACTTACGAATCATGTTGGCACCGGCGGAGTTCCCGGCTAACCAGGAAGGACTCGTCGGATAACCCGCCACATCGACAAGGCGAGAAACCCGGCTGGTTGCAGCAACATGTTATAACTATTGTGTTCCACTAGAAGCCCGACGTTCCCATGTGTTTCATACTACATTTGATAAGATGAGTTTCATGACAATGCAATTAGCTATAACCTAAACATTAAACATGTGCTGCGATTTCATAGTTGTAGTGAACGTGGGCCACCCACCGCCCAGCCCTGCCACCAAAGTTCCTGGCAGTACATATGGTTGGTTTGAGGGCCAGAGGATCGGCATTCCTGCTCTTGGCGTGATATGAGTTTCAACATTCCAAAAGCATTCTGGCTAAGTCCTGTTAATGTCTTAACGATGTATCCGTTGCCGAGCCGGCCACCCCTCTTTTAGTTTGTTCTTCTCCATGAATCTTAAGCCATTCAACAGTTCTATGAAGCAACGATTTGTAACCAACATGCCACCTAGAAACAAGGTACTACTCATAGGAGCGACTGGGTATGTGGGCGGGACTGTATTGGATCGTTTGATCAAGGATACAAGCCAGAGTCTGAAAGATGTTGCGATTGATGTCTTAGTACGCAGGGAAGCCCCGGCGGAGGAGCTTCGGGAGGCCTACGGGGACTGAATTGGAACGATTCTCTGGAAGGGCCTCACGGACGAGGATTTCATTATCAATACGACAGCGAATTACGATATTGTTATCAATGCGGGATCTGGGTTCTTCCCTGCCGGTGCCGTGGCCTTTATCGAGGGCCTCGCTCGTCGTGCGAAGAATGGCGAGAGGGCACCATGGATGATACGCATTGAGGGCTGCACCAACTTGTCAGACTTGCCCATCACGGGCGAACCTTTTCCAGAGAGAAAATGGGATGACGCGGATGGCAATGCAATCTACGAGTTTCTCAAGTCGGAGGACGAGAAGAGCCCGTATCTACAACGCACGGCCGAGGTGGCAGTCCTTTCCCGAGCTGAAGAGACGGGCGTCCAAGCTGTCAGTTAAAGCACACCTGGAATCTTCGGGCTCGGGACAGGGCTCTTCAATCAAGCCGGCCTTGCTATTCCATCTGGCATGCGATACGTTATTACTAAAGGGTACGGACACAAAGTTCTTGATACAACCAGTTTTGACTTGGTGCATGTGGGAGATCTAGCCGATCTCTACATTCTTCTTCTGCGTGAGATACTCGAAAGGGAGGACAGAGGTGTCGGTTTCATTCCATCGGGCAAGAACGGTACCATATCCCAGTCGTACTTCGAGCTTCCAATATAGAGATCATTCAACTGTGTCTGAATGCAGCCTTCAGAGAAGGGGTGTTGCCTAGGGAAGATACGCCAAAAGAGAAAGAGATAAGGCGCGTCACTTTGAAGCAGATGGCAGATGAAGTCACCTTTGGGATGCAAGAGGTAGCTGAGCGAGTGGTGGGCCATAAGGCCCAGAAAGGAAACGTGGCTAAGAGGCTTCTTGGTTGGGAGCCAAAGAGACTTGACGAGGCCTGGAAACAAGACTTTAAAGATGAATTGTAGCATTACGAGCCGGGAAAAGAGGAAAGCTAGGTCATGGGGCAACATTTTGTCGCGACATCACTTATTCATATCTGCTGACCTCTGGTCGTCACTTCCCTATTCCTACTATTGAGAATCCTCTCACGCTCGACTTCATCCCGGTGAGGCCCGGACAAGAACATATTGCACAACATGTGTTTGGCGGGTACAATACTGCCAAGGCGGCATGGAACAACGACGATCACCAAGAGTTTTACGAATATGTCGTTATCAGAAACTGGCAATTCCAGATAGGCACTACTGTCAACAACCCAGAGCGAACTACTGGCAGTCCCGCCGCCGGGCAGCTATGGAGAGCTGTTTCCAGAGATGCACAGCAAGATTGAATTGAATTAGTTTGTTAGGACTTTGCATTCAAGCTTATCAGATCGTCAGTCGCTTTGATTCTGTTTTTATCGTCATCACGGGCCTCTGGCAGTCAACTTAAACAAGCGCAAGTCGTAAGTTCTGACCAAAGAAGCGTCCAGGCAACCTCAATGACGCGTCATCCATACGCGGTGTTGGGGAACCAAATATAAAGTTCATGGAAGATGGTAGAAGAAACTCTCTGTAATGGAAATTGCAATGTTTGTTTATTCTCTATCTGGTAACTATGTGGCAACTATGTACTGGCTGGTCTTGGCTTCACCAGCTTCCATGTGAGGAAGACTGGCTACTGACCCAGAACACCGCGAGAAGGTGCCAGCCAATCGTTCTGGACCGGCCAGACTTCTGACAAGCGCCTCCACTCATGATTCACTTGAACCAAGGCTTCTTTGGCAGGGCAGTGGCCGCTGGGGAAAAATCAAGAAAGAGCAAGAACATAACCAAACAAACAAACAAACAAGAAAACAATGAAAAGCATACGCTGTAGAGCAACAAGAAACGCTGAACATGAAAACTGTGAAAGCAACGCTGAGAAAGCAGGAAGACAATAAATCAGAACAATAACGCTGGGAAAACACGCTGGGGATGACGCTGGGGAAGCCCACTTGGGATGACGCTGGGGAAGCCCACTTGGGATGACGCTGGGGAAGCACACCGGGGATGACGCTGGGGAAGCCCACTGGGGGGCCGACGTTGAGAGAAGGAAAGGGGAGGGAAGAAACAACATGAAGTGAAAACAGAAAGAAAATGATGTACGTACCTCACTCCCAAGCCGACCTGTACACTGTTAGCAAAAGCTCTCTCTACCCTCCTGTTCACAGTTAGCAAAACCCTCTACCAAACCTTGCCCCACGATTCCCTACCGCTCGTGATTTCCTCCACTCCTCCGCTCCTCCCCCCCTATTTCCCCTTCCTCCTCTTACTCAGCGTCCCCATTACCATCGCTCTTTCTCGAGGGTCGTAAATCGTCTCGCCGGTCGACATAAATCGTGTGGCCCGTCCGAACCGTATCTTCTTCGGGGATTTGCGCACCGGGTCGTCCGTCTGCTTTCGCGTCTGGTTGACTCCGTCGACAAATTCATCGTACCGATCTATGTCTCGATCCCTCAACCACCACTCCAACTTCTCCTTCACCCATCGAACCGCTCTTCGTAATCGGCTCCGGCGGCGTCCGTGTCGCTGGTCGTCGATCGCAGCCGCTACGCAGTCATCATCACTGCACCCGGGGTGGCGCAGCTCCGACAGGTAGGACTTGTCGAGCATGGCGGACGCGTCGATTGGCTTTTGGAAGAGTGTTGCGGAGATCATCGTGGAAACTTGGCTTGACGTTTGATCTAACAATTCATAAACATTCACGGGTTAGCAATCCACTGAAGGGGATTGAACATGTAGCAAAGGATGATGTGGTAGAAGTAGGTCAATGGTAGATGTCTACTTACATCCGTTGGTTGTTGGAGAAAGTTGTGGTGATTCGAGAGATGACGATTTACGAGGCGACTGTGACGCGTTGAACAAGGTGAGTAAACATGACATCAATACAATGAACTACTAAGGAAAGATACTGACGGTGTTATGGTGCGTGCTGTGTTGCTTTCCGTTCCGCTTGTGTGTTCGTTCGTTCGTTCGTTGGTGCGTTCGTTCGTTCGTTCGTAATTGTGTGCTTATGTGGGAGTGTGCTTTCGATACCGGTTGATGAAAGGAGCAAAGGAAAACCAGGAAGGAGGGGGAGAAGGCCTGGCTTTATAGACATTTTGGGCCCAGGACAGACAGCGAGTGATTAAGGCAGCTTTCTGACAATACGTGATTTACTTTCAAGTTCCTATGACAATTTTGCTGATTTAGTCTCAGGGTTTCCGTGGCGAGGTGAGATGAGAGGTTGGAATACTTTAATTTGACTCATTCCTGCTCGAAAGCTTGAAAATGACTGGAAATCAACAAATTCAAATCTAATATGGAATGAAAAAGAACGCAGAAGTGAGTTTAAATGTCAAATGATGTGGTTTGACTCAATATCTGCTCGATATCCGGGCAAAACCTTGGCAACTGATGCCGTCATCCATTGAACTAGACTGATCACTGATGACTGAATTGCGGCAAACTCACAAAAGAACCTTCATTCATGTGGCTCAGACAACTGTATTTGCTGTAAGCGTAGCCCCTTTGAGCGAAGTCATAACACACTTGGAGAAATGACAACAGAATTACCCTTCGACAGAGAAGTAACTCTTGCTGTGTCGCCCCTTTAACTAGGCAGAACGACGCAACAGGCGAATTTCAAACCTTCGTAAGTGTCAACAATTCCATCACCTGCAAATTGAGTCACAAAAAGAATCATGAATGTAATGATGATATCATTGTGTTGAGTTGTCGGGCTCTGGCAGCTTCCATGTTCTATTGCTTTCGAACTTTATTCTCTTTCCTCTTACGTAGGTACTGGTGGTATGATGCTCTTACTACTTTCATCCTACCCTGAACTTCCACGATTCGAATCAAGAAGATGTCTATGAATTGATGAGTAACTACTTGTGACAACTTGCAATACTTGTCTGGCAAAATGTATGATTTGAAATGAAAGATAGAATCCGAAATAATTATGCTACGAAATCAAATTAAGAAAAAAGGCGTAGGCACGGGTCATGACTGTCTCATATCTCGGTAAAGGTCTGCAATACTCTCATTAACATTATGGTATGATGCGCCTCAAATCAGTTTCTGGGGTAAAGTTTCAACTGGCCGATCAATTATCTGATTCGCCAAATCAAAGGAAAACTAGTTTCTTATTTGGTCTTGTGGCGAGCAGTATTTGATTTTCCACCCAATCAGAAAATAAAACAAGAAAAAAAGAAAGGAAAAATTAAAAAAATCAATAATATTATTTCTCTTTGTGGAAGCCGTCGTGATTTGTTGGCCAATCATAATTGTATGGCCATCAATGATTATTTTCACGACCCGAAAAGGCAATGATAGTAGCTTTTAAATCATTGATTAATTCTTTCGTGATCTGGCACTCGATAGCATGACCTACGCAGTGTCTAGATATGGTAGCATCTCTTGAGGAGCCAAACCAAGAACGTGTTGCTCTACCTGGCATGACCGACGGGGTTGTGTCTTGATCCTGCATTTTGCATGATCCAATTCAGGATACTGAATTCTGGAGATGAGCGACACTGCGATTTTTGAAAGTAGCATGGGAGATAAGGGAAGTTATCGTAGGGGGTGCCTCAACTCCTGTAGCCCTTAGCTGGTGACATCTCTTCATTTTTTCTCTACTTGGACAGACACAAGTTCCGACAACTTCATCTTGCTCTCCAAATCCGCATCACCCCTCTTTATTGCTATTATGCTTTTCCAAAGGAAGCCTAGACACGACTATTGCTATATCTTGTCCCTCCTAGCTCGGTTCATCGGGGGCTGGACTACACTAGGTCTCTTGAGCATGGCCGCGGATAGTCCTTGGTCAAGCCACAAACAATCAGCGATGAGATCCACGATCAAAGATTTTCAAAGGAGACATTGCACGAGGCTGATGGATGTCATTGTAGAAGATATGGCGCATTTGAAAGGACTAAGAAGCATAAACAACGGAAAAGCCAATCACGAAAGCAGCATATTTTATTAGTGTTTACCTCATTTTAGTATCCCAAATTCAGCATTGATGAGAGCGCATATTCTTCTCCTTGTGCATTTTGAAAATTTGTTATGATACTGACTCAGTTACGGCTCGCCCCAGTGGATTGATCCTAACACCCACAATACTACCTGGACATATCAGGGCACCAATGAGCGAACGCAGGCGTAAGACTACGCACTAGCTGAACTGTAAACTTTTCCTGGCCAGTATTGTGCCTCGTGTCAATTTGAACCTTCTTCATCCGTCCACACCAACCCCACGCCCAGTGACCAGTCTCTCCGCAACGACCATGGACGAACCTTCTTACAGCGCCCCAGCATTTCCTTCATTCTCCCGCCTCCCTCTAGAATTACGTGAGCAGATCTGGTCCGAGGCTTTGCCCAGCGCCGATGTGCCGGCCCTTTTCTTCTACAGGAAATGGTGCTTGAGCCCAGGACCATTGACCAGCGATACCGAGCCAGAATCAGACCAAACCACCCTCTATTCTCGCCATGAGACTCCTAGGAGATTCCAGCTAAACGCGCCTTCGTTGTCATTTGTCAACCATGAAGCCCGCGAGGCTGTTGCGCGGTGGATGCGGGATCATCGAGTCAGCAATCAGGGCTGTCAAGGCGGACAAGACCAAATATTCGTCCGAGACTTCGACCCCGCTATCGACATCGTTTGTGTCGCACCCAGCGAGTGGTTCGAATTCCTCACCGAGCTCTACGATCGGTCCTTTGCGCCTAACCTCCTGGCCCGGCACCGCACTGCTCACAGCATGGATATCAAGTATCTTGCCCTCTGCCATACATTGCCGACTCGCGACCTGTCTCCAATTCCCGGGATGTACTACATGCTCAGCCAGATCGAGGTATTGATTATTGTACTCAATATGCCTACCTCCGCGGAAGGGGCCAAGACACAGCCGAATGATGCTTACAGGCTCAAGACCATTCAAGGATGGGGACTGCATTGGAACCCTCAAACCGGCGACTTTGAACCAGAGAGTCATGAACCATTGGGCGATCAGAAGCTTCGCGGACTATTCGAGAGCGCTGTAACAGGACTTCGGAGCACATTGAACAACATCAACCAAAGCATAAGGCACCTTAAGATTCGAGCTGCTTACATCTCTCGGTAGTACGAGAGTTATGTCTTTGGACTTCTTTCATTGCAATGTCATTGCAGATTTCATAAATCAATATTCCGAGCATAAACATATAATTACTTGAGTACAAATCGCCTTGTGAGGCTATCTAACGTTTTGTTTAAATGGATACAGATTTTCTTATATTAGATATGATTTCCAAATCATTAGCACATTAAACAAGAAGCGTTTTATGATTTCTGCGTGATCTAGAAGTGTCTTAATCGAATGCCTTTAGCATCCCCGCTCCAGCATGAGATGAGAGTAAACAGTCTGTCTAAATCACAAAGGACAATTGCATAAAACGGAAACCCTGAACATCAAGCCTAAAAAGAGACATGATGAAAAGAAACGTATTGTCGAACCGCAGCCAACTTTACTATTGTGATGGAGGTCTGGAATCTTCGGGACAGATTTCACTCTGCTCCCTGGCTCCTTTGTTGTGATAAGCGCCAACAAGTAATCCGCTATAGGATGTTGCCTTAGCGTAGACCTCGTTAGCTCCCCAGAGAGGCATTTAATATCACGGACCAACAGCACTTTTATGGGCCTCTTTGCAAATAGCGAGGTCTAGCTGGACATGAGTCGTGGGTTTCTGTTGGACCCCTGTCGAGACTCGACCTCAAGATGACCAATAAGAGTTGAGCGCAGCCGCCAGCAGGATCCCACGAGTTGCTATCGCTCCCTTCTGTGTTGGCCGCTTGATTCAATCTGATTCTGGATTTTTGTTACTGACCTCTCGGTGATCACTACGGCTGGTTATGCCTTCATTTTCCTCTAATAACACAAGACTCGCTGCAAAGACTCTGCTGTCTTGTTGAACCTCAACTCCACATCGCGTGGCGCCACAACCGTTGTGTCTCAGATGTCAAATGGCCCCTGAGATCTCTCACTATGATGTCGTTGTCGTCGGCGCGGGCATTGCTGGCTGCGCTGTAGCAAAAGCCTTTGCCGACCAAGGGCGTCAAGTTTTAGTTCTCGAGAGACAACTATCAGAGCCTGATCGTATAGTGGGAGAACTACTTCAGCCTGGCGGTGTTGCAGCGTTGGCAAAGCTCGGTCTAGTTGACTGTGTCCAAGATATTGATGCGGTACCGGTCACGGGATACCACATGTTCTGGAAATGTCAAGAAGAAGTTTCTTTCTGGTTTTGTCCGCCTCCAGGACAGCCTCCAGAGAATAAGCCAGCAGGGCGCAGTTTCCACCATGGACGCTTCGTAGCAAAGCTACGACAGAAAATATCAGAGACGGAGGGCATCACAGTCCTACAAAGGAATGTGGTGGAAATGATAAGAGACGAAAGATCCGCTGTCGTAATAGGCGTTGCATGTAGCGACGAACAATCATCAAAGGTACATATGTGATATCTTCTCCGGCGGCCGCAGATGATGGTTAACAGGTTGTAGTACTTTGGCGATCTCATTTTGCTTACGGACGGCGCCTCGTCTAACTTTCGATCGCAAGTTCTCCCCTACCAGCCCACGGCGCAATCAAGATTCTGGGGTTTGGAACTTATCGATGCCGATCTTCCATTTTACAGCTACGCATATGGCATCATCGGATCTGGTCCCCCAATGTTGATCTATCAAATCAGCAAGCGTGAGACAAGGATACTGATTGACATTCTCGACGATACCTATAAGTCACTTGGGAGCAATACCGAGGCTGTCAAGTCCCATATCCTGGACAATGTGGTGCCCATACTTCCCGAGAGGCTTCAACCCAGTCTCGTCGATGCTGTCCGCTCGGGCCGGCTCCGAAGTGTGCCCAATCGGTGGGTGCCATCTTCGCAAAACAAGCAGCCAGGGCTCGTCGTGTTGGGGGATGCTCTGAACATGCGCCATCCTTTAACGGGAGGGGGGATGACAGTCGCCCTCAAAGATGCCATTCTACTTGCTGAGCTTCTCGAGCCATCCAAAGTTCCCTCGCTTGCAGACCACTCGTTGGTTTTAAATAAATTAGGTGACTTTCATTGGAGGAGAAAACGCTACGCCGCATCCATCAACATTCTTGCACAAGCGCTTTATTTACTTTTTGTTGCTGAGGGTGAGTTTGATTATGACGAGTCCCAGTGCCTTCTATCTTTCACGGAAAGCTAACTATATACAGACGAGGGACTTGAAATTATGCAAAGAGGATTTGTGAATTACATCCAACAAGGCGAGAAAAATTTTGCTGAGCCTGTTGGTATAATGGGGGGAGTGGTGGAGAGCCCGTCAAAGCTCTTCTACCACTTCATTCGCATTGCCCTGTACAGTGTTGGGCTGCATCTGTACGGGGCTGGTATACTTGGGTTCCCTGCTGCGTTGGTCCAGTCATTGAGAGTGTTCTTAAGCGCCGTGAAGATTATTTTACCCTCCATCTTGGATGAGTTAAGGAGCTGAGACGTTAGCCAAGCACTAGAAATAGAAACGCAAGTTGATTCACTGAACCTGGCTTAGTGGGAATGAGTGAAATCTATGCTGTAGACGACCAACAAGCTGTTATCCACGAACCAGGGAAGCAAAAACAGCAATGGTGGGTTTTTATCGTGGTGACGCGATGTGCGCGCCGCTCACTAGCCAGCATCTTACATTAGATCGGCGCTTAAGTGCATAAGCCCACAACGCTCATCGCCAAGCCAATCTTTCTTGGATCTTGGTTGGGTTCAAGCTGCATACCAGGATGGGGACTGCTGTATAGATCTCCATTTGTTGGCCATGTCAGCTGGGTGTGTTGTTGATGCTGGCGCGTGAGGTTTCAAGTATATGTCAAGGATGTTGATAAAGGAATACTAAGACGGATTTCCCTTCCCTGCTCTACACACTCGTTTCTTCGTAATTATGGCTCCCATACCTGATTTTGTCGGCTGGACCGGCTCCCCAAACTACAGAGGGACCATCGACATTCTTTATACCAATTTTGTTACTCTCTTTATTTGTGTGTGGACTGTCCTTCATCACAACATCCAAGCAGCTGACGACGGGTACTGGACGATCCTAGCCCGTAAATCTCGATGGGCGGCTCTTGCTATCTGGGCGCCGGAAATACTCACTCTCTTTGCCATTATGCAATGGAACGCAGCCAACATTTCCGTTGCAGAGATGAAAAGTCTGGGCTTTAGTGACTGGACTATGGTACACGCCTTCTACGCAAACGCCGGGGGCTTCGTTCTATCAACGCCTGACTTCCCCCCTTTTCCGATCAACGCAACTTCTCTACACTATCTCATCCGAACGAAGCGTATCGATATGCCCGATATTACAAAGTGTCAAATATGGGACAGGAGCAAGGCTGATCGACTGGCAAAGGCGGCGGCGTTTATCCAAGCTGCGTGGCTTTTGATTACAATCATTGCTCGAGCGAGTCAGTCCCTTACCATCACCCCCTTTGAGGTCTTCACAATAGCCTTCGTCGTTCCTACCTTGGCAACTTTATACTTCTGGTCCAGAAAACCACAAAATGTTGGCGAACCCATCACCATCTCTGTTAACTGGACGATTGCCGAGCTGCTCATCTCGGCCGGTGATGTGGCCAAGGAGCCATACGTGGATACCCCACTGGACTTTGTTGAGAAGCCTCCTTGGGATGGATGGCGGCGTTTCCCCTCTCTACTACACTTTGGAGGACTTCAGAAACGCCCCTTGGCAAGAATCCCCAACGACTATTCGCCGCCTCCCCCAACTGGGAAGGAAGCAACAATTGTCTGGGTAGTATCTGTCGTCCATGCAATGATTCACCTCGTCAGCTTGTCATTCCCATTCCCCACACAGACGGAAACCATTCTCTGGAGATCCTGTAGCCTGATCCTGCTTGTGGTGATGGTGGTAGGCAGCCTTGTGCCCGTGCTTTCCACCCAGCCCTGGTTTGACTTCACCTTCAACCTAATTTGGATCTGGACTCGAAAAGCCAAAAAAGACACCTTCGTTCGCAGGTGGCTGTTCAGGCTTCCTGCCGATGCAGCCTATTCTATTTATATTGTTGCCAGGGTTATAATATTTGTTGAGATTTTTCTGGCATTTAGGGCCATGCCGAAGGATGTGTATGATGATATTCAGTGGACGTCATTTTGGCCACATGTGTAGGAATGAACGACTTTACGTTTGACGACATGATTACATGACTTGTATCGTACCTACACCTAGGTAATTAGTCTTTGATAGAGTACGTAATGACTCAGTGTTGCTTTGGCAAGCGCATCGTGATTCCAAATGAACGTAAAGTACAGGATAGACCTTAAGTCTCCAGAAACTCAGGCGTCACTACGGTGATTGAGGCAAATGGTGGCCGTCATTTTATAACCTTCTGGCACTTAGACAGCTATGACCTAGTCCTTTCAAAACACATTAGAATTTGAAGTTGGATTTAGGTTATCCCCAAACCTTGCTTTCTACAAAACTTCATGTTCTCCACGTCATCTTGTAGAAGCTTCCATTGTAGCCTGATCGTAGTGTTTTGATATTTATTGGCAGCGAATCAAATGTACGATTTTTTTGATTGGTTGTAAAAAAAAGTTTGGCGAACTCGTGCTCTGAGCTCTGCATTTAATTCTGGTTGATTTTGCCCCAATCAAAAATTAACATCTCAGGTTTACCTGTTTAATTCCAATTTTCATAAGATTGTGCATGGATATGTTGGTACAAGTTGTGCATGGTTGGAAGTCTTTTTGAACTGCCCGATGTCGAGACAAATTTGCCGGTGCCTACGACTGCAAAATGCACGACGCGAATTAGAGATGAGAAATTCGTACACACATAAATCTCAAAAGAATTCTTCCGACTATTAAACTCAAATAAGTTCGCCTTTTCAACCACCAACTGGCTTTCTTAGTTGATATCTTTTGTGATGGCTGTTTAGACATCATAAAGCAGGGTGTAGGGTAGATGTTATCGAGGCACCGACTGGAATTTATTCCGACACTTTAATTTCATCAATCATTGAAGCAATTTCCTATTTTTGAATAGGGGGTATCAAACTAATTACATTTTGAACACAGTCGTTGCACAGGGCACATCTCACTCGCCATGATATGTATCCTGCGGGCCGGGACTGAAACCTCATTTGCTAGAAGGAAGAATCCTCGAGTAAACCTGCATTACGGGGCCCTCAACTTCAGTTGTTTTCATCACTACAATTGACCACCGAGCTCGCTATTTTTTACGACACATCAAAGACATTGCCATACATCAGACCGCTAGCAGCACCGAGGAAGTCAGAATTATCCCCGCCTTGAGGAAGCCGTGTAAACCAATCCTCAGACCACATGGAAGAGAGATCGCTCGGGGCTTGATTGGCGGTGGCGGCTGCATTCTCAGGCATATTCACGCCAAGTCTTGACAATGTTGTCGATATTGGATTCATACTCCCGGCGGGAGCGGGACTCGAGAAGCCCCGATTCTCTGCATGATGAGGCTCTTGGTTATTAAATGGTCACCAGAAGTATGAGTTGAGCGATGCTTACCCAATACATTTTGAATGATATCTTTGGCGCGAAGCGCAACATCGAGGGAGGATCCGAGTATTTGCAGGCACTCAACGGCTTGGAAGAGAGAGACCTTCCAGCCTGCGGACAGGGGATGGTTGGGGCTGTAAATCAAGCATGTCGCCTGCACGAAACTGGCGGTGATCAGCCAGGCAGTTGCATACCAAGCAAATCCTCTCGTGGGCATCTCGATGGACTTCACGAATCCGCATATGGATGTAACGCATTCGTCTGCTGCCGTGATGCATGAATTGATGGGTTTGATCGAAATGTCAAGCTGTGCTCCCGCGGCGATGTTCTCAAATAAAAAGGGCCGGTTCAAAACAATCCGTAGATTAAACGACCTCCACAGGAGCACCCTCTTGGGGAATTCTAGTTTGGGTTCTAGAATTGTCCCCTCGTCGAAATAAGGAGGAAGGTTACTCCACCATGACTGGATGATCTCCTCTAACTTCATCGCCTTCGCGTAGCTCGGGCGACGATGAGTCAGAAGCTCACTATGCACTGTGTTTGCAATCTTGGCTAGCTTGACCTGCATTATGAGACAAGATGAGACGGTAGGCTCAGGCTTTGGCGGTGGCATTTCGTCCATATCCACGGCAAGGTCCCAATCATCTAGATTCGTGGGAAGCTGGACATTCACCCCAACCAGAGAGGCTGCAGGGCGTCCCAGAGCCAGCTGTGCACCGGACACAAAGACAAACAATGTCCACCAGACGCGCCGGCGTATCTCCATCGTAAAGGGCGATGTGGTGGGTGTGTCGAACTCCCTGTGTAGGCCGATAGCCAATGCCATGCTGAAGGCGATGCCGATAAGGATGAACCCTGCATTGGGTTTGTTGCGTTTCTGCATGTAGTTGGCCAACAGAGTTAAGGCCTGGACGTAGCTGAGCGAGCCCTTCTCCAGGATATCCATGCTCAGGTGCTTTCGAGCCTCTTTGAAAAAGGGCAGATCATTCCTCATACTATTCGGTCCGCTGACGAATGCACCGATGGCAAGAACGGAACTGTATAACAAGGGCCAGGAACCGTCTCTGGGCTTTGCAAGTGCACCTGATTCTTAGTTAGACCCCGTGCACTCGAAGGTTCAGTTGTTGCAAAGCTTACCAGACACTCGAGCTCTGAATGTTCCTTCATGGAGGATGGGATATGCTGGGTGGTAGAGCGCGAAATATTCATCGATGTAATGTTGGATGGTTGCTGACGCCTGAGACGATGCTTCAGGGATGTCTTGGTCGTCAGGATTAGATAGAGGAGATGCATACAGGATGGGCAAATACGGCGGAAGGGATTGGAGGAACTTGAGAGCAGCAATGCCAGACTGCGGTCCAGTGTAGCCAGCTTTGTGTGGACCCGCTGTCAGAAATGCCATGCCGTCGATGGAACCTTCTACATCTAGAGATTCATCGAACTCATAATCCTCTGCGTTGGTCGGTTCCATCGGGGTTTCCGACGGCTCTTCGATGCCATCATCGGTTGCCTCGTTCTTTTGGCCCGTTGCATCATTCGCTTGGATCACATCTTCGGCTTCACATGGGAGTGCATCATGAGAATCTGCTGGCTCTTTGGGGAGGCTGCGTAGAGCAGCTTCCAGATCTACTCCCGGGAGATGCAACCTCCAGGCCTTGACCATATCCGCCCGAATGGCCTCGCTCTCCCGCAAGCGCCTATTGCAAGACGTATGAGAAAGTGCCAAGGTGATTACGCAAGGGAGTTTAGTTGCTTACCTCTGCAGCGACACCAGTCTCTGCGATGGGGACGAGTAACGGCACTGCTTGGAGTCCCGAGAGCAATTGGCGCATCGGTCACCGCCCGAGCAGCGGATCTTGCGTCGCTTACACTCATCGCAAGCGAAGGACTTGCGCAGCACCCGGGTGTGGTCGTTCGATTCGGCCATGATTCGGAGCGAGCCCAGCTCAGGATTTCGGGCATCCTGCGCGGTGGTAGAGGGGGAGATCTGCGGAGAAAGCCCATGCCCTGCTTTTTCAGGGAGAACCATCTCCGAAGATCAGCTGGGAGTGTTTATATGCGGGTTACGTAATGTGCCAGCTCCAGAGTCACGTCACCGTGAGACGGAGACAGTCTCGTCTCCAATGTTTTGTCTATTCCCAGTGAGTGTTAGCATGAGTGAGGCCGGTGGGGATTGCAGGGAGACAAGCCATGAGACTGGCTCGGCGCAAGTCCGTTCTCGCAAACCCCATGGGGAGCATGTCGCTTGACTCGCTTCGCTTGACTGGGTCCGGGGCCCCAGATCCAGCACGTCGGGAATTGAAATTGCTCAGGTCAATCTCCATCTTGTGAGGCTATGATGGCCGCCTTATTACGGCTAGTATATAGCTCAACGGTTTCCCCATAGTGTGATATCATCAATCATCCCTTTTCGAACAGTCTCGTTCATGCATAGTCTCATCAAGCTCTACTTTCCACGCACTGACTGCTGACTTGTCCTTGATCAAGATGTTGGAGGGAAAGGCCCTTGAAATCACTTTGACGGCGGCCAATTCCGCTGCTCAAGCCTGGTATGGGTACGATCAGGTTAGTCATCTGTCCCCATCACTTCCCAAGGCCTGATGAAAGTTGCACGTAGCCTAACTAAATATAAGGGCGTTGTGAGCGGGATGCTCATCAGTCCGGACTTCATCAAGGTCTTCCCCGAGACCGAGAAGGCTGACATACAAGGCATCACAGCGAGCTGTTTCTCTGTAAGTAACGTCCCACCGACCGCTAGTACAATGACCTAAAATGACTTACTTCTAATTAGCTTGGTAATCTGCTTGGCTGCTTGTTGGCCGCTATCTATGGCGATCGCCTGGGTAGGAAGAATACCCTTAGGGTTGGCGGTGTCGTCAGCGCTATCGGGGCTGTTCTGCAGTTCTCGGCATTTTCCTTTCCTCAACTGATTGTTGGACGAGTGATCAACGGCGTGGGTAACGGTAGGTCTACCCGATATATGTTCATAGTCTGTCCACCCTTACTCAATGTACTTGGGATTTGTAGGCATGCTATCTTCCACGTGTGGCATCTTCCAAGCCGAGTCTTGCGCCAGCACCCGCAGAGGAAAATTATCCGTCATTGTGGTTCTTCATAACGTCGTGTTCTACTGCATCGCGACATGGCTGACTCTTGCCTGTTCTTTCGCTTCGGGAGGCTGGCAATGGCGTCTGCCACTCGCTTTACAGGTAAGAATATTCTTACATTTGACTGAAGCTAAGCTAACCTTGGTAGATTGTTCCCTGCCTTTTCATGATGACGTTCCTGGCCTTTGTTCCTGAGAGCCCTCGTTGGCTATTGATGAATGATCGAGCCGACGAAGGGCTTGAAGTGATTCGCCGTTACTCTGGCAATGGGCTCTCAACAAGCGATCCCATTGTCCAAGATGAGTATCGCTCAATCAAGGGCGCAATTCTGATTGAAAAGCAGTCTCAGATCTCTTTCATATCTATCCTGACCGGTCGGGATCGCTCTGGTCATCTGAAGCGTCTTCTCCTTGGTTGTGGTGGGCAATTCATGCAAGTAAGTGGAGTTAATTAGGAGAACATTTTGTAAAATCAAGACTCCCAAGCTTACGCTCTTTGCAGCAATTTGGTGGAATCAACGCACTGAACTATTACTTCACAATCATCCTGACGAAGAATGTCGGCCTCGACGAGTTGCTTGCAAGAATCCTGACTGGCTGCAACGCTACGTCGTACATGATCTCTTCAGCTTGCGCCTTCTGGATCATCGATAGATTTGGTCGTCGAATCCTGATGCTTACCGGATTGTCCCTGCAAAGCTTGGCCTATGTCATGGTAGCTATTTCTGTAGGATTGCTGTCTACGGCGCCATTTGAGGTAAACACCCTCTTCCATTTTCACCAGCATAACCACTAACAGAGGCAGTGGGGAATCGTCGCGATTTCATTCTTGTTCTTCTACTACGCCGCCTTCGGATGCACTTGGGGCATGGTCCCATGGGTCTACCAATCTGAGGTCAACTCGCTCGCTATGAGAACTGTTGGTGCTGCCGCTGCTACATCGACAAACTGGGTTTGTTCATCTTTTCCTCTCTGTTTTTGACAAGAATTTGTTACTTGGATGATTGCTAACAATCCACCAAAGCTATTTGGTTTCGTCTGCACCCAGTTTACACCCACGGGAATTGAGAATATTGGATATCGATTCTACATCAGTAAGATTACCCTTTGCCAGCATACAAAAATTCTCCTACTAAACGCAAATGTGTAGTTTTTGCCGTGTTCAACCTGGCTTTCATTTTTGTCGTCTACTTCCTCTACCCCGAGACCGCCAACCGAACGCTCGAAGACCTCAATGCCTACTTCGACATTGACTCGGGGCATTCCACAATCATTCCGATCGGCGACAAGGTTGCCAAGTCCTCAAAGCGTCCACAGGAAGCGATTGATGCGGAGGCTAGCCGTGTTGCCATGGCGGCAGCTGCGGATGGAAAGGGCCAGGATGTGGCAGTGGAGCATGCCGAGGATGTTGACAATGTTGCTTGAGTTTTGGCACTGAGCGGTTCCTCCTGACCAACCAGGCATTTGCATAACCAGGTAGTAGGAACAGTTAGGGGGTCCAATTGAGTGCCGGAGGGACATTCTTCAATGTTTGTCTCCGACTCCGGAGTGTGGTAGTGGTAACATGTAGATACCTTAGTTTACAAATAGCGGAGTATATGACAGAAGTGAGGGTGTACATCCTTGATTATGCCTACCTGAATAATACATGAATCTCAGACTATCTTTTTTGTTTGTGAAGCTGTTGTAATATCACAAAATGGATCTCCTCGCCATTGTCACATGCCCAGAAGTGTTGTCCATACTAGGCTGACTCGAAGGTCGGATTCCCACCTCTCAGAGATGGATTTGGCCCCGCATCTTGCTCCGTATCCACCTTTGATGAAGATCCCACCTGTTGGAGTATCGTTATTGGCCTCGGCGTAAGCCCGAGAGACTTTGGTGGGCTTCGACACACTCGGAGATAGCCCCGAGTAACTTCATAACCGTGTTATTGCCAACACACCTGTCCCAATGAAGTCAGTCTAGATCATCGTCATTGCAAATGCCCGGCTTATGTGAGAGTAAAATCCGGCTGAGGAGTAGATTGGGGTATTATAATGCAATTCTAGCTTAGGTAGTTACTGGGCAGTGAAAGCAGCTGAACTTCGCGTGGGGAAAAGACGACGATCCGGAACATTCAAGGGTCAACATGCTTCAAGGAATAGTGCCGACATGGTATAGTAACGGTAGGTCGTTCAGGTAAGAGCCAGCCTCTACTTGATCAAACACCAAGGATGAGCCATCTTCGTCATAGCCTAGATTAGGTGGTGATTTTACCATAATAATTGCCACTATTCTTCCTATTCATCCAAGATTTGGACCTTGATTGCTCTAGCTGCAGGCGTACTTGCCGCTTTGAAAGCTTCAACTCCTTCTTCTAGCTTGAAACGATGAGACACCAAAGGTTTAAGATCAATCATACCAGCCGCTACTAGACTGATCGCCTTGGGATAAACATCATGATATCGGTATTGGAACTTCAAATCGATTTCGTTGGCAGATAGGTGCATGAAGGGAATGTTTTGGAAATCTTTGCCAACACCAATGACAAAAACAGAGCCGCCAAATCGCGTAGCCTAAGCATCATCGTTAGTACTATCCCAGAACATATAATCCCCAGGAAACCCCCCTTAGGTTACAGTGATTCTTACATAAATACCAGAGTGGATGCTGCTTTCAACACCTGTACACTCCAGTACTAGCTTGGCTTCTTGGCCTAATTGTTCGACAATCCTTGCAGCGATGGTTTTTGAGTCTTGGCCCTTCTCAACCAGGACTGTACGAACACGAGGAATGAGTTCCTTAGCTTTCGCAAGCCGCCCCTCGTCCAAGTCAGTAATGACGATCGGCTCAGCCCCTGCAGCGTTCGCGGCCAGCAGAGAAGTGAGCCCAATAGGCCCAGCACCACAGATCACAAGAGGATCCGCCAGTCGGAGACCGGAGCGATCGATGCCCGCAAGAGCGACTGAGAGCGGCTCGACCAATGACCCCTCTTCGAACGAAACATGGTCAGGGAGCTTATGTATCCAAGCTTCGGGATGAGCATGATATCGCCGTAGTACTCCGTTGTATGGAGGTGTAGAGAAGAATACAACGTCTGGACACGCGTTGTATCTACCTGTTCGACAATAGAAACAGGTAGGCTTTGAGCAGGGAACTCCGCATTCCAACGCCACACGATCGCCTGCACCTCGATTAGTGAAAACGAGAAGACAAGTAGACATAGCTGAGTATCATACCGGGCTTGAAACGTGTCACCGATCCTCCAACTTTCAAAACGACTCCTGCACTCTCGTGGCCAAGACCATAGTCTCCTGTGACTACCATGGGGCCAATCCTCCCGTGCTTCCAGAAATGAACGTCAGAACCGCAGATTCCAGACGCCCGAACGTGAACGAGACAATCATTTTGTCCAATATCTGGGATCTCGCATTCTACGAGACGTAGATCGTGGTCCGGGCTGGTATGCACCGCGAGGTTGACAGGCTTCTTACTGAGAATATCCATGGTGGAGGTTGAACAGGGAGATGTATAATTTGGGAATTCTATCTCTACTGTTTCATTAAGTAGACGCCCATCGAGAATTTTTGTCTTCTAGTAGCTGTTTTCTCTTCATACTCAAACATTCTCCAAAGTTGTTCTCGTGACCGAAGTGGTGGTTTGTTGGCATGCGCCACGTGTACTTCGATCTCTCGGTCTTTGCCCCAACCTGAGAGATGCACTACAAGGATTCCCCGGGATCCGACCTCTGATCGACTGAACGTCCACTACCAAGAATGCGAGACTGCATTTCTTCCGCCCGAAACGGCCAGATACCGACAGCGGATTGCTCCTTACCCCCCGGTCCTAGATCCGATACGTTCGGCATTACGCCCGCCGAGACTTCACGTGAGACGCTTGCAGTTACGACGAAGTTTTACATACCGATTTATGCCTTTGTATCGCTACCTATGTGGAGGTATTTGTCCGCTTTCGGGATGGTATCCTGCTTGATAGCCACTGGTGCTGTGATCTCATCTGAACAATTGTCCCCCGCATACCACTCATGTAAGATAGAATATAAGGTGTCTAGAACAGTACAATCAAAATTGTTTATTCTTACTTACTTTGAAGATATTTCCAAGTATTGAAGTGACTTGTTTCTCTGTACCGCTTCCATAATGGCATTTCCGGCAGAAACTGAAGGCTTTCAAGTCGATGGTCCAGGGATTCCACCTGAGTTTCACAAGCGTTCGGTAGGTACCTTGATTTCTTAAGCCGTGACAGATTTCACCACACGAAGCCTTGGCATAAATTCCTAGTCTTTATCAGTATACTAACGAGTAGATATAATTTAGTTCAAATTGAAGCCAGTGGGTGACTATGGTAAGACCCGAGTCTTGTACATCTCCAAGTCTCACAACATCGCTAACTTCCACAGATGTCGACATAAAAATTGATGCTTGCGGTGTATGCGGAAGCGATGTTCACACCGTGACCGGGGGATGGGGAAAACAGAACTTTCCTCTTTGCGTGGGACATGGTGAGAAAATCCTTACTTTCCATCAATGGTCTGGCTTTTAGACTAACCCCCAAAAAGAGATTGTTGGCCACGCAGTGCGAGTTGGACCAAAAGTAACTCTGGTCAAGCAAGGTCAGCGAGTCGGAGTCGGTGCTCAGGTTTACTCGTGTGGAGACTGCAAGCAGTGTCGTGAAGACAATGAAACCTACTGCCAAGTGAACTTGATCAACACTTACGGCTCCGAATGGCCTGGAACAGGAATAATTAGTCAAGGTGGCCTAGCATCCCATATTAGAGCCCACGAGTTCTGGGTATTTCCCATCCCAGACGCGTTGAGTACTAAGACAGTGGCTCCGATGCTGTGTGCTGGGTTAACTGCATACTCGCCCTTGGTACGACACGGAGCTGGGAAGGGCAAGAAGGTTGGAATAGTTGGAATTGGAGGCATAGGCCACTTCGGAATTATGTTCGCCAAGGCTTTGGGAGCTGAGACTTGGGCAATCTCCCGATCTAGGGCAAAAGAGGCTGAGGCTCGCAAGCTGGGAGCTGATGGGTTCATCGCGACAGCCGAGGAAGGTTGGGAGGCTGAGCATCGCTGTACGTTTGACTTGATTGTCAATTGTGCGAACTCATCCTCCGGGTTTGATCTTGCCAAGTACCTGTCTCTGATGGACGTCCATGGCCGGTGGATTTCTGTCGGTCTCCCAGAGGAGGAGGGCCAAGTCATCAAAGCCCAAAATCTCGTCTCGAACGGCGTTTTAATTGGCGCTAGCCACCTTGGAAGCAGACGGGAGACGCTTGATATGCTGAAACTTGCTGCAGACAATGGGCTGGAGGGCTGGGTCGAAGAACTCAAGCTTGGCCAGGATGGGCTTCAAGAGGCAATTCTGCGTATGAAGAAGGGCGACGTTCGTTACCGGTTCACGATGACTGGGTACGACGAGGTTTTCGGCCAATAGTAAATAGAAAGAATAGATTATGTCTCGCTGTTTCGTACACTACTGCCTCACTTATTTCGACCGGTTCTCTTTGATGGTGAGATGCTGTCTCATTGAAAACACGATCTATACAGAGGTGACTCTCACTCGCTGCCCCTAATGCATTGGTGAACCTACAAGGCAAGGCCACTTTAGCCATAGATCCAGCTTCTCGCATAAATGCAACATCGTGTTGCGAGGAAAGTACTAGTGATCACATGCAACCTGACGTAGCAATTTCCCCCCTCCTTCGGTGTCACCTCCGAGTGGCGAGTCATAACTTGCTGCTCAAGATTGAGCATATTTAGTTAATGCATATGCGTGTTACATATTCTTTTATATTGTAGTATTTAATCGTCCCGGAAGTTAGATTAGTTTTTCTACGAATCATAAGACCTGTTATGTGCCTTAATTAAATCTAGCTCTTCAATATGTCGCCGCGCCTAGAAGACAAAGTCAGTATCGTCACCGGTTCTTCCTCTGGACTAGGTCGAGCTATTGCATTGAGATACGCTGAAGAGGGTGCAAGAGTTGTTTGTGCAGACCTGAAGCCGTCAGCTCGTCTTCCAGATTTAGAGGATACCAATTTGGAGACACACGAGTTGATCACCCAAAAAGGCGGAAAAGCCATATTTGTCAGAACTGATGTTACTTCTGCTACTGACTGGAAAGTTGCCATCCAGGCTGCAGTAACAGAGTATGGAAGATTAGATATGTAAGTGACTGTTTCAATCTAAGAACTGGTTTTACATGTATTCTAATAATTTTAATAGTTTGGTGAACAACGCAGGAGTCGGTTTAGAGGCACTTCGACCACCAGCACAAATCCACAACACTGACGAAGATTTGTGGGATAAGACAATGACGATCAACTCAAAGTCAGTCTTTCTTGGTTGCAAGTACGCCATCGGCCAGATGCTTGCACAGGCGCCGCATTCATCTGGGGATCGGGGCTGGATAGTGAATATTTCATCGATCATGGCCTTGATTGGAGGGCCGAGCAACCGTGGGTGCTATCAATGTCATACCCTTTCTTGCAAAGTCATTAATTAGCATTCTAGCATCGTACTGTGCCTCAAAGGGGGCAGTGAGCAGTTTGACTCGGCAAGTTGCCCTTGACTATGCATCATCCCGAATCCATGTCAATGCTATTTGCCCTGGTTGTAAGTTGAACCATCGAGCTACGTGAAAAGCGCGAGGCCTAACCTACGTTTAGATATCCAAACGGCAATCTTCAAAGAAACTACCGCAAGGGAGACAACAATTGAAGATCTCCAACGCAAGCATCCCTTTAATGGCCCAGGAAAACCAGAAGATGTCGCTAGATTCGCTGTTGTCCTCGCAAGTGAGGATGCATGTTGGGTTACTGGAACCTCGATGGCAATCGACGGTGGCTATACAGCTCGCTAATCTAAGAGCGGTCTGATACTATATTTTCAAAGTCCTATATACGTTGTTGAATGTGCTTCTCGTACTACTATTACTCTAAGAACTTACTAAAGGAAGACTGGAAACAATATCTTATTTGTGATAACATTTACTCTGTCTCGCCATTAGGTGAAATAAGACACACGTATCGCCTAAAGACAAATCACTTACAAGACATTTTAATTTTAGATTGATATTAACGAAAAGTCTATAAGCTACGTATAACTAGAAGTTTACGTAAAACAAGGGTTTATGGAATGATTACCGAGGATATCCTGGCTCTAAACATAGCTGTGCCAGCTAAGAACCCCCTTTTTGCTTGGTGTGCTCCTCAAGTCGCTAGGCAGCAGAGGATCCAACATAAATTTCAAAGTTATCCCAGCAGAATGAACAATTCGTGTTCAGTCGGCACATTATGAAACGCTCGATTAGATCCTCAGCTATTCCCCACTGTCTAATACGAGGTCAATGGTGAGGAGTTGACACTCGGCACATCGCCGCTCGGCCTCATCTCCATCCCCGGACGAAACTCCGTTTCTCGGAGCTCAGCTTGCACCCCACACTTAGGCACCGATTCCACAACTACTTGGCATCAGAGACAACTCACGGAAAAGATTAGTCGATCTCTGTCTTGTGACTTCCCCAAGCTACCTTCGATGGGGTTACTCCGCACTTTGCTGAAACGCGGACATACTGACGGCCATGGTGTCCGACTGGTCGGCAGGGTCCCGCCAAGCATCACATGTCCTGCTATTCAGCGTATCAAGCATTCCACGTCAGCACATATTTGCTTTTCAGCGATGATCTATTGATGGAGACGAGGGAGGATTTGAGGATACTCCTCTATGCTTCTAGATTTTAAATATTGCGATCAATTCTCTGAAGTGAACAATCATTCTATCATCATTCCTCTTATCTCGCTCGACTCAACGTGTGGCCGTTGTTCTGCACAGAAGCACTCCGTAGCATTCGTTTTATTCTGGGAAATTGAAGCCCAAGATGTCTCCAATTGCGTTGAGAGATGACGCCCCGCCCAAGAGGTACGATCATGTCATCGACCTCCCAGAGACCGCCCCGGTCACGTCCGTGCCCAATGCATGGAGAGTAGCACAACAATGGCTCAGCAGCCTGGAAGCTGTCTTTTCGTCCGGAGATTTCTCTAACCTTGGAGACCTCTTCAATGAAGATTCCTGGTGGCGCGACATCATCGCCCTACAATGGGACTTCCGCACCATTCACGGTCGTGAAGCCATCCAGAACTTCTTGTCCCAAAACAAGGAATCGGGACCACTGTCAAACTTCCGTCTACATGAGACTGGAAAGTTCCAGCCGCGACTTGAAATAGTCAATGAGAAGACAGGGCTTGCGTGGATCTCTTCGCTATTTCATTTTGAATCTCCAATTGGCACCGGGTCGGGTGTCTTGCGACTGACTCAGGAGCGCCCTGGAGTTTGGAAGGCTTTCGCCGTGTACACTTCCCTACAAACACTGAAAGCCCATGATGAGCCATTGGTGGAGAAGCGTTGGTATGGAACGATTGATTCCATGCCAGGGGGCCTGTCGAAGGGGACATGGAGCGAGCGCCGGAAGCGGCAGGTTGATTTCCTGGACGAGGATCCCCAAGTGCTTGTTGTTGGAGCTGGTAAGCTTGCAGCCCTATCCCAATCATACAGAATCGAGAGAAATAGGAGTAATTAACATTACTAATTAGGCCAATCTGGTTTGAACGTTGCCGCTCGTCTTCAATCACTGGGACTTTCGGTTCTGATCATCGATAAAAACAACCGGGTCGGTGACAATTGGAGAAACAGATACAGAGTGAGTCTACATTCAAATGAGACAAAAATGAATCTGATGGCAATCCTAACATGCGATAGACCCTTGTCACACACGACCCAGCAGAGTTCACACACATGGCTTACCTCCCATTCCCCAAGAACTGGCCGCAATTCACCCCTAAAGACAAACTGGGTGATTGGTTTGAGGCCTATGTTTCTTTGATGGAGCTCAATGTCTGGACTAAGACGACCTTGACCAATTCCAGCTTTGATGATGAGAAGGGGCAGTGGAGCGTGGATATCATCCGGGATGGTAGTCAACGAACGATTCAGCCAAAGCATGTCATTCTCTGCACTGGTCATGCCGGAGAACCATTGGTCCCTTCCTTCCCAGGACAAGCAGATTTCAAAGGCCAAGTATACCATGGTAGTCAGCATGCTGAGGCGACAGAGGCTCAAGCCAAGGGCAAGAAGGTTATCGTTGTGGGAACTGGCAACAGTGGCCATGATATTGCCGAAGATTTTCACTATGCTGGCGCTGAGGTGACCATGCTTCAGCGAAGCGGAACATATGTTCTGTCCTTGGATAGGGGTGTATTCTTGCTCCACGAGGGAATGCACGAAGATAACGGGTAAGTCAATCATTGTTTAGACTTTTCTCTCTTGTTTATGTATTAACGTTTGTTGTGCAGACCACCAACGGACGAGTGTGATGTTGTCGGCGAGAGTCTGCCCTTCCCCGTCCAATTTGCCCTTAACGTAGAAGGGAGAAAACGCATCTCCGAGGCCGACAAAGAAACCATCGAAGGTCTTGAGCGTGCCGGGTTCAAACTTGACTATGCAATCGATGGTTCCGGGATTGCGCGACTCTACTACACACGTGGTGGTGGTTACTACATTGACGTTGGATGCAGCAAGCTCATCATCGACGGCAAGGTCAAGGTCCACCAAAGCCCTGGGGGAATCTCTGGATTTACTCCCGATGCGCTTGTCCTCAAAGATGGCACTGAGCTCAAGGCTGACATCGTAGTCTTGGCCACTGGCTACGACAACATGAAGACCACGGCGGAGAAGATCATGGGTAGCAAGGTTGCATCGCGGCTAAAGGATGTATGGGATCTCGATGAAGAGGGTGAACTGAATGCCGTGAGTACTCGTCCCAATTGCCGAATCATCCTGAAACATGCTAACGATTTTATGTTTAGATGTGGCGACCAAGCGGCCATCCTAATTTCTGGTACATGGGCGGAAACCTTGCGATCTGCCGCATCTACTCCAAGTACCTCGCGTTGCAGATCAAGGCGGCCGAAGAAGGATTGAACCGCAACCCAAATAAAGTCTAAATAGGATAGATGATAAACGAATCTTGCTTGTTGACGTCCAAACACAACCGTTCTCGCTGGAGTGAAACCCTAAACCATTGCCAGGATGAGTACCAAAACTATTGCAGTTTACAGTGTGCGTAATAGTGCTCTTGCTAAGAACGATGACATAGAGCAAGTGTAGTTGTCGCCTGTTTTGGGTAAAAAGATCCCCCCAGTAATCATAAAAAGGCTGGGTTAGCATTTCTTGTAAGTGAAAGTTTTAGATATCTAGCCAATGCGAGACCGAGTGAAAGAAGAACAAAGGCAAGCTAAAAACAACATCGTATCTAAACCGGCATGTACTTGGCTTACTCCTAACGCTCCAGACCTGCTTCATGTCTGCTTTGTCACTCCACTGCCCTCCACTGCTTCTCAAGTGCCGCCACCTCCAAAGTCGCATTCTGAGCCCCTGCCACCATCCCAAATGCCTCCTGCCTTAGCTGGGCAGATTGGAGCAGGTCCATGTTCGCAAAACCAGACCCAACACCAGGCGCGCTGTACGTGTAAGGTGTTCCAAATGATATCTGGTCCATGTGGCCCTTGACCATGTGGAACGTGCTCTGGGTGTTGAGCATCTGCTGCTGTCCAAGAAGAATTTTCTGGTGCGCTATGATGTTACGCATTCGAGGCACCGTTTGGGTGTACACGATACGTCGTTGCGCAACAGCCTGGAAGAGGGCAGGAAGGCCAGAAGGTCCTGCGGCGGCCACTTGTTTGAATAGATCTCTCATCCGCGGGCTGTACATCTCACAAAGCGTGGCTTGAGGTATGAGGGTATCTTGATAGTCCATCGTCTGGCACAAATTGGGGTATTGAGCGGTGAAGTTAAGATGACATTCTGGGCAGATCGTACATCCAGGCCATCCGTACCAATGCACCCCTGACTTGTCCTGATCCCTGGGACAGAGGGGGATTTTAGCCCAGACAGATGCAAAGGAACTGAGAGGCGACGGATCAGCCTTCATATAAACCTCAATAAGTTTAGAGAAGAACTGTAGCATCCGAGCATGTGCTGGATTGAAGGAACACAGTAGTTGCTCGGTTTTCGGAAGCCCAATCTTGGGGACGAAATGCTGAGAGACCTGTAAAGACTCTGCGATGGTGATATGGCACGCCTTACACATCCTAAAGTCGGCCGGATCCGAACGTAATGTGTACCATTGGCCATTCTTGATACCTTGCGCGCTGCAAGCAGGAACATGCGACAGCCTTTTCGCGGCGGCCCAGAACCCAGAGTAGTCTTCCAGGTCATGGCCTCGTTCAACACACAGCTTCAAATTCAGCTGAGCAAAGCAACATGTCGCCTTTTGACGCCGATCAGCCTTCCATTCCGTAACTTCGCGCCATTTGGCATCTTCGTCGGTCCAGAGAACCTGGTCACAGAAACAAGCAGGACAGGCCGCAAGCCCGCGAATCTCCTTGGGCATGAACCAAGAGAGACCATATGTCGGGACCGGATTAGGGCCCGGACATCTGGAGATCGAAAGCCGCGCCTTAGCCTCGGTAACGAATCCAGGCCAGTCATTGGTCTTGGACTTGTGCTCCAGATGCTTCAGCACATATCGCGACGCAATATCACATGCCCATATGTCGTTCGGACCCTGGCGCCCCTCGGGCACTTGTTCGAATTTCCTGGCAAAGTAGGTGGGAAAGACGTAATCTTCAAAACAGGCTTGACAGGCAAAAAAGCCGGGTATCGAGTCTCCCTCGGTCTTGTACCAGCGATGACCTTGCCCGCCTTTGATCCCATCTGCCCCTTTGCATGGCTGAATGTTTGGGCGGAATCGCATATACTCGAGGGCGGGGTGAAGCGATCCAGCAGCGACTGCCTGAGGGAGAAGCCGTGTCTTCATACGAGGCAAACTGCACCAACATATCCGCGGTATCCCATCTGTGAAGTACGCAGATTGGAGAGATGATCCAGCCGGGTTCCATTCGAGGTGGTCGAGATAGCAACGAGAGCAAATGAAGAAGGCGGGAGCTTCAGGGTGCCAATACCATGTCGTGGGGAATGAGGCCAGGAAGTCGATACATGATGTTACGGCTTTGTTGGCCGGGGGCGCCGTTGGTGGTGATACAGGTGATGAAGGCTGGGCAGTTGGTTTCCGGGGAATCTGCATAGACACTGAACGCGCTGGAGGGGCATCGGCTGGGGGTGAGGGCTGTGTGAATACTGCTGAGTACCGTTGCTGGCTTTGCCTTGGTGGTAGAGCCGGCGGCACTACCTGAGGGAGATTTCTTGGCGGCTGAGGGGGTGGAACAATTTCTGGAAGGCTGCTCGAAGGTTGATAGAGCGGAACCGCTTCCGGGAGGCTACTTGAATATGGATGGGATGGTACTGCTTCGGGGAGGTTGCTTGGAGGCGGAGCGGCCGGGACTATCTCAGGGAGGCTTCTTGGAGACTGAGTACCTGGTACTACTTCTGGGAGATCGCTATCAGGCGGCGGCTGCTGGGTGTGAGACGACGCTGGTGAAGATACTGAGGTCCAACCAGGAGGAGGACCGGGAGGTGGTGCATATTCATCGTCTCTCGGCTGCTCCGGCTGGAAAGTTGTCGCCGGATGCGAGGCAGGCAAAGGAGAGCCATTCCCTTGCGTGTAGGCCGACATCGCGCCTGTGACGGTGTCTGGCCGATGAGCGAGCAGAAATCAGGTTGTCGTCTGTGTTGACCCGCTCATTTCAATCCCCTCACAGCTCCATTTCTGGAATCTCTCGTGGGATCACGTTGTAATCATCAGGCCCACCCTTATTTCGACTCACTCAACAGTCACAACATCTAAGAACAGACGTCTATAGTATTTATTACGAACTAACCACGGCCATGAGAAGTAAATATGCCTTTGGGGCCATCGTTTATTTAATTGCACAACATGTCTTCTATCATTACTCCCAACAAATCAGCTCTGTGTCCAAGCATTATTTAACCGAAGGGGCTGTTATCCCCACGTGCTTTATTGTCAGGTATCCATTGACCCATCACTCTGTAAATAGTACAAATGGTAAATATATACAAGAAGAAGAAGAAAAGTCTTAAGCCCAAGCCCTAACGAAATTTGCTTGAGTCCTGGGAAGTATGGTCACTATTGAAGGATTTCGACTGTTCGAGCTTATGCACTTCAATTATCACATCGTTCTGCACGTGAATGCCGTTGTCGTTACTGTCAGACCACTCATTCGCATGATACGGCGTCACAGTGGTGAGGATGCGATCCGGTGACTTGACCAAGGCGGGATCACCAAGGATATCCTTCTCGTCATCAGCTAAGCGGCGCATCGAACTTGAGAGCTCCATGTCCTTTCTTCGCTTCGATTTGGTGGTCATGGTATTCAATTCCACGCCGGTATGGCGACTGTATGTATGAGCACCGTAGCTCACGCCATGAGTGCCTTCGGTATAGGAGCTGAGGACCCTGGAGCCAACGAGGACGCGGAAGACTGGGCGCAGCAGAGGGAAACATGCTACACACTGTTAGTCACGTCACCAGGACACACATGATTCAAGATAGAAAGGTGGCTGCGTACAGGAAACAACAGCCATGTTCACTTCAACGGCACCCCACGTGTAGTTCAGAGCGTAATCATAAGGCATTTGTGTCGTCTTCGGGTCGGTGCGAATAGATTCAACCAAACAGTTCACGGATGCAGTACACACACTGTCACGCGACGAGATTAGTTGACATCACTATTGTCCGAGAACATCACCACTCACATAATACCGATCAGGAACAAGGCAGAAATGCCGACCTTTTGGGCCAGGCGCAGACGGAGCTTGAAGACCTCAACAACGGGCAAAATGAGAATCACAACATCCATGAGAAAGTGAGGTAACATCGTTCCGAAGAAGAAGGCCCCATCCTGAATGGGACAATGACCACCGGGGATGTTGAGATCCCAGTATGCCTGCACGGGCGAGCAACGAAACACCACCATGAACGTTCGCAAGATCATCCACGCCACGACAATCACGTATAGCACCAGAATTGGGATTCGGATGGAGGACAGTTTGAAGAGACGCCAGTAGAGGGACAAGATCGCAAGCTTCGAGGCACCGATGGAATAGGCATAGGTCAAGGAGCAGAAGAAGGCGAGCTTTCTGGAGACCTCCAGGATGTGCTCTTTGACAGCAGGATCGACCGTATCGGGAATTATCAGACCAAGAGACCAGTCCGTCGCCCCTGCAAGAAAATATATTAGTCGGGTGCCATTGCAAGGGATATCGGGCGGGAATTACAGTAAAGGCAAAGACCGTTGTATACGCTGCCGAATACCTGAAATGCCGCGTTAGTAAAAAGATAATTAGTTGATCAAGTGACGAAGAAAGCATACAAACGCAGCGAGGCAGAAGTAATCTTCATGCCACCAGGCTACCTTGGTCATGCGCCGAGCAGCGACGCGTCCAATCATAGAGAGAAAGGCGAGAGCCCAGACAACACCGAAGCCAACAAAGACGTTGGTTTGAAGTCCCGCCATCTTAGCAGAGATATACCAGGCGCACAGGCCTTCAGGGATAGGCACTGGCGGATTTGCTGGTCACAATCGACCTAATGTGAGACACAGACACGCATGCAAGAAGAAGCACTTTGGAGAGCCAAAGAGAGAGAAAGAGAGACGAGCTAAATGAAAGAGAGCGAGGATCAGCCCCCAATTTGAACTGGTCATTTCCAAGTACGCACATAGTCAACAAGCACAAGAGCAGCAAACCCAACAAGAGATAAGAAATAGCAAGGACCCGGAACACACGGGGCCTGACCCTGCTCTGGGCCCTCCTAGTGCGATGTCCCAAGATACCAGAAATCCGGGGAATGGGCGCCGCCTGGCTTCTGGCATGCAACTATTGGACGTTAGAAGGGCTCCTGGTCCTGGACTTGGCTGACTCGTGGAGACACTAGATTCGAGGGGCACGATGTAGATCAAATTACTACGCATCACCAGTGTGGGCGCTGCCAATCACAGATAACGGAGGCGTGCCCTACTGCTGGGACGATGCCTCTATTCAGCTAAAGGATTTGGTTCCATGGCTAGAGGGGTCCTTGCGCCCGACATCCAGGAGTTGAACGCGAAACACCACGTTACACAGAGTTCGTTACTTTCTTTTTCCCTGCCACTTATTGCTTTTTCCCTTCCATTTAAAGTTGTGCCTGGCGTCACTGACGACAGCAAACGCCCCCCATCCGTTATCAAGGTCAAATTTCACGGCCAACGTGGTGTGGCGTGATTGTTTCCCACACACGAATCAGCCCTCCTGCAGCCGCAAAGTTGGTGTAGATAAGACGGCCAACGACTTGCTCAGTTCGGGTCTTAGCGCTGCTCGCGTAGAATCGTCCAAGACCCAGACCCTGGTCCGTTTCGCCCCGTTCGTATTAGCACTATCAAAGTGTGTCACTCCTCTGGCGACAGCCGCAGACAATAGCGGCGTCAGAGGAAACCCCCTGAACCATGCGAGCTGGTCCTGATCTCGGCCAGGGAGAGTTCCTTGTCTCCCGAGAACAGCGCGACGGACCCGTCTGATGTGCCTTGCCCGTCCCTGATCTTGGTTACGAATTCCCACTCTAGAACGTCGCTAGTAGCACTAGTCGCCTTGATAGATGTTGTTCATTTCTCGAGAAGCAGCAAGACGCTCAAGTCTGGACCCTTGATCGGAGAACGGCCCTTGATTTGGCCATCCTGAGGCCACCGTTGCAAAAGGGTTCTATATTGCCGCGCGGTCGAAATTAAGTAACTTTGACATTCGTTAAATGAATGGAAGGACTAATCTATCTAACCCCGATATCCGAACGGGGTTAGCCGTGTAGCGAAGAAGTTGGCTGTCGCAAAAAAAGTCCATAACGAGTCGATGACACCGAGAAGATAGGCCGTCCCTAGAGGACGAATCTCGCTTCTTTGGCTGATGAGTTATTGTCAAATAAATCCGCGAGCTTGGAGTCTTTGACTCGGGATCTTCCGACAGCTTGATGGGCTGAGGTGCAAGGGATAATGGTCCTCTCCTCTCCCCATCACTTTAACGACAAGTCAACACAGGAATTTTCATCGCGTACAGGTATGCCCCTCTCGCAATCCGAAGTACCGCCTTGGTGTACCTGTCTGCTTTTTTTCAAAGATACTACAGTAAGCGGAAGCGATAATTATCTCATTGAACGCGTAACCCTCTGCCTAATATCCATTTCGCCCGTACTGTGCAGCTTTTTTGAAGCTTCATTTCATTGTCAAAGCCTATCAAAGGTAAGAAAATACCAACACACTGCCGCCAAGCCACACGACGAGGGTCCAAAATGGCCCAGTAGAAGGGCCGGCTGCATTACCACGGACCGCCTCGTGTCGCTAAAGCCATCCGAGAGCCGTCGGCGCGTGGATATTGATTGAGTTTTGTGCTTGTGTCCAGAGATTTTTTTTAGGCATTCACCAATCTATATTCTAAACAGATAGCCTTCCATCGCCTGTCTACGAGACCAACCAGCCAAGTGCTGTCTTGCGAAAAGGCAACTGAGGTAACCTCCAGTGCATCAGGGCACTCCCTCCAGTTGTCAATATCGTATCAAATCATGTTCACATCGAAAAAGATTTATTCGTGTTCTCTAGCTACCGGAGTACACCCAATGAGGTATCTTACTCTCTATCAAGTTGTTGGCCCTCCGTTCTCTTCCGAGCTCCAACTCGCCATCATGCTTGGGAGCCAGTCACTCATCTTCAGATGGAAGTGCTCTCCAATTATCCGGAGCAAGGTCCGATAATTCTAGCCCTGGTAATTTTCACATCATTGATTTTGGATAAGACATAGAGCAGGGTGTATCTAGAAGCTTTGTTAATATCTACGGGCGTCTGGAGGTTTCCTTGCTACTCAACTCTTGTATTGCCCTTTCTTGTGTTAAATTGTGAAAAGCTTTCCAATCAATTTTGGCCTCGACCCCAAGACTAGGAACAATCTCGATAGCCCAGATAGAAGCCAGACACAGGCATTGTATTGCCTCGATGTAGGGGCGGGGAATTCTTTGTTCCGGTGGCCGCAGCATCTCACAACTTTCTCACCTTGATCTCACTTCACTCACCAACAACGGTTGTTGCCTTGTTTATCAGGAAGGTCAACTCTTCATGCAACTTCCATTTAACAACAAAATTCATTCCTCCACAACTTTTTCTTACTCTCTCGCAACTCCTCACCAACCTCCGGCATCTTGTCTCCTCTCTGCATTCACTTCGACTTTTGTGCCCTACCGAAAACCGATGAGGACACCGCGATGGCTCCAAGGCTCGACACTCTCCCGATGGAGATTCTCCTCCACATCGCTGAGATGAGCACCTGGGGTGTTTCTCCCTCATCCGACAAAGCCCACCCTGCGACCTACGCAAGAAACCACGCCTCGCTCGCCCGCACATGCCGTTGGCTATACGAAACGCTAAACGGTGCACTTTACAAGCGCAATCTCAAGAAGGATCCACCCACAGAATCATGTCTCCTCTGGGCGGTAAATGTTGGCAGTCTCGGCACAGTCAAGCGCGCTGTGGCCTATGGTGCAAACCTCGATTTGCAAGTTGAGGTCGATGAAAAGACGGCTTATTGTCCACCGTGGGGGGCACTGAACCTTGATCGAGCAGTATCGCCACGGCGTCAGGCTACCTATCCCCGTTACTTCTCTTTGCTTCACCTCGCCGTCGGGCACCTACATGTGAAGATCGTGCAATACCTTCTAGAAAAAAGCGTCAACGTTCACGCACCATCACTGAATTTCTGGTGCGAGGACTCTCGGCCTCACGGCAGGACGCCCCTCTATCCACTTTATCTTTGCCTCTTCTCTGAGGACCACCTTGAAATCAAAAAAGGCTGGCATCCCCCCGAAAGAGATAACCATTCCTCCAGTAATGAGTCGCTGTTCGAGGTAGTTGAACTTCTCGTGACCCACGGCGCCTTCCTGGTGGCCAAAGACGTTTCCGCGATCTTCAAGCTTTACTCTCAAAAGCGCAATGATCTCGTAAAACGACTTCTTTCCTATCCCGATCCGGTATCGCTTTGGAATAACTTGCATTTTGCAATCTCAAAAAACAACATTTCGCTAGCGACTGACCTCATACAACGTGGCGCCGATATTGCAGCTGCTCACTCAGGGGGTGATAATGCTTTACATATCGCGGTCAACTTTTTCAAGGGCGATTCCTCAATAATCAAGCTTCTCCTTCGTCAACCTCGAGTCAACTCCGCGGCTGAGAACATGAAGAGTCAAACGGCGCTTCACTTCGCATGCCGTAGCAGCAATCTTGAAGTTATTAGCATGATAGTACAACAACCAGGTGTGTCAGTGGCGCACGCTGATGGCGATGGCCGGACATCCCTTCATTATACATGCTATAATGAAAGTCCTGGCATATTAAGCATCGTCAAGCTGTTGATCGATATGAAAGTCCCCATCAATCAAACGACGAGAAATGGCCATACAACGTTAAGCCTCGCGCTCAGACGCAAGAGGTTCGACATTGCTTCGATGCTTGTAACTGAAGGATGCGATCCGACTGGTTGGGTGGCCGCGCCGGACTTTCATGATATACGTCATGTCTTTGCGGGGCTAGAGAAACTGGGAGCGAGTTCACAAACTGAACTTGTCCAAAGAATCGTAGATACCGGCGCTGACGTTGACATTCCATGTTTGTTTTCATCAATGCGCTTGGAAACAACACCAGTGTTTATCGCTGCATCGGCACTGAACGCCGACTGCATGAGGGCATTCCTTCAAGGAGGCGCCAAGTTGAACTCGGTCGTGATCGACTGGTGGCAAAGGGATCATTACAGGACCCGGACTACGTTCTTGGTAGCACTCTTTTGTCATCTATTTGGCAAGCCCCGTCATCGACCTTTAGTGACGAAGAATCTCGATAAGGCGGAAAAAGTCATCGTGCTTGCACTCAGATTTGGAGCCACTCTCGAGCGCTTACCCTCGCCCCATTCGGATTTCATTTCGGCACTAGAGTACGGGGTTTTGGCAGCTGAGGATGGGGACACGGCACTCTTGGAACTACTCCTGAAGCGATCGACGGCAAGGAACGCGAGACGGAGTTTCCTAGCTCGGCTCATTCGAAGTTCGGGCAATGTGATTATACGGGAGATGCTGATCGACTTCAAAACTCGCCAACTATCCTAACATTGCCATCGATCAATGAAAAAAAAAAACAGGAACGATCTTTCCCATGCGGGGTTTCTGTCCGTCCGGTATTTCTTCCCCTTGCTCTCGTTCTCCGATAGGGAGATATTTCCTTCAACATTCATTTCAAAGGATCGAAGAAAGCTCTAACACAAGAAAAAGAGTTCCGAAAGACGAAGCCAACCAATATTTGGCAAACCAAGGAGGCAGATACAAGCAGATGATCCGATCAAAGGCACTAAGTAGTTGGCACAAGACTTTATTTCTATATCCTGGAATTAATATTAGCTTCGACATCATCTTGAAATTGACAGTCTCAAACGCCCTGATAGATCGAAAGGAGGGTATTTCGCTACCCTAGACTTTGAAGAGTGGCAGATGAGACAGATGAAATGCAGTGCTATTTGCGGCCGCAGCATTGAAATGGCATTTACATGGGACAAGAAAGCCTAGGGAATTGAGTTCTAGCTATGAAGGAGTAATAAAAGTGATTTTTGTTTCCTTAGGCGTGATGTACAAGCACTTGATTTGACAATGACCGAAGCGTGATGACAAAATCTTCCGCAACGAAGCAGTTGTAAAATCATCATTTCGGTATTCAATTGTCAATAGAATCAGGTCTAGACCATATCTTCACGGCGTAAAATACACACAACAGACACACAAAAGACTGAAATTTGAAAAAAAAACCTAATCCTCAAGGGGTGACCCAATATCTTCATACTGTGCAGATGCCTCCTCATGTGTCAAACCCCCATCCAACCTGGTCGTTTGTCCCGCTCGTGAGGCGCATGATGTTGGAAACCTGGCTAATCGCATTGACAGGCCCTCCACGGAGAGCGCTGGCGGCACTGGTTGCCACATTTAGCGCCGCTCGCACGTTCCGGGCATCTGCAGCGGCAGAAGACTGCGTCGCGGGTCTGGCGAGAATCTGCTTCAAATGATCATCGCCAGTCAAGCCCTGGTACCGGTCCAAGCATAGCTGCTGAACCGCGGGGCCGAAATTCTCGATCCATTGCTCCTCGCTGACGGTGGTGTAGGTCTTGCGGCCCTGAGGATTGACCTTGGCGAATGGCCACTCCGCACGCACAACGTAGTACTTCTTCGTTGTAAAGTACAGGATGGGCCACGAGAAGATCCACAGGAAGGTGAGGTAGAAGATCCATCGGATCCAGTTGGTGGTACGCCAGTTGTTCATCCACGTGGTTGAGTAAATATCAACCGCCCGGTCAGCCACGGGGAACTCAATGGAGAGCTTGCCCTTGTAGTTGGTACCGCGGATCAGACCTTCGAGTCGAGATCGGAAGAGTTGCTCGTCCAAGCCAGTCACCGTACGGGTAAGGCGGAAGCTGGGATGATGTTAGTGTTGTGCTTGATGAATGGGGGCTCAGCCTCAGATCTCACCATCTCGTGCTCTTGGCCTTGGCGCAGTACCGGTGGCACCACTCCTCCAGGCTGGGCTTATCAGTTCCGACCTCAATGTTGCCCTTTGACCCAGGAGCCCGCTTCTTGAAGACGGTGCCGCGGAAGGTACTCTCGCCATTGTCCACCGTATCAAAGCTCATCACCTGCTCTCCGCGAGGGTTGAAGTTTGGCCAGAGATAGTTCTGCAGGCTGACGAGGATGCGGAAGTCCTCCACCGTCTCGGTCTTGCTCTTTCCATTCATATCGCGCTTTGTTTCGCGATGATTCCCCGTGATGTGGATGTACGGCGAGGGCGCTTTGCTGGCCATGTGCTTGACCCACCTCTCCAGGAACTCCGGATCGCCATCAGAGCGATCGTCTTGCAGGGAATTGACCTCGTTGGTGATGCGAGTGCGCTTGGCAAAGATGTGAGACGAGGTGCCCTCCTGGTGGCTCTCGGCCGGGGTTGTGCCGTTCTTGAGGATGAGTCCTCCCGGTTCCGCGCCGTCATCAAACCCGTCGATCAGCGCGTCACCCTCGCCAGTGGCCTCGACGTACGCCGGTGGAGCCGAGGCGATCTCAGGGACATCGTCCACGTAGGCATCGCCAGGCTCCGTACGCAAGGACACGGCATCGGGATCGTCGCGATAACTGCCAGTGGCGGGGGTAGGTCGGCCCATCTTGTTGGTACAATGAGGCCTCTCACGTCAAAAACTTCGAGGTAAGCAGAATAATCAAAAGGGAAATGGGGACTGGCCGTCAGCGTTTTATGTCCGGGTCGTGGGAGGAGCCAAGCGGAGATGGGTTGCTCGCTAGGCAACCTTGCAGGGGTGAACACTCCATCCTTGTACGTCAGCAATAATTTCGAGCAAATATAGAAAGAGATGGATGGATGCCAAGATTCACGCTGTACGCACGGTTGGTCTCCAGGCGCGGTGTTTCGCAGTGGAACAATTTGGGCGAGCCGTGACCAGCGTGAATGTCGCGTTTCGCTGAAGCGTAGGATTGGTTTGCTATGGCTGAGGTTTTTTTTTTTCCCTCCGTGGCCCTTCGCCAGTTATTACGCGACGTCTGCCTGCTACGCTTCTACCAATGCGTTTATCTCTTAGATTGCAACTGTGGCTCGGTAAAAGAATCCCGGCTTTGGCTAAGGGTAAGGCAGACCATCTCGCCGCATTTGTGCATTGCCATTGGCATACAAGCGCATCTTTGCCGCCTATTTGGGAATGTTGACCGAGAAGCTGTCTCGAATTGATTAACCAATTGAAATTAATTTATCGACTGGCTGGGCAGAAACCTAGCCTTTTCAACGTTCCCCCTGATTTGGGTAATGACTGCCATTGAATGTGTACATCCAGTAAATATTTCTTTAATTCTTGTAGGAGGTTATATAAACAAAACGGAATATGATAATACTAATATCTTGGAGCTACTAGCTGTGTATAACAAATGAAGCACTTCATATCAATTGAACATGGCTAATGACGCCTATGATACTACGTTAAACCTCGTCTAATGCTGCATACCTATATCTAGTAAATACTTGTTCCAAAATGCTTGGCATTCCCTTCGAAAGTTGTTAAAACATATCGGGATCAGAGAAGGGACTTTCACTCACTAAATGAGTCCATAGAACCAAGCCTTGAAATTTCCCAAGGAGTGGATTTAGGATTTCTCGATTGGCATCATCAGTGTCTGCGACGTTGATGTCGTCGAACCCGCCGATAGGATCGGGACATAATACTCAATGTTCGAGTTCATGGCACGCCGCTCATCAGAGGAATCGAGGTGAATTATGTCGCAATTGCTTTGGATCTGATTCTCTAGAGTCGAGGGCCGGCTAGTTAAGACAACTTTGCAATTGTCACGATCATTGGATGCGGCCAAAGCTTCTATCCTGCCATACAGCTCGGCAACGTCGCCAGAATAGTCATGCAAAGCATTAATGACAATGTAAATGTCATCATGAACTAAATACGTCAAGGAGGAGCTGAGAATCTTCCAGAGACGTGCTCCATTCCTACTGCTAAAGAGACCCCCTAAGTCTTTGCAGAAGGTGAACTCGGGCTCCATGTGACATATCAAGCTTGGTTGGGCTTGAACGAGTTGTGACAAAAGTCCTTGGGCCAGGTTACTGGAAGTGCGGCCTGGCCGAAAGAAGTAGCTCAGAACCAGTGTCGTGTTCTGAGGCTCGTGACTATGCTGATGCTGAGGATTAGAGAATGAAAAATGTCGTATTATAGACTTGGCGATGTCAGCCTTTCCGGTCCCCTTTTTTCCGCTGATCAAAAGAAATCGGCGCAATGGATTCTTTTCCGAGCACCACTTTGAATATGTCGGATGTTTCAGTATCCATCCACATGCATCTTCAACAGAGTTGGCAATTAAGCACTCTGCCTCAGCTAGTTTGTAACAGCCTGGGCCATGAAAGAGCTCATGTTTCGTTTCTTCTTCTCGTTTCCGTCTCATTTCATAGGGGTCATCTGGGAGTATATTGAAGTCTGCGAATAAAGTGAGCGTCTGATATGCCGTGTCCCAAGAAGAAAAGCACACACGAAAACTCACCGGCCCGTTGATGGGGCCATTTAGTTGTACCCCACGACCATCCATGAGGAGGTGTTCGTAAATGAGGCATCGAACATTATTGTCACTAGCACCGTTACCGAGGCCTTCTGGCTGTGACATTTCTCTTCTATATATTCGATCTTGGCACTTCTAATTAGTTGCATTGAAGTTGATTGGGAAGAGACTCGAGATGGAGTGAAATGGGTAGTGTCGAAGGTTTTAGCGCACAATATAAAGATTTACTCCTCTTAATCCATGGCCAATGGAATGTTACTATCACACAAAGACTATTGTCTCAGCTATTGCTGGCTCAGTTAGAGGTTGCTACCTGTGGTCACAATGCTATGCCTGCTGAGCCCCATGATGCTTGGTGGACCAACAGCATTGCGGCTTCTCATTAGACAATCGGAAACAATTTTAACTTCTTTCATCTTAAAGAAGCCATTTAGTATATCGTTTTCTCTTCTGTTGCCGTTGTCAAGACATGCAGATTCCTGCGTTGGGGGAGAGATGAGTGCCTAGTGGCTCGCTTCTAAATTGAGCTGCCACATTGTATGAGACTTGATGTCACCAGGGCCCGCTAAGTAATGAGTTGAGCCCATCGTTCAATCAGGCACTCCACCGTTCGGCATTGTTGAGACGCCCTGCATATTAGGGGAGTCTGTGTTCACTGTAAGGGGGTGGATGACGTTTTGTTCTCTGCTAACCCTTCATTGTTTCCAACAAGATATCCGCGGTGAGACTATTGTTCAATGAAATAGGGTCTTGTTACCACCTTGTGGGAGGTAGTTTGTGTGACAAGTTTACAACTCTTGCCCTCCAAGTCAACTCTTCTCCTTTAGAGTTGATGAAAGGGTAGGGTGAATGAAAGATAAGAAACTCCCACTGCTACTACTACTACTTAGGGGGCCTAAATTAGCTGGCCCCCCTACCTTCGGTAGGGGGGGTCAGTAACTAGCGAAAAAGACAGTAACTTATAAAAAAAAAAGTAATCTAGTATACCTGCTAAATTTAGTATATAGTATATATAT